TTCAAAATGAACCTTATTTTAGTATTTAGTTAAATAATGGGAAATCAAATTTCACGTCTCTTCGGCATTACTTTCATTTGCCAAAGGGTCATATTATCCAAATGTTGACTGCTTTGAGGGGCACGGTGAAAACTATGGCCTGAGGTGAGCTCATAACTGTGCTATTCCCCGAGACGACAGTCGAGGGGCATAGCGCAGTTGTGAGATCACCGATGGCAATGGTTTTTAACCGTGACGCGAAAAAGAAGCAGTCAACATTTGTTTTATATACCGCATCCTTCTTGAGCTCAGAAATTAATTTCAAAGACAGATGAAATACGGAACCGTAACATAATTCTCATCGAATGCTCTTTCGAAATTTCGTTGGGTGTACATGTATGATATGGTGCTGGCCGCGCCCAAGCGTATCCAAATTGCCATAGCTACGCGCGCGCGTACAAAGACACAATTCTATGCCCGGTCAATATTTTTCACTATACCGCCCAGCAGTCCATAGTGAATTTCATGCCCGCAAATTTGACCAATCAGAGGCCTAGAATCTAGACATGCGGTATATAATACACGTTATCACATAAGAAGCAACACAACATTCGTTCCACGGAAAGCAGGATATCACAATAAAGATATATAATAACTTCATTTTTTTTTAATTGTGAGATCACTGACATCATGAATACAAGTTAAATGTCTGTTTCCGATATGAAACAATACACACAGCTAAAACAAAATGTTATGGTAGGTAATATTTGAAATACAAATTTCAAAAAATCTTTACATTATGTAAATGAATATGGTAAATGGGGAAAAGTTTATTGTTCAAAATCGTCATTAGTAGTCCCTCTAGTAAAATTTGATTGTTTCGACTGTTTTATAAATAAGAAATATACATGTTAGATAACTATATTGTCTATGTCTGTGGTTTCTATAATTTCAGTTCATTTTAACTCCACAATGATCATCATCAGTTAATATATAATGCAATGACATATAAACGGTCGACTTGCCTCTATTTGGTTTGTGATATTGCCATATGTTGGTGTAGTTAGCTTACAACAATAAATCTCCTTACATCTGCCTAAAATCTTGTTCCTTCTTATACACGTAGAAACTAAAATATTGTGATATTGCCATATGTTGGTGTAGTTAACTTACAACAATAAAGCTCCTTACATCTGCCTAAAATCTTGTTTTTTCTTATACACGTAGGAACTAAAATATTGTGATATTGCCATATGTTGGTGTAGTTTAACTTACAACAATAAATCTTCTTGCATCTGCCTAAAACCTTGTTTCTTCCTATAAAAATAATTTTAGGAACTAAAATATCTTCATTATCATTATCAAGCATACAGAAGAGTTCATATCATTTATTTAAGATCCCTTTACATATTAATCGAACTTTTTTTTATGAAGGCAAAAATTATCATTGAATTTTAAGGTCACGTTTACGTAACCCACGTAATTCTTCACGGTTCATCCCGGCCTGTCTGGATGACGCTGAAGTTTAATTAATTATGTTTATATGAGAATAAAACCTCTTTCAGATATCATAATACCAGAAACCATCACGGTCCATCGCGGCCTGTACACCGAAGGTTAATTAACATTATGTTTACATGAGAATAAAGGCTCTTTCAGATATCACAATACCAGAAACCATCACTGTTCATCGCGACCTGTCTGAAGGACACCGAAGGTTAATTAATTTTTGTTGCATGAGAATAAAGACCTTTTCAGATATCACATTAACAAAAACTAACACGATTGTTCATCGCGGCTTATCTGAACGACACTTCAGGTTAATTAATCATGGTAACATGAGGAATAATTGCCAGTAAATTATCAACATACTGTTAACAAAACAAAAAGTATCGATCCTTGAACAAAGCTTCTGATATTATTGTCATAACTTAAAGGAAACCTTAGTTCCATAGAATTAGATGTATTCCTGAAAATTTGATATTTAAATGAAAATATTCTTGGCATGATGTGATTCCTTTTAGCATGGCATGGGCGCAGCCATTTTCTTGAAATTGTGACGTACCAGTTGAAGTGGTACATGTATAATGCACCAAGCTTTAGTTGGAAACACCTTTTAAATCAATAACACAACCTTTACTTTTAAATGAGGAAGAATCATAGCTGTGAAGATAGAAATTATATTTTGGTGAACAAATATATAACAGGAGAACAATTGTAACTAATTCATTACAAAAACTAAAATGTAAAAGTTGATAAATCTATATCAGAAACCTCCACAACAGAAGAGCCCATGTTGTGCTGAGAAAGTGTACTTTTTTCTTGCTTTAAGCCTCTCTTATACACTTTGGTCGAGAATCTTGTGGATTAATCGGCAAGAACATAATAAATCTCTCAGAATAATTTAAGTTATTTCTTGGGGTGAGTTTTCCTTAAGTTTATTTGCGTACATGTAGGCCTGTCATCACTTGTGTAGGTCTTTGTAATAGCTTTTATTCTACATGAAAATGTTCAGAGACTGAGGGCTCGCATCTAAATTCATGTAAAGAAGTTATTACAATTTGTAAATAGTTATTGATAGGTGTACAATAAGACAGGTAAACATATTTGAATGTTAAGAGACGGCCGATATTCAGATGTCATTTGCATAAGAAAATGGTACTCTCTAATATTTGAAATAGATTTATGCCAAAGTAGGGTCCAACATGTTTTTGCAGAGTGATACCAAAGAAAACAAACAAACATAATATCGAAGAAAAAATATTTTGATCACTATTCTAATGATAATAAATACTTATAGAGAAGGATTTGTAAAATAATCTAAGTATATCTTTTTACAGCGTATTACATGATGAAAACCTTTCTACAAACCAAATAAACCAAATAAATAAAAATAAAAAAATGTTTTGTTTAACACATTATAGATTACCTTCTCATGCAGCAAATGTTAATTTTAAAAGTAAGAATAGACATACCCTCATCAATTTCCAGAGAAGTTAGAAGATCTTCCCATTCATACAAGTCATCTTGGGTCGTGAAGGGCTGATATTTAGGCAGCTATCTGCGGGGATTACTGAGACCACGCTTGGTGCCACCATGATGGGTACACCTTCCAGATGACTTTGTATCATGTATTGTTGTCATGTTAGTAGTGGACTGCTATTCAGCACAATTGCTCCATTTTTTGGTGTGCAGCACAGCTTTGCCATGTGTTTTCGTAATAATCTTAAACTGGTGAGAGTGGCTAAGCTGCGATGACCTGTTAATGTGAGGCTGGATCCAGTCACGTATGTTGATTATGGACTTTAGTCGCTCAGTACTTGTATTTGGTTTGTTTAAAGTTTTGGGATATTTTGTTTTGAAGTATGTACTGATATCCTGCTGAATAGCTGATCCACATCTCCGTGCGTATATCCTTTCATAAAGAATCTATTTTTCACCTACAGACATGGCATAGAGCAAAGTACGGAAGTTGTACATATAAATCAGCAAATAAAAATGCTACTAGATATAACAGCCTTGTTCATGTAATTCATTTAATGAGGAGGCACAATTTTGAAAATAACTGAAAATAAAAAAGGAACCGTTTATCTACGAAGTTGTACTCGTTGATAGCTGTTTAACTGTACAATTATCTTAATTTTAACATCTGATAATTAATATAATTGCATTAATTTTCATAATCCCAGCAAATCAATGTTCTATACGCCCTGACAAATGCTTAACATTATCTTTTAAACCAAACAGGAAACAGGAGTAGGGCAAATTATACGAATTTTTTTTTTTTTTATTACAACTATTGCGTTTTATTTCTATCCGTTTCCTAAGTTCTGAATTTCAAAAAGATACGTTAATCTTAATTCTCTGGAATACGTAACAGAATCATTTTAAAACATGACCAAAAGGCAAAATGACATCAAATGACCTGTGCAATTTTTCTTCACCGATTTAAATGAGGTGTTCTACAATTATTTTCAATTAGCCAACATAACTACCTCATAAAAGGTTCATTGCATTTACATGTGACACATGCATAAATGATATTTTCGCTCTCATCACATGTTTGACACAAGTCTTCAGAAATCAAATTCCACATCATTGAATTTTTTTCTCAGTGGTAACAAATTATAAAGTGCTTTAAGGTTAAACTCTCTGGCCCGAATTCACAAAGGAGGTTTGTCGACAAACCTAGGTTTATGTGCGTCATATGACGCGTTTCGACGCGTTTTTACAAACCAGGTTTATAATTACCATAATTATTGCGTATTTGCATTGCTAACATTTCTGCTGCAAGTACAAAATAGACTGCCGAGAGGGGGCATCCGTGCCTTAAACCTCGTTGCGTTTCAAATTATTCCATCAGGAAATCATTCACAATTACAGAGCAAACTGTGTGCTAATACAGCACGAAGACCCTTCAATTAAATTGGCTGAATCGGCAATGTCTCTTTGATGTAGTGGCGTACAATTTTCTAATTTGTTCCAACACATAAAATTACCAAAGTTTCAATTTCTCAAAATAATGATTCAGGAGGATCGTTTCTCTTTAGAGGACCTATAACGATACGTTATACCCGTAATATATTTTGAGTAGTACCCCAAGTGAGGAGCCACTTAAGAGAAAACAGAACTCCATGATTTGTATACTATGACAAACGGGAGAGTTATCCACGACCGCGTCACAATCCACAGAATAAATTGCCAATATGAGATTTGCATATAATATATAATATTGTGATCTAATATTTCTAACATTCATAACTTTCTTTGTCCGATTTATTTCAAACATCCGTCATTCATTTATCCTTTTTTACTGCTAACATGAAATGAACTTATTACAAGGTTTGGATTGCCCTTTAATTAAAAATACACATACAAATCGGGGTGCATGTGCCCCCGCAACCCTAAAATGTCGCTTCTTTATATTTGATATGTAAGGAAAATAAAAAGAACAGGAGAATTTAGTTCCAAACATATACTGGTTATAATTCTCGTTGAAATTTATTTTATTTTCACAGCCTCGCGTGGTGACTGGTTTCGTCATGTTTGTGTTAATGTTCATGATGTCCATGATCCTACTTCAGGGAACAGGTAGGAACCGTACATTTAATGTATCTTCATGTAAATCCTAACGACACGAGGAATAACTATTTAGGTCTATTGGTACAACTGCGTTTGGTTTCAAGCAAATCGGTTTATTTCCTGTATTGATTAATCAAATGTAATGTAATGAAACCTGGGAGAATACACCAAACTAAATCTCCCGTAGTTTTTCATTCCATGTAAATATGATTATTGACTTTCCTGATTCTAATCTTATTGATCTGAATTGTTCAAACATGTCAAACTCAATTCAAATAATTTTTTTATTTTTAAGAGATGATTTCTTCCTGTATTGACTTCTATTCTCTGCACATCGTTCTGAATTATGTGGCTGTTGCCTCCTTTATATATACAAACTGATTAGAGTGTAAACGTATATATTATTTCAAGCATAGAAACATTTTATAATTTTCCTATTCATTTGAAACCTTACAGCTTGTTCCGCTGAACAGCCCTGTCCTATGAAGATTGTGTGCCCAGCGAAGACGTTAGAAAGTGGGAAGGTTGTACAATTAATCTTAAAGGAGGACATAAATTCAGGCATACCAAGTGTATTTAATCTACCCTTCGAGTTACCAAGATCGTACCACTGTTCCATACCAGGTAAGCCGTAGGTTCGGTACAACATAACTCCAACAACACTTCATAACTTTATCCATACCAAGTAGGCCTATATTTGCTTTTCCTTACACTTTATCAAACATTTGCTTCTGGTCGATGCCGGGGTAGAATTGTAATAGTAATTATTACCGGAAAGACATATCTATTTTTAAGCATTTCTATTCCAGGCATATTTGATAAAATCTTCTTAATTTTCAAAAGTTTACTTTTGTGCAATATTGGGTGAGATACTCTGACAAATACAATTACAACTGCCCCTCATAGTATAAGCAATACCTAGTTTATTTCTGGAACGAAACGGTATTTAAATTGAAAAATAGGCTTTTATCATATACGGGGTAAATGAGTCGCTGATATTTTGTTGTATTTTTTTACTAGAAAAACGCAATAATACAGAAAATTATTATCTCTAACCAATTCAAGATGTTTCTTTAGTATTTCTCACTTTGCCTTCCTTGTCCTTCCTTTTCCTTTCTTCTTTCTCTTGCGCTTAGAAACATTGTATTAAGCGCATTATAAATGTAATGTATTATTATTATTATTATTATTATTATTTATTACCGTTATTCTGATACTACAGTTACTGTAGCTATTTGTTTACATACAATAGTATAGCACAACGAAAGCACGTGGTACTGAAAGCAAAATGCATATCTATCAACAAATCATAATTGTATGTCATGTGGGAAAACCTATTATCACGGAAGTGTTAACACTGCTTTTATCTTATGGCAGAGTTTAATCAGGATGGTTGCAATAATGATTTTAAGTTTTTGTATTGTATTTGTATTGTATATATTAAACTTCATTGATGTACATCAATATTCTGTTTATAAACATATAAATCACTTTACAATGTAATATAACAAATCAATATTCTGTTTGGAAACATATATATGTCATATAAGTCAATTTTACAATGTAATGTAATGTATATCATCCAAAAGAATACAAAAGGTTTTGAGGTCTAGAGTTCAGACATCTTTCTCAGAGGCGAATTGGCATACTGAATTAAGCCGCCAAGCACGTAATATATAGACCGGAGGCCCCGCGTCATGTAGAGCGCGAGAGAGAACCAAGATTGGGCCAGAGGATCAAACGTTCGCCCGACAACATGAACTAAACCGGGACGGGGCGCATATAAGCTGTTTAACATATATACGACGCAGAAATCGCCAAAACGACAACCACTGGCGATCGGAAAATTGGCGGCTTACTTCAGTCTGCTAATTTGTGTCTGAAGAAGGTGTATGAACTCTAGTCATCAAAACTGTTACAGGAAATGTGTCCTTTTGAATATGATACAAGAATTTCCAAATCACCGCTTCTATCTTCATTTGCCTTCATATCAAATATATTATTTATGCATGTCAGCTTAAAATGTTCAGTTCACAAATATCGCGAACAATAATCCGTCTTACTTTTATGTATAATACTTGAACAAAAGGTACTCTTGACCACTCTAGAGTTAATTGCAAGGCATGGTAACAAATAATGTATGCTAAGCAGGTCAATAACATTTTTACCATGGTTACTAGAAGATCTTGGGGGAAAACATGAACTGGGACACTCTTTCCTGCTCAAAAGCTGAATAGTATATTCCTACTTCTATTAGACTATTTTGTGGGTGTGTTAAGTTGTTATCTTTTTGTGATATTCCTCCCACACTGTAAAAAAGATTTTGTTCATTGGTAATTTTTACGTATTTTTTCCATGTAGAATTTACTTGAAAACATTAGTTTTGCCACTTACGCACTAAATTTAAGTCTTGCTAACTCAAACTTTCAATTTAGTACAACATACGTGGAATATTTAAGTAAAATCAAATACATAAGAACTTTAAGTAATTTCAGCTTGTATTAATTTAGTAATTTTAACTCAAAATCAGAAATTATACGTATTACTCAAACAATTTATGTTAATTATTCTTATCTTTTTAAAGTAAGGACCGATGCAGTGCGTAATAGAAATATTTACATAATTTATGAATATTCATTAAGACCAAATTAAACTCTTTTTTAAATAAAACAATTCTTTTTTGTGGTTGAATGAAAATTTAAGGACTTTAAAACATTTACTAATTCATTTAACATGGCTAAGCAAAGACAAGACAATTTTTAATTGTTACCCAGTTCAAAACAAATCAAAACTTGATATTTCAGGAAATTGTCAACCAATTTTCCTTTTAAGATGCTACGATCAAGTATATATAAAATTTGGAGCCTTTCAATATGTGTCGAATTGAAGCGTATGTAATAGTTTGTGATGGTGGTAGATATATATATACGGTTAAATCTTAAATAGAAGTAGTGAATGATTAGTGGATGTTACTTGTTAGATTAGATGGGTACCAAATCGTGCAATATGTAATCCTATCATAGCTTTTTTTTAATTATCTAAAATGATTACAATACTTAAATTATTTACGTTAATGTAACTCGATTTAACTGAGTAAAAATTTATTCAGCAAAATAAGTTAATTCTACTTAAGATGCCGTAGGTAATATTTACTTAATAAAAATAAGGCAATTCTTTTCCTCAATTTTATTGAGTTATTTCGACTATTATTTTTTTACAGTGCATAGTACAATCATTTTCAGCAATCTGAAGGATATTTTTCTCCAGCCACATTCTGTACTTTAGTCGTATAGTTTTTAAGTAATGATAGTAATTATTGTTATTGTATTCATTTGTTCTCTTTTTTCCATTATTATTATTACTTTTATTATTATTATATTATTTATTTTTTTGGAGGGGGGCTATTTTTTTTTTTTTTTTTTAACAAAGAACGATCGATGAGGAGAGCCATATAACTAAAATTGGTTCCTACCTTTAATCAAGATGTTTTTGGGGGAAGTAACTACTTCTAGAGGATAGTCCGGTAAGTCAATAATTGAAAGGTTGCTCTTTGAAACGCTAGAAATTCTACTCAGTCTTTGAAAAGAAGATACATTTTAGCCCCTCTTGAGGGCAATGTCTGGATGCTCTCAGCTTAGTGACCAAAAGGTGGAATAAATTGTTAAAGAATAAGTTGTTGAGAATGGCATAATTATGCATTTGCAGATGTGTTGTTATGCTTTGAATTAATTCCGAATATACGAAGATTGTATGGCATTGCCTTTTTAAGGAGAACGAAGATTTAATTTGTAGAAAATCAATGCTCTTTGCATTTTTCTGTTTTCTGTTTGTTTGTTTTTTATAGAGGGAGTGTACTTATGAATTACTGATGTCGTTCTAGTGAAGGTTAAACATTAATGATAATGATTACAAGACGTAATGGAGCTTTCAGCTTTCGAAGAGCTTCCATATATATAACCCTACATGGTACATTAAGTGGACATCATAAAAATCCTAACCCAAACCCTAACCCTAACCCTAAACCTAACCCTAACCCTAATCCTAACCCTAACCCTAATGTCTACTTAATGACTCATTTTTTTTCACTCCAAATGTCCCTCCAATGACGCCTTTAGTTAAATTACATATATAGAAAAGAAGGAAAAAAATTTAATTGGGCCTTCTATGAGAAATAAAACGTAAAAACGTTCAGAAGAAAGCAAATCAGAGGCTTTATTTCCTTAGACAACTTAAGAAACTACACATAGACAATACACTTCTTGTTCTGTTCTATAAATCAATCATTCAGTCTATCTTGACATTCAATCTTATTTGTTACTTTGGTAATGGAACACGTGCTAGCAAAAAGAAAACTGAAAGAATAAGGAAAATTGCTCAGCGCATCATCGGTTTGGAATTGCCCATTTAGAAAATATATATGTTGATCGTACATTGTTGAAGGTAACACGTATTATGAAAGACCCATCACATCCTTTGGTCCATTGTTATAATTTTAACCGATCAGGAATTCGCCTCAGTCTGCGTTCCCCGCATTAGGCGGGAACGCTTCAGACGTTCATTTGTGCCGGATTCGATTCACATTTATAACAGTGGGGTAAAACGAGGGCAAGTTTTGTAGACATTGTATTATTTTATTGTTTTCCTCCATTCCTAGGCAAGTAATCACATTGTATTGTTGGATGTAACGCCATTGATGTTATGTTGTTATTATGTTTTATAATCTGTTTAATTATGTACATTGTTTGTAACACCTATACCAGTGAACAACGAATTTCTATTTTGTATGGACAATAAATCAATTCAATTCAATTCAATTCAAGAGGACACCAATTTCTCCTCTTAATGACAATGTCTACTTAATGACTCATTTTTTCACTCCAAATGTCCCTCTAATGACGCCTTTTAAAAATACATTAATATATATACTAATCAGTTTAAATAGTAAATTAGGCTTACATGAAAAGTCCCCCGACAGGACTTTGTAATTCGCTGGATGCTGTGTCTTATGTCTTTCTCTTCATTTGCACTTTACTATCATTCTTATACGTCACACCTCATTTAAATGTACATGTACTTCATGCTTAGAAATATAATAACGAACTCAATAAATGCTTCAATTTATTATTGTAAGAAATGTATAAATGAAAACTTACTCCCAACAATGTGTTAACGTTTTAAATATGTAAGTGTCAGTTTCAAATTGTCAATTTATGTTGTCCGGTTTCTCAATCGTTATATAAACATTGTGTGGTGTAATTTCAGCGTGTTTATCGAACCCCTGTCAACATGGAGGAACCTGTGAGGAAACAGATCAGGGGTTTAACTGTACATGTCTGGATGGCTACAAAGGAGACAGATGCGAAGACGGTAAGAGGAGGAAACTAATTACAAGAGAAAGAGAGAGCAAGAGAAAGAGCGAGAGAGACAGAGACAGATAAAAGATAGAGACACAAGCAGAGAGAGAGAGAGAGAGATAGAAAGAGAGACACAGAGTAAATGACACAGAGACTGAGAGAGACAGAGAGACAGAGAGCCAGAATCTGATAGTGAGAGAGAGGGCGCTAACTCCATAACAACAACCTCCGAATTATATAAAAATCAACCTCTAAATTGTATCAATATCAATGTTTTCAAAACTACAGTAACAACATTATTTAGGAGAGCACTGTGGCGCGTGGAGTATATTGGTGAATGCTCTTTTCAATTACTCGCATAGGAATGGTCCAGGGATCGATCCTTGCATGATGCTAATACATGTTTGGACACGTATTGTTTTCTTTTTCTTCAAACGTAATGATTGGCTTACATGAACGTTAATCGTTGTATTGTTGCTCAATACATTTTATTTAGATCGCTTCATCCATTCCTTGAGACTAGTCGGTGGAAGTGAAAGCGAAGGAAGAATGGTTATCACATCTCGTTCTCGCCCTACAACCTACATGTTAATCCACCAAAGAAACTGGTCCAGGGACGCTTCCCGGTTAGTCTGCAAGTATCTAGGATATGAAGGTAAATGCTTTATCAAGTTTACAGTCCTGTATTGTGTTCACTTATCTTCGGCAGGTCCGTGGTTATATCCCAGTCACCCCAAGGAAACGGTCTTCTGGTGCAGTTGTTCACGAAAACGTCATCAGTACATGTTCGCCGACAACCTATGAAACGCGTGTATAAAACGTAACACGCGTTGCAATGGGATGTCGGTGAGCTTCGTGAAACAAGTGTGCTCTAGTTTTGGGCGACGACGGAGCCTACGGCGGTAACAAAAAAAATTGTGATTGTATCGTCGGTCGTTCGAAGTTTCCGTCCTGCAAATTTCTCGTTTCGTTTTTTACGACTGCAAGAAAATGGTCAGTTTTATCACGTGATCATCAACTTGAGCACCTGACCTGCCTGATCAAAAATCAAGTTTGCCTGCGAGAAAGTCATTCGTACATGGGCCCTACAGAAAATGTGGCAGTACGTCGTGCGTCCATGCAGCTCTGAAACTGATAATCTGCTTAAGCACATTAACAACCTCCAGCCATCCATCCAGTTCACATCAGAGATAGAGTGTGAAGGGAAGATAGCAAGCTTAGACACTTTAGTTCATAGAAACGACAACCAAAGGCTATGCAGCTCAGTCTATAGAAAGCTTATCCACACAGACCAGTACATAGCGTTTGACTCTCACCATCCCATATCGGTGAAGAGAGGTCTAGTGAAATGTCTATGACAGAGCATCACGCATTGTGACAGGTCCACGACAGCCATGCAAAGAATGGACCCGGGTCCCCAGTTCCCTGAGGTCTTAACGGTTACCAACGCCGTTTTGTACACAGCACCAAGAAGAGATCGTCGGAACCCAGGATCAGAAGGTATAAAAAGACATTCACGGTCTTGCCGTACGATGGTGTCTTCATACAACTCAAGCCCCGCCTAGAGAGCCATGGCATCCGAACGGTTTTCAGATCAGATACCACCCTACGTCAACAACTAACACGCCCCAATGATCCAATTCCTCCACACAGACGGGACGGCATTGTGTACAACATCCCTTGCAAAGGATGTGATAGATCCTACATCAGTGAAACTGCCCGTTCGCTAAAAGAAAGAATCACTGAGCATAAGAGGGACGTCAGGCTCCGCCGAACTGACAACTCAGCCGTAGCCGAACATGCTTGGGCTAACCAGCATCAGCCAGACTGGGACGGGGTTCAGTGCCTTTCCCAAGAACGCCATTGGTATACACGGAGCTGGGTAAAAGAAGCTATCAATATTCGTCTCAATCCCAATAATTTCAACAGAGACAACGGAATCGATGTCCCCGAATTTTAGATGCGTACGATACGGGAGATATTGGGGGAGGAGGGGTGGGGACGGGTGTCCAGATACTTAAAAAACATAAAGCCTTCTCCTTCGCTTTCTGATTTATTTTTTATTACAGTACAATATGAAACACAATTTATATATAAATTATATATGTAACCATGATTTCAACATAGAGTATACAGTAAATAATTCAGATAGGGAAGGAGGCGAAGCTTGAGTTGGGAACGCCAATAATAAGTTAACACAGTTATTGAAAAGAATTCATCAAATAGCAATAACCATCCTGAATATTAATTTTGACTTTTATGATATTGCCAAACAGCAGTCTAAGAAGATTTATGACATATTACTTGTAAACTTGTTCAAGTTGCATTGTTAATCAACTATCCGGATACACAACCTGTCCGGACAAACAACGTCTGGGTGAACATCAATGCCCGTGTACTACATAATCCTAACTGCTCCCAAACAGTTTTTTTAACAATGTAATCTCATGACCAAAACTAATCGATATCTTTAAGACAAATGCAGCAGAGAAATTTAAGTTTACTAGCAGTCATGATTAGCCTCACTAGTATAAATACTTACTTTGTTTCAATTGATCTTTTATTTTCATTTTCTTTCTGATTATCTGTTAAAAGACGTATATGCAACAGTAGGAGGAGATCTCTACGAGATGTCGTTCTTAGATAGAAATTCTGAGGCTGTGACTGTGAGATGTCCTGCCAACGTGATTGACATTACTAACTGCTGGTACGAGGAGACGACGGCGATAAACAGTAGGAACGGGAGTGTAGCTGTTGTTTGCTGTACAGGTGAGTGTTTAAGAAAAATTATTGGCAAGGAGACTTCAAGACACTTAATAAAATTCAAAATTAACCAGGTATTATTATCACTACAACTGCACATTCTCTTTCTGAGTTCCTTAATTTATGAAAGAATCTCTGCATCTTAAACCTCTTTTAAATTCTAAAATGTTTTTTAAAAAAATCTAAAACTCTCCTGTTTACTTTGGAAGGATCAGCACCAGACATCAAAGAATAAAGACACTTAATAAAATTCAAAATTAACCAGGTATTATTATCACTACAACTGCACATTCTCTTTCTGAGTTCGTCAATTTATGAAAGTAACTCTGCATCTTAAACCTCTTTTAAATTCTAAAATGTTAACAAAAAACTCTAAAACTCTCCTGTTTACTTTGGAAGGATCAGCACCAGACATCGAAGAATAAAGACACTTAATGAAATTCAAAATAAACTAGGTATTATTATCACTACAAGTCTACAACTGCACATTCTCTTTCTGAGTTCGTTAATTTATGAAAGTAACTCTGCATCTTAAACCTCTTTTAAATTCTTAAATGTAAACATCAACAAATATTAAACGCTCCTGTTTACTTTGGAAGGATCAGTATCAGATATCGAAGAATAAAGACACTTAATTAGTTTTATTGTGCATCCTTAATAATTTGCCACGTGTTTGCATTAATTATCGGTAGTTGAGACTCTCCATCTCAATCATCCTCGGTTTTCGGCACAAACAGTTTCAATAGGGTTCGTAATAGAATTTACAGGGATTCTAAACACCTAAAACATGGACGGTGCTCAGACATTTGCTTGAGCGACAAATGTCCATGGCTTCAATTTGTCAAAGATATAGGACCGTATGCTTCACAAACATGACCCGGTGTCTAAGATCAAGTTTAACAACAGAAAAATATGATCCCGCACTAAACTTTCCCTGCTAAAAAAAAAGGTTTTGAATAAAAACTTAGGCCCTACCTGGGGTTCAAGATTTAGTAGAATACGGACCAAATGGTAAAGGATACGGTTGTAATTGGGTTTCAGGTTATGTTTAGGTTCAGCGTCAGGGTTGGGTAAAGCGTTCCGGATCAACTAAGACAGGTGGTGGGTAAAAACCTCAAGATATTCACATGTCCCCTAACCCACAAGTGCTAGAACTTCAAGATGCGCAAGGTTATGAATGCTGATTTAGCCCGACTAGTTAGGTTATAGTTTATAAACAGTCTCTGAGTTTTAAATACCAAAAATTGCAATTCTTTGATTCTTTTTCAACAGTGAACTTGTGCAGCACACCTCGAGGCAGTCCAGTTGGTCTAGAAAGCGGTAAGGTTCCCGACAGTGCTATTACAGTTTCGAGTGAGTTCGGTCCTGGCGTTAGTAAACAACATGTCCGTCTTAACAATCATTCTGCGTGGGTCCCTGAAGGGGCTGACGAAGACCCCTGGCTTCAGATCGAATTCGATTCCACCTTTGTCATCACCGCCATCATGACGCAAGGCTGGAGTAATGATCAGTGGGTGACATCGTACACAGTTTCATCCAGTATGGACGGAGCATCTTGGACCGACTACCAGGATATCAACACCACCACAGTCAAGGTATTAACACTTGGTTTGCTTTCTTGGCCTCTTTGCTCAGTCGCCGCGTTTGTCGGACATGCCATTTTTAACAACCAAAAATATGTATTAATTAACGGAATGTTTGTTTTATGCAACACAATGGCTTTGCAAAATTACCCTTGTCCGATCTTGATAGCTTCAACAACAACCCTTAATAATAATAATAATAATAATAGGCATTTGTATAGCGCCGTCTATCTAGACAATGCTATTCCGAGGCGCACAAGAAAAATAGAAAGAATGGGAAAGTTTGGACGAGAAATTTCGGATGAGTGTATAGTGCCAAGTACAGGTCTTCTTCTTCTTCTTCTATGTGCCATATCCTGAGACGTTGGCGACCATGGAGTGCCACAACTCTCTATCCCATATTCTATGAAGTAATTCATTCTCCCCGAGATCAATTCCACATTCAGAAATCCCACTCCTTAAGCTACTCATCCACAGAATCCTCCTTCTACCCCTACTCCTCCTCCCCTCGATTCTTCCAGTCAGTGCAAGATTTTCCAAACCATTCTTCCGTATAACATGGCCCAAGAAGCTCAGCTGTCGACCTCTTATATTATTCAGAAGCTTTCGTCTTGTTCCTGCAATGGCAAATACCTCATCATTAGAAATTCTTTCTGTTCATGAAATTCTTAGCATCCTTCTCAGGAACCAAGCTTTCTTAGGTCTGATGTCAGGGTCCAAGCTTCACATCCTGATCCATACATTAGAACTGGATACACGTAGCAATTGAGTACGCGGAGTCTTGTTTTCATCTTCAGCTTCTTATTCTTTGGGATGTTTTCTAACTTGGAGAAAGTTGATTTTGCAAGTGCAATCCTTCTCTTGATTTCTTGCTCGCCTCTTGCATCGTCGGTAATTGTAGTCCCGAGGTAATTAACAGAGGTGGCTTGCTTTATTTGATTGTTGTTGATCTTAAGAGAGTATGGTATTCCTCCCTTCTTTGAAATTACCATGCATTCCGTACAGGTATTGTTAAAAAAAGATAAGATTCCAGCTTGGATTTAAAGGTCTCTAAGGAAGTTATGATTCTCAAATTAAATGGTAAATTATTCCAAAGACAAGGTGCTGCAGATGAAAAAGCCCTTTCACCACAGGCTACTCGTGTCTTTGGGATCTTAAGAAGATGCTGGTGTGATGATCTTAGACTACGAGCTGGTGTATAAGGTTGTGTAAATAGTTTGGTGCCGATCCGTTTACATCCTTCCATGTGAGGAGAAGAATTTAAACACCGGTATAGATTAATCATGCCTTGGAAACAATTAAATCATAATGTCTGTCCAATGATGAATAGAATGTGACACAGGAAGATTATTTGTGTGGGATATAAAGAGTTAATCTCAATCAAATAAATAATTATAATGAGTGGAAATGGTGTACGTGATCCCAGATATTGAGGGGCACTGGTATCATTGGGTGAGGGCACCGGTCTCATTGGAGAAATGATATGCTGATTTACCTGATCCTAATTCTCTCTTTGCCTTTTCCCCCCTCTTTTTATGACGTGCCTCCTTTCGGATGAAGGGGCACGTGCCTCCCCCGTGTGCCCCAATATAGCTACGCCACTTAGAATGAATATAAGAATTCCACAGATTTTTGTTTTTCTCAATTTTAGAATATTCTGTATGGATGGCAGTGGGGTTCTTGTTCTGATACAGTCGTAATGAAATGCCCTAAAATCTCCTCCAATTCAGTGGATGTTTATAGTTCAACCCTCATGTCAACTTATCACAGAGAGAGGGAGACATGTAAGATATAACTCAGCACAGACTGTAGGCTATATGTACGGCGAAAGTAGTTAGAAATTTGCAATCCATTAAGACCAAATTGACAAAACGAACTTTTTTTTAAAATCTTGTGGAAAGCATTAAATGTGTCCTGATCACTAATTGCTGTGTTAACGTTTAAAGATAAGTTGAGTTTTGGTAATGTGATTGCATTGTGAAAGAAATAGTGTGGAATCGATCAGAAAAGAAACAGTATAGATACGTAACTGCCTAATAGTATGGCAAAAGAAAGCAAATTGTTAAAATCTTATCCCTATTGCGGCTGAAGAATGCGTCGAGGTTTGATTATTTGTTGACTTAAAATGACACTTTATTGTCAAGAATTATGTCAACCGACAGACGGAAAGTTACAAGTCGAGATAATAATGCAATTTCTTTTGAAGATAGAATACAAGGGATTTATAAAGGTCCAGGATGCTGGTAATTGAATGTCATCAATAAAAAAGAAGGCAATAAATGTTCAAATGTAGATTTGTATCTATTAATTGTGTTAAAATGTGAAATAGTGATGATGATGGTATGGACATTTTTTACAGAGGTATTGCAAATGAATAATAGCAAAGTAAGGACAAAAGTATTACCAAAGTGACGTCACAGGGTTAATTGGGTTAATTATTAGATATTGGAAATTCTACATTTCAAACCCAAATTAATCTCATTATGAATTGGTTTTATTATCTCTTTCAGGTATTCATAGGAAACTACCACCCTAATAGTTCTGTTGTGCACACCATCTTTCCGCCGGTCAAATGCCAATTCTTTCGTATCCATCCCAAGACAGCCCATGATGGGGTACACCTGGCCCTCAGGCTAGAGCTTACTGGCTATGGACCTCTCACTGACTTATTAGGTAGGTACAGCCGCATTCTCTCTAATGTTTTGCTATGTACAGGACACTTGTGTCGGGCAGAGAATTGAATTGCAGACCGTGTGATCTTCAGTCCGGTGGCTTATCCACCAGTGAGTCCGATAGAAAACACGACAAGCTATATACATTGCAGGCGCGGATCCAGGGGGGGGGGGGCCGAGCGGGCCTTGGCCCCCCCCCCCCCCCCCCCCGCCAAAAAAAAAAAAAAAAAAAAAAAAAAAGGAGAGAGAGAGAAGGAAAAGAAGGGAAAGGGAAAGAGGAGAGAAAGGGGAAAAAGGAAGAGGAAGAAGAAAAGAAAAGAGGGAAGAAGGAGATCGGGGGGGGGGGTAAAGGACTTGTCTCCCAGGCTGTTGCCTCCCCCTCCCCCCCCCCCCCGCCAGCAAGGTAGATCGGGGGGGGGGGGCTTTGGAGAAATAGAATTCAAACGTGGTTTATTTCCAATTCCATAACGGTGGTTTACAAATAATGCTGAAATGAGATAATTTTCCGAGATTTTTCCTCACTTTATGCGTTTGTTGGAAAATGACAAATTCCTAAATTTACAGCCAGGCAAGAAAATGCTTCTTGAGATGCCTACATATCAGGGCCCGCGGAACGGCAGGGTTTGGGATCTTCGAGCCCTCCCCCCCCCCCCCTCCCCCACACACTTTCTTTGAAAAAGTATATTAAAGAGAAATAGAAAGAAAGAGAGCGAGAAAGAAAAAATAGTTAACTGCCAGTGTCACAATATAATGGGGTATCAAAATATGCTCATCTGACCATGATTAAATGCCTAAAACCCCAAGGGCTCTGCATGCCCCCTGGATTCCACCTATAGGGCCTTAAGACGGGCCCTTAGATGCTCATCTGACGGTCATTTAATGCCTCACCCTGATTTCTGGGGGCTCTGCCCCCTGGACCCCACGCCAAATTGTGTCCTGCCAGTGTCACAAATCATAAGGTATCAAAAATGCTCATCTGACCGTAATTAAGCGCCTAAAACCCCTGAGCTTCCGGGGGCTCTGCCCCCTGGACCCAACCAAGAGCCCTCAGGCGGGCCCCTTCAACTCATCTGACCGTAATTGAGTGCCTAAAACCCTTGAGATTCCGGGGCTCCGCCCCCTGAACCAGTGACCTGCCACTGTAACAATTAGGTATCAAAATAATGCTCATCAATAATGCTCATCCAAGAGCCCTCAGGCGGGCCCCTTCAACTCATCTGACCGTAAATTAAATGCCTAAAACTCCTGAACTTCCGAGGCTCTGGACCCCGCCTAGAGCCCTAAGGCGGACCCCTGAATGCTAATCTGACCGTAAATTAAAACCTTATACCCCTGAGCTTCCGGGGCGGACAAGGTATCAACATTATGTTTATCTGACCGCAGGCGCGTAGCCAGGGGGGCGGTGGGGTGGTCCCCCCCATAAACGCCGGCCAAAAGAAAGAGAGGAGTGAAAAGGAAAAGGACGTAGGAAGAAAAGGGAATAGACAAAGAACATTTTTGAAATTCAGACAAGGATTAAGAGTCGAGAACGGTACAACGAATCGTCTTCTTTCTTTAATAATTTAATGAAACGTCGAAGCTTTCGCACTTTGCTCGGGTGGGGGAAACTAAATTATTTTCGAGAGCGGAACAACGAATCGTCTTCTTTCTCTTATGATTTAATGAAACATAAATGCTTCCGCGCTTCGCGTGGGAGGGAAACTGAATTTAGACAAGGATTAAAAGTCATAACGGTACAACGAATCGTCTTCTTTCGCTAATGATTTAATGAAACGTAAAAGCTTCCGCGCTTTGCGCGGGTGGAGGAAACTAAATTATTTTCGAGAGCGGAACAACGAATCGTCTTCATTCTCTAAAAATTTAATGAAACGTCTAAGCGGGGGAAAAACTGAATTTAGACAAGGATTAAAAGTCGAGAACGGTACAACGAATCGTCTTCTTTCTCTAATGATTTAATGAAACGTAAAAGCTTCCGCGCTTCGCGTGGGAGGGGTGGAAACTGAATTTAGACAAGGATTAAAAGTCATAATGGTACAACGAATCGTCTTCTTTCTCTAATGATTAAATGAAACGTAAAAGCTTGGGAGAAACTGAATTTAGACGAAGATTAAGAGTCGATAACGACACAACGAATCGTCTTCTTTCTCTAATAATTTAATAAAACGTCGAAGCTTCCGCGCTTCGCGCGGTAGGGGGTGGGGAGGGGTAAAACTGAATTGTGACAAGGATTAAGAGTCGAGAACGGTACAACGAATCGTTTTCTTTCTCTATTATATAAAGCTTTCGTAAAAGCTTTCGCGCTTCCCGCGGAATGGGGGGAATCATAATTCAGACGAGGATTATTTTTGGGAATGGTACAACGAATCGTCTTCTTTCTCTAATAATTTATTGAAATGTCAAAGTTTCCGCGCTTCGCGGAGGAGGGATGGGAAAAACTCGCCCGGCCTCCCTGCCCCCAACCCCCCCCCCCCCCCCCTAATTACGTCACTGCTGGTCACCATTACGTACCAATATTTGGCTCGCATAATTTCAAATTTGGGCCCCCCCCCCCCCCTAAGAAATCCTGGATCCGCGCCTGATACATTGTACATAATACCTCAGTCAATTCGCCAAATCGAATCCAAATCTACTAAAAATAGAATCATTTTGGGCCAGTCGTAAGTTCTTGTCCGTTCTGTTGTTGCTATATAAGGGGCGGTGTTCTGAAACGTCACTTTTGTGTCCATGCCCAGTTAGCACGAGGTTAGTTGTGGGTATGCTTATGGTGGCTATAACCATGAACCTATTACGGATGGACAGTCAACGTGATTCTTTCTTTGATCCTATCATAGTCGCCGTCTTTTGATTATGTGCATCTTAATGAGAACATTCAGCTGTTTTAACAATGATGACTGCGTAAGCATTTTCGGGCTTTGACAAAGGAGCAGTTTCCCTCTCTTGGGTTTTGTTTGGATGGTGTGCTCTGTAAGAGTGTGTCTTAAATAAAAACATTCCCAATGGGGAGCAGCAAAGTTGAAAAGCAGACGATTTTGGTGATATGAAATGTATTATTACTGATTCGAACACCTTCGCACACCCCCATGACCTTATAAAACAATTAGAAGGCCATAATCTTTATAAGCCCTGTGCGTTGTAACTCTGGAATATTATGCGGAAATTGGGGAAAACGGGATTTTAAATCACAACCAATCCAAGTATAACCTCTACCTGGTAATATCAATATGTGTTTCAAAATAAAATACAGTACACGGAATATCAATTTCCGACTATAAACCAGAACTGCACATCGATTTTCCATGATTTAAGCGAGTTATTATCTTCTGCGCATGTAGATTAACATGTTTAAAATCACTATCTTGATTCTGTTCCGGCTTATTGGCGGCGACCATGATGAGATCAAAGAGAAGAAACATGTACGGAATGTTATTGAGACGACATTGACGAAGACAATCACAATGAATTCATTAAGAAAACGATGAATGCCCATTCGTAATAGGTCCATGCTATAACCGAGCCACCAAGGTAACTAGCGCTGAAACATATCAGGTAACCATTCACACCTGGGAATGTATAGATTAACGGTTTGCTACAGGACACTTGTGTCGGGCAGAGAATTAAATTGCAGACCCTGTGATCTTCAGTCCGGTGGCTTATCCACCAGTGAGTCCGATAGAAAACACGACACGCTATATATATAATACCTCAGTCAATTCGCCAAATCGAATCCTAATCTACTAAAAACAGAATCATTTTGGGCCAGTCGTAAGTTTTTGTTCGTTCTGTTGTTGCTATTTTACTTTTGGGGTTGTAGAAAAAGGGGACCAGCCTAGATAGGTCAATGGCCTTTTCTGGTCCCTCACATCCCTACTCCACCCATTAATCATTTTAGTGTTACTGTTGTTGTTTTATTTTGTTGTTGTAATTGTTCTTATTATATTCTATATATATTGCATTTTGTATAATTGTATTTTGAATGTTATAATGCTGTAAGTTTTTATTGGATGTGAAATAAACTGAACTTGAACTTGAACTATAAGGGGCGATATTCTGAAACGTCACTTGTGTCCATGCCCAGTTAGCATGAGGTTAGTTGTGGGTATGCTTATGGTTGACGCCTGTGGTGTTCTCGCAGTGGTTGAACTATATGGAGTTAAAAGAGTTTTGGTTTTCTGAAAACTCTATTAGCAACTAACTTCTAAACCATAAAAGACCTAATAGGCCTTTTTTATACACTGACATTTCGTTATTCGTGTTAATTGTGTTGTCTTCAGCTGCGATGAACTACGGAGAGGTTAGTTGTTCGCGTCCTATCCGAGGGGGAAGTATGGGAGTGGAAGATGGACGAATCCCAGACTCTAGTCTCACCTCCTCATCGATTTATGATTCTCGTTTCCCTGCATATAATGGAAGATTGAACGGCGGAGCGACGTTACCTGAAAAGGTAGCATGGATTGCCAGCGTCGATGACATAGATAAATGGGTCAAGGTGAGTCCGGTAACACTAATTATAATAATGATTTGTTTTTTTACCAAGGAAAGCCAAGTCAGCATTAATGCCATTCTCCTTGAAGTTCGTACACTTACCAAATTCTTAACTTCAACAGCAGACATAGCGCTAACCTACCCTAATCGTAACCCTAACGTAATGTCCAAATGAAACCCTAACCCTAACCCTAAGATGGCATATGATTATGGATGATTTTTTCCCTCCCCTGCTGCTTTGAAAGCAAGTATTTGCTTGTATTTGTTCAGACTTGTTTGCAAAGATATTTCTTTGAGCTGTAAAGCGCTTCCATACTTAAAAACTAGTTTCGCATTGCCCTGGATAGTTGGAAACGCTATGGGGATGCATATTCTTAGTTTTTGTCTTGATCACTTAAAGCCCCACTGTCCTACTTGTAGCTACTTGCTCCCTCTATATAGAAAACTTCCCCAATCGGTGCCAGTTGGTCCCCCATGATCCTCTTTTTCTTATGTTAGTTGAGAGCTGAGTTGATGAGATAGCCACCTGTCAGTGACCTCGCTGTATGGTCTAATCCCTCCTAGACAAACTAGTAATGACGGTCTTTAATAAAGATGTTAGGAAAGTGTGTGACCTAATGAAAACTGTTTGATTTAAAGCATGAAACCTCTCTTCTTCTTAATATGTTTTTAGTCGTCATCTTACGGCCACACACAGACACACACGAACACACATAATATATATATAAATATATGTATATCAAGCTAATTAGCATGTATTCATGCTCAAAGCTAGGATCCAACTGAGGCACAGGGCTTGTCATTATTAAAAAATCACCTGCCCCCCCCCCTCCCCCCCCCCCCCCCAGTCAACTGAATCTGGTTTCGCCCAAACGACTGACCCGTCTCTGTGGTCTAGTAGTTATGACATTGGCGTTCTAACCCATTCTCAAATGGGAGGGCAGCAATTGGAAACTCTGATAGAGCTTAGCACCATTTTTCTCGAACTTTCCTTTTTCCAAAATTGCATATACAGTGCGTCCCAGAAAAAAAAAGAAACTGAGAATTTTCGATGTTTTATCATAACTTGATCTCATTTATAATTGATAAATGACACATATTTAAAAAGCTTAGATCCTCTCTTTTTATTTGATGCAACTTATTATGATGCATATGTCACGCATGAGTGATTAAAATCAATTTGAAGAGAGGAAACCGAAAAGTCGTTTGGCAGGCGGTATCTGAATTTCAAAGAGAAAATCACATTTCTAGAAAGTTTGGTTTCTTCCCTTTCGTATGACACCTCAATCAGGAAAAATGAACAAGGAATGACAAAGTTCTGTTTGTTTAAAGTAGCCCTTACATTTTCATAATTTTAGCAAACAAATTCGTTTCGTTTTCACTGGCTGCCTGCCGTAGCAGAAAGCAGAATAGACAAAAGACTTAACTCCGTTTCGTTGACAATCAGCCATGCATGAAGTCTTTCGTCTACGGCTGATTGTCAACGAAACGGAGTTAAATCTTTTGTTAATTTCGTTTGTTGGTACGGCAGGCAGCCAGTGAAAACGAATTCGTTTTATCAAATTATGGAAATGCAAGCATTACTTTAAAAAAACAGAACTTTGTTATTCCTGGCTCATTTTTCCTGATTGAGGTGTCATATGAAAGGGCAGAAACTCAACTTTCTAGAAATGTGATTTTCTGTTAGAAATTCAGATACCGTCCGCCAAATGACTTTTTGTTTTCCTCTCTTAAAAATTGATTTTAATCACTCATGCGTGAAATATGCATTTTTATGAGTTGCATCAAATGAAAGAGGATGATCTAAGCTTTCCAAATATGTGTCATTTATCAATTATAATTGTGATTAAGTTATGATAAAACATCGATAATTCTCGGTTTCGTTTTATCTGGGACGCACTGTATACTAAAAAGAATAATAACGTAGTGATGCGCTTATCAAGTTAACGTCTCTATGCGCTTCCAAAGGACATTTGATATTAGTTATATGAGAGCCGTTGTTTGCAAAGATGTTTGCATTTGTCAAATGTCTTTGTCTCCCAAAACAACCACCTAAACTTTAAACAAGACCCAATAACCAATGTTATAATTACCAATCTATTTTTAGGAAAATGACATTTCCATATGTTTTGTACACAAATCACGAAAATGAGCGATTTTCGGGCTGACATGCAAAAACAAAAGGTCACGTGACCTTGTGACTGTAGGTCCGATTTTCAAAAAAAATCTTTGAAAAGATGCGCAAGACTCGAAATAAAAAAGTAAGCGAGCGGCGGGGCGCCATCCATATGCGTTCCCGAACAATCAGAAAAATCGTGGAGGGGGAGCCATAATGCCCCCCCCCCCGGCATTATTAGGGTTAAACCAGTAAGTGCTCAGTTAATATATGTAGCATTTATCATAGTCCATCAATTTTGCTATAATAATAAGAGTCGTGTGTATTGTAATTGTCTTTTGTTTGAATTTTTGAAACTATCGTGACTTTTGTTTTATGCATATTTGTTATCACTGAATGTCTTGCCTAACTAATAAAAATAAAATTACCCGAAAAATGGTTGAGGGCCTGTTTTATTAGTTGTGGCTTTTGTTATGCAAAGACAATTCATATGTTCTTCCTAAATTACTGATTTTGCACTTTATGAACTATTTTAAGATTACGCTGAACCATCACTAAAAGGGTAATGATAAATTTGTAATCAATGCTGGCTACTGGTATCTTTCACCTAAGCCTTGAAGAAAAGTAAAAGTGAAACCCAGAACCTGAAAACTATTTAATTTCGGTGTAAATCTAGATTTCTGCTTGCTCTCCAGTTTTAAATAATTTATTTATATATATATATATATATTCATATTCATTTATTAATTACTTACTTGTTGATAATTCTTACTCCCATTTATGCACTGACGAGTCAGATAGATCTTGGAAAGGCCACCGACGTTACTGGTGTTATCGTACAAGGCAGATACGAGTATTCATACTGGGTTACGTCTTTCAAGGTATCCTATTCGCTGGATGACGTGATGTGGACTTTCGCTTTGGAACCACAATGTAGTGAACAAAAAGTAAGTTACTATGTCAGTCAGACGTAACTTCGGAATCCGGACACAGTTAAATACGCCGAAAACAGCGTACAACGCACGATTAATATAGAGCCCGTATAGTTCAATGCGAGGCATTGTGTAAAACGGCATTGGGAAAACATTGCGACCTGTTGTTGATCTCCATTCATTTAAAAAAAATGATGCTGTTGATATATTTTTTTCTTTCTAAACGTTTGTCATTGAAATAAAGTTATGACCCCAAATATCCACAGATCTTTTACTCTTGGAGAAGTCCCAATTTGTGTATTTTAGATTAATCAATGCCAAAGTCATTTATGTGCTTCATGAACAAGCTTTTGTTTGCCCTCTTGTATCATAAGAATGTACCGTAGGTGCACACGTGAATATTAGGGACTTTTAGATTCGCACGAAGACAATATTAGGTCTATGCTACGATCGACGTCCTTGTAATGCACTGCCTTGAATAGACGTCACACGTATCAGTCCACGCAAATCTAAAAGTCCCTAATGAGCACGTATTCCTGTCCGTGGGTTCAACAATTTTATCAGAAATGACCTTTATCTGTCCATGCGCAGATAGTATTTACAAAAAGGCTTAGCTTCCAATGCACGAGACCAAACATTCCGAAATATCCCGTATACCTACAGCCCATGAGACATTAAAATACAGGGTATTCTACTTACACTTTACTTTAATGTTACGTTCACTGCCATCTGCTGCTCAGTGTCCCGGTGTGTCGACAGCCATGTCCCACAATGCAATACCCACCGATAACGCGTTGTTTTTGTTGTTGTTGTTGTTGGGTATGTTGGCGCTATCCATCGATTTCGATTTCCGCCAGGCTGTGTGTGAGGGCGTCTTGCTCTTCTGCTGCTCTACGTTTCTGTGATTTTGATACTTATCATACTTGCCCAGTGTGTGCATGAGATAAAGATTTATCTTGGCCTTTGTTAATGGCTAAGTGCAAGATTGAAGATTATGGTGGGGTTAATGTGCTCGTTACTCAAGGGTGTCGATTTGTATCCGTGGTTGGGGGGGGGGTGATATAGGTGCCTAAATATTTTCGGCAATGGATCAAAGCAACCAAGGGGTTAGAAGCGTGTGCTACTTTTGCGCTTCGCGTTTAACATTTAGCTTGTTGCTTTTTAACGCTGCGGCCTTGAATTTGGCGCAATGCATTTCTATGATGCTGTTGATTGAACAAATTGAATACATTCATCAATTCCTGATGAAGCCGTATGAGCGAGAATTCAATTTATTCTTGTCTCATATACGGTTGTCTCATTTACTTCGTACATGTATATGTAATTATGACAATGAGATAGCAAAATGTGTATGTTGATGGTCATCTTGCGAGTAATAACCAACTACTCTCGTCTGGCTCTCATCATTAATTTTTCTCTTCATTTTTTTTTTTTTTGATGGTGAATTATTGGGGGGATGATTGTACAGGGCATCCCCCCACCTGAAATATTGGGGGGATATATCCCCCCCATCCCCCCCCCCCCCCGGGATCGACACCCATGTCGTTACTCATTATTTTTTAGTCATTTATTGTTAGAGCTGGTTGTAATTAATATCATGAAGTTTCGGTGTAAATTTATAGGGTTAATGATAAATAATGTGTCTTATGTTTAGTATGCGCATTTAATAATCGGATGCCATCATTTATTCAGGCTTTCGTATGTCCATCATCTCCTCCGCCACTCTGTTACTTTTTAGAAAAATAAAAAAATCCTGAAAAGCACAAGAATGATAACAACACAATGCTATAATACACTTTATAATTCTCGATATCTTCCAGTACCTTTTATAAAGGCTAAAATGATTGAGCAGTTTTCCAAGTAGATTTTTGAGGATTTTCTTTTTTTGCGTAGCGATGCTTGGGTACAGGAACCGGAAGTCGCTTTATGCACGCATTCACCGAATGATGGCGAAATTAACGATACATTACAAATTGCATAATAAACCATTTTTAATTGAACCAAACAATTCATTTTGTGTAATCATATATATTCATACCCAGCTTACATGTATTTATTCGACATCGTTTTTAGACAATTTGATCATGTCTATTCGACAGCAATTCATGTACTTTTGCAATTTGCAGTTCAGCTAATGCCGCGAGACAAATTGTATAATAAACCATTTTTAATTGAACCAAATAATCCATGCAATGCCCCTAAAATGATCCTTTCGTCTTCATGATCTTCAGGTCTACGTGGCAAACTACGTTAACAACATTCCCGAGACCATACTGTTCCCTCGACCAATCACTGCTCGATACGTCAGAATACACCTAGTCACGTGGCACAGACTCCCGGCCTTAAGATATGAAGTTCTTGGCATAGTTGAATAGACTGAAGTTTTACAGCATGAGGACTTCTTCTGTTGTTTTGTTTGTATTTTATATTATTATAATTATTATAATAATAATTATATTATTAATTATATTGTTATCATTATCATTATTATTATCATAATAATATTATCATTACCAATAACTATTTAATATTATCATCATCATCATGATTATTATCATTACTGTTATTATTACTATCATTATTTTTTTTTTATTATTACTATAATTCATTATTATCATTATCATTATTACTATTGTTATCATTGATATCATTATGCTTATCACTATTCTTATTTTGTGTAATTGCTTATACATTTCGAAAAGTAGTTATTCGCATCATTGCAAAACCTGATCTCACACACTAGTGGAGGATAATCACACCATGGAGGTGGTTTGATGGGTAGGTCCCTGGAATATGTAGCACAAGGTACCGGGTTCGAATCCCTGTCACGGCTCAAGTGTCATTTGGCTAGACATTAATCTAAATTATTGTGCCACTCTTCACCCAGCTGAGGTAAATGGATACCGTGTAGGAATTCGTTCATTGAATTTCTAGAGCGCCGTAATATCAGTCACGCTTAAACTGGGGGTGATGACCGTGTACATTATTGATAATGAATACTTAACGGTAGCGTTTAGTCAACAGTTTAATCAACAGCATGTATTATGTTGGGATTAGCGGAGTGAGAGAATGAATTGAAAGTATCAAGTGAAATGCATTGCATATGCTTTATGTAGAAGCAGAGTCACCCACGCACACACACACGCGTACACACGCTCGTTGATATTTGATAATTTGATATGAGTGCCATGATTAATTTTGTAAGGGATGTTATTTGGATCTGCAAAAACCGATTTAATAACCAAATCCCAATTCTTTTATTTACACATCACATAAGCAACTTCGGCGCAAGTCGAATTTTGCACTCTCGCAAACAATGCCCCCTGTTCATCCATGCGTGAACACATACCTCACAAAAATGATACCAAATGATTTGGGATAAAACACTTTTTCATATGATGTTTAGTAATTTACTGTTCATAGATGATTTTTAAAATAATTATTAATTATCTAGGTGTAAACTTTTTTTTTATTCACACTGTATAGTCAAATATCATAACGGGTCGTACGAAATCTGGATGCAGTCTCGTAAAATGCGGAGAATGCAGAAGTGTTACTTGAATTACTGGATTACATGTATTTACCTAGGTAAACCGATTAGCGATACTTGTATCAAATTGTTTGTAAATCATATATAAAACATGTGAATACTATATCAGTCTTTTTATAAATAATAGGTTCATAGGTGTTATTAACACAGACGAAGATCTCTTCTTTTGATACACTTTAATATGAGAGCCCAAACAACTGCCTTCAAGAGTTTATTTATAGTTTTGAGTTTAGAATATATATATATATATATATATATATATATATATGTATATCAGAATGTATATCAAAATGTGTATAGAATATATAGTACGTACGTAACATGTAGAGTGCAACATTATGTAAATTGTCATAATTAAGTTTGCTTGATACAGCAGATGAGTTCTCTTGTGGGGGCATGTCTGACGTAGCACCACAAGGCGGAGCTATAAAATGTTAGACTTATAAGATATACAAACATGTATTATTACATAAATGCATTTGAAATATCTATTTATTTATAATGAACAGAAGTAGATTCATAGTCCTCAAATAGTACAGATGATAAGACATGGTATAGTATTTTCGTAATGATAGCACAAGCATTATGTGCTCAGCATTGGTCAAACTTACATTACATTTACAAATATGAATTTAAAATAATTATTTGCATTATATTACAAATCTTTCAAGATAGCTTTCATTCCTACTTTGCTGTTGGTTGCTGTGAGATGAAATTAAAATGTACGTGTTACACCTAAAATTAAAGAGAATCCGTTGTTATGGTTGTGTATTATGTTTTGAAGCCAAATAATACAATGGGGTTGGAAGAAGGTTATCAAAGGGGAACTATTTCAAAACAGCAGTTTGTTATGTATGCTTATGGCTTCATGGCTGTATAATTTAATCGACGAACTTCTAATGTCGCTTTGTAAAGAAATATTGGAAATTCAAAAAACCGAAAATACACACTTAACCCTAAAAAGGCCGCGCTAAAAAATACGGCCAGGGGCATTATGCCCCCCCCCCCCCCTCCTAATATCTCGGCCTAGGAAGGTCCAATTAATGTGAAAATTAGCATGGTGATAGATTGAAGTATATTGAATAAAATAGTAATGTTCATTTTTCTTTTATGTTTAATTATTTATTTGTTATTAATATTTGTATGACAATATGCAATTTTGGGGGAAATATACTTACACTCGCACATTTTGATGGAGAACAAAATGACATAAAGGCCAGATTCTGGACTACCGGCGCGCCTGCATGCAGTCGCCATAGTCTCACATTATTTTGCGTTGTACAGCTGACAAGGGTGTGTTCCTGCAAACTAGCGTTCAATCTCTCTGATGTAACTGGAGCCATCATCCTCTGTGAATTGTACTTACAATTTTTACAAGGTCTTTACTTTTTTTGCAGGTATATGTAAACCATTGACCACTTTAGAAGCTCATAATTGCCAAAATATTCAAAATATTCGCAATACGCCACGCAGACCTTGACATTTGTTTGTTTGTTCTGTTTTCTTTAATCCCGCACTGCACTGCTTATAGCGACATGTACTTGCGCCCTCTATATAGCAAACAATGCCTTATCGGTCCCCCGGCCATGAAAAAGACAAAATGATCCCCTTTTTCTTATGTTAACTGAGAGCTGATTGGATGAGAGTGAGACAACCACCTGTCGGTGACCTTGCAGGGAGGTCTAATACCTCCTGGCCAAACCAGCGAAGAGGGGCTTTAATAGTAATAATAATAGTATACAAAATATTGACTACTTTGAGTGGCATATGGTTGGTAAACACCATTGCCGAGGGTGATCTCGAAACTGCTTTTTATCTAGTGCCTTTTTTCTCGTGTGAAATAAGTGGTCTAGCGCCACCTATTGTAGAAAACATTATAACGGGTCTCTACCCTGAAATTAGCCCCCCCCCCCCCTCCCTCTCTCTTTATGTCTCTCTCTCTCTCTCTCTCCCTGTATCCCTCTATCTCTCTCTCTCTCTCTCTTCCTCTCTGTCTCCCCGTCTCTCTTATCTTTTATGCTTTGCCTATTCTCAGAATCTGCTTCATTTGTATACACTCTTTTTCTTACCAGAGAGCTGTGAAAAAAACTCCCAGCTCCCTATTTTACCCCCATATGACAACTTGCATTTGTAAAATTACAAAGTAAATACATCGTAGACAAGAAATATTTGAATTATTGAAATGATTGTATTTATTGCGTGATTCTCCCGATAATGAATCAGGTACAATGCTTAAATGTTTATGGTCGCAATAAAATATTGATTACACAAAATTGTATGTGATAAATGTTATAGTAATTATTATCATCATCATTGTCATAATCATTATTATTATCATCACCTTAATCATCATCATTGTTATTTTTATTATATACATAATTTATTTAAATGTTATTATCATCATTATTATTATCTTTTTTTGGTATTTATTCTTTAAATAATCCTCGTTCACAAGCATCTTGTCATAAAAAGCTTTAGAACCAAGGATTGGATCATTTCTACTCACACAATATACCAGAATATGCAATAATAATTTGTTCTTTTGTTTCTCGATATAATTCAAAACCATTATAAAGAACAATCAAACCCATTGTCAGCAAAATTTCAGGTAGCTAATTAATACCCACATAAGCATGATCATGTATGATTCAACTTGGCAGTATAAAGTACAGTGGAAACTCATTATACAGACTCTGACTCTGATATCAACAAGGTAAAACAAGTTAATTGATATAACGAGGTTATTTTTAGGCATAGTCCCAAACTCCCACTGTCCCTATTATGACGTGTTTTTACCGTGTATAAATTATTGCCAGAGTGGTATTGTTTCTCTTAAAATAGCCATATAGTTCTCAACAGAATGTATATCCGAATACAAACTTCCCATAGCAAAATAAGGTAATTCTACAGATTGAAATTTGGAAGTATTGGTATTAAAATTGGGAATTTGAATAAAAGAGAAAATAGCAATTTAATTGACAATAAAAGTGAAAATTGCAATTTGACCAATGACAATGATATTGAAATTGAGGGTCAAATTGAAATTGAAATTAAAACTGATATTGGAATCAAAATTTGGAAGAAAACTCTAAGCCATCTGACTGACCTGAAATTCATACCCTGTACTAGTCTTGTGTACTATTGTTAAAAATATGTCAATGCTAAAAATATTACATTTTACAGAAAACTTGATTTATGGTCTTGAATTGCCCTGTTAACAAAAAATTATCTAAAAGTTATTTGGCATTTGGGAGAAGATGAAGATGTGGTACCGGTACTCAAGAAAATAAGATTTGAGCTAGCTCACTATTTATTAGTCATCTTTAGCTGAATTCAACTTTTTGTTAGCATGAGAGAAATTTTGATGAAAACGAAATGTCAAATATGCAAAATATGTAGTATGCACAGAAAATCAAGCTAACTGTCTGTGTGCTTATTATTGTCAGTAAGAACAGTAGAGGTGTTGTGGACGAGTGGACATGCCGCCGGACTGTGGATCACAAGGTCCGCGGATCAAGTCCCACCGCAGCACTAATGTCCTTTGGCAAGACATTGATCTACATTTGCCACTCCTCCACCCAGATGGTGAATGGGTACCCGGTAGGATCTGAAAGCTTAGATTAGCAAGTGTGTGCTTGTAAAAGTGACGGCTGGCTGGAATGCTTCCAAGGAAGAGGAGAATGGGCATACATTGTGTGCGGGTAAGCCTGAATTCGGGGAAATGATATATATATATATATCTGATAGGCGCTATATAATAACAAGATATTATTATTATTGTGCTTGTATAAATATACCCTAATCAAGTACCTCAAACCCTGGACCTAGCACTAAAAAACCCTTAGCTGAAACCACATAGTGCTACTCAATGTCCATGTGTATAATTATTGCCTCATAAATCGCTTATCAATAATATTAATTAATGTGTCTGTGTGTGTGCAAAAGTCCCTCAGACAGCGAACCCATGGTGCCACCAGAAAACACTCAAACTTGCCTATTCATATCACAAGGATGAGGGAAATTTAAATCAACATGAGGATTCCTTACACAAGACCTGTCTGTCATGAGAGTGCTTTCTACCAACACCTTTTATTGAATAAATGCCAGAATGGTGTCAAGTTCCCCACGAAAACGACTACTATGAGCCTTTAAAGGTATAGATCAGTTCTGCGATTGCATTGTGAAAGAAACGTTGTGGAATCGATCAGAAAAGGTTGATCATCTAGCATATATTGAAGTGTACTGCAAGGATCTGGAATCATCAAAATGATAAGAAATTTGGCCCAGTCTTGATAAAGTTACAAGCACTGTTAACAGAAAGATGTATGTATGGCACACGCCACTACGCAATATCTATCCAGGCCGGATATATAGATATTATAATTTACCAAATATATCAATTGGTGGGTGGTTTCCCGACAAAATGTGTATCATCATGTATTAGACAAAACATATTCTTTTACATGATTTCCAAAACTGGTCTATACCTTTAACATAATGTAAAACCAAAGTCCACCATTTAGCTTTGAAGCAATAAAGATCAGAGCCACAGATCAACCCATTGACAACTAAATTATATACTTTCTATAGACTGCAAAAATGAACCAAACGATTCCCATTTACAATGGGTTTCACCGCTAAAAGAATCATATAAAGACACACGTAAACATCTTACATCGGCAAATAAATTCTCATAAAGCATATATTATTTGACGGAATAATCACACACTGATTTGGGCAGATAATGTTTGGAAGTCTTCCATTTTGGCAGTCCATCATGACACATCGATTCAATGGATTGGTGTGAACAGTAGACACTTTGTTTAAACACAATGGCCCGTATTCTGAAGTCGTGTCTAACTTAGCCACGTCTAAAGTTAAACAACTGTTTAGTTAGACACGACTTAGACAGGACTTAGACGCGAGGTCGTGTCTAAGTCCTGTCTAACTAAATTTCTTATTCTGAAGTCGTGTCTAAGTCTCGTCTAACTAAACAGATGTTTAAGTCCTGTCTAAGTGCTGTTTAACTAAACAACTGTTTAAGTTCTGCGCAAGTCGTGTTTAACTCTTAGTCACGACTTCTGCGCATGCCCAGTAGGCGTTAATTATGACGAAAGACCCAATGGGCATGCGTGCGCGCACCGGATAAATAAATTAACGCGCACAGCTAGCTGTGCGCGTGCTGGTACCATGGTGATGTGATCGTGACGTAATGACTAGACTGCATGTACTTTGTGTACGTACGTACGTAGTTCACGTACTGTACACTGAGATTGACAAACACACTACTTATCAGTGCCTCAGTGCTCGGAAGAACCAGAAAAGAAACTTCTCCAACAGAATGGTTAGTTTATTATAGATTATGGAATTTCCAAGATGTCACCAGTAGATAAGAATAGTTAATATTATCGAGAAAAAAAATTAGGCTACACGAGAAAAAATCCTGCAAAACGTATTTGAAATTTTAGAGAATGCACGTACCATCGTTCTCCCCCGCAAGTTCGGGGTTAGCAAGTAGAGTGTACCGTCGACGTTGAAAAGCAGCAGAATCGCGCCCTTAAACAGGACTTAAACAACCCCTCGCAGTTGTCTAAAGTTAAACAGGACTTAGACAGGACTTCGTGTTTAACTTTATTTAAACACGACTTCAGAATACCAAAAAAGTTAGACACGACTTCGTGTCTTAAGTTAGACGGGACTTAGACAGGACTTGGACAACTGTTTAGTTAAACAGGAGTTAGACACGACTTCAGAATACGGGCCCATCAGTCAAATACATATTGTCTGTTTGGAGCCAGAAGGGCGTTAATTCTATGTTAAAGTATAGTATTTAACATCTTTCTGGCTCCAAACAGATTTCTGTTCACACTTCACAGCCATTAGTGTGTTAACTCTGCGTTAAAGTATACAAGTTAATGACCTTCTGGCTCCAAACATATATCCGTTGAGAGCCAAAATTTACATTCGGTTAAAGCCCTTTTCAATTCTCGGCTGATGATATTCTCATTTGAAATATATTTCAAATCCGTTGAGAGCCAAAATTTACATTCGGTTAAAGCCCTTTTCAATTCTCGGCTGATGATATTCTCATTTGAAATATATTTCAAATCCGTTGAGAGCCAAAATTTACATTCGGTTAAAGCCCTTTTCAATTCTCGGCTGATGATATTCTCATTTGAAATATATTTCAAATCCGTTGAGAGCCAAAATTTACATTCGGTTAAAGCCCTTTTCAATTCTCGGCTGATGATATTCTCATTTGAAATATATTTCAAATCCGTTGAGAGCCAAAATTTACATTCGGTTAAAGCCCTTTTCGCTCTCGACTGATGATATTCTCATTTGAAATATATTTCAAATCCGTTGAGAGCCAAAATTTACATTCGGTTAAAGCCCTTTTCGCTCTCGACTGATGAAATTCTCATTTGAAATATATTTCAAATCCGTTGAGAGCCAAAATTTACATTCGGTTAAAGCCCTTTTCGCTCTCGACTGATGATATTCTCATTTGAAATATATTTCGAGAGGAGCAGTATTCTTCTGCTCCTTTCTCTGCTTTAATAAAGCTTTCTTCTCAGCCGTATCTTTTATCACCTTCTCATACTCGGGATGATTGTCTTTGAACGATATCTTCCAGAGTCTGTTAGGACTAGTCATGTGAGTTCCAAGCTTACTGCGTTGGCTCTCTCGATCAATTTCATTCATCTCTCGGAACTTGGTCGTAACCGTGGAGTGCGGCTCTCCGTTGAATCGTCGCTCATGTCGAACGAACCCTTCGGGCGGGGCGATGTTCCCGTCCATGTCCATGGGCGGTACCCGCATCTGGCTGCGGAGCTTGAGCCGCTGGAAGTCCTCTAGCTCCCTCATGGAGTGGGCAATGGCCAGGTGGCGTTTCTTTGTGTCACGGATGACCGGCACTTCGCTGAGGAACTTGGTAAAGGTGTGATCACCCATCTCGGAGTGCGACGGAATAGCTACGGGGTATATAGCCGCAATTGTTTCTTTGACCCGCCTACCGGGCGTGGCTATCTTGTACCCCTCCCCATGACTGAAGTTCCTCCATACATTACTGTTATACTGGGCATCCCAGCTTGGTGGAAACGGTGGGGCGCGCCTGCCGCTCTCCACCCACATCCGGAACGCATCCGATGGCTCCGGCTTGCACGACTCCTGGACGCTGGTCCTAAGTTTATGCTTGATTTCAATATTCGATAAAGACCGAGGCGGCCGTTTCGCGCATCTCGCTTGGATCGGTCTCAGTTTGAAAGAGGTCTGGTGTGCTGATTTATCATCATAGATGTATTCCCGTTCTTGGAGTAAGAGTTCAGGTGAGTTGTCAAAATAGTTGTACAAAGGTAATGTAGACACTTCACTTGCCATCTTTTAAGGTGGACCTGTCAGGAAAGAATAAAAATGTTGAGTATGAATTACTGCATGGTAGGCGAACTTTTCATTCTAGAACGGATCAATTAACTACTGAAAAATATATACTGTCAAGTTTATTTATAAAACAATTTTCTACACATTCTATTCTCATTATCAAAGTACTATTAGCTAGCTTTTCAGTTTGTTATATTTTTCATCAGCACAGATTACAGAATTTAAAATGCAGTTTAACAGTTTTAGTTAGCATAATCTAGACTATATCTGATAAGTATTAGAATAAACATTGACTTACTTAGTTTAGATTATTAATGTATTATTACTAGTACTGCCCTTTTGACTTTTCACATTAGCACAGAAATTATGATACAATATATTGACCACTCACCTGCTATTTATTAAGTAAAATGTTTTTGGATTGTTCTCTCACCAAGATCAAGGTCAACACATCAAACTGCAGAATTACTTCTCATAATGATTGTTGGACTTGAACATGCATGCAGGACTGCAATCACCAACCTGAGCTGAGCTCAGGCAGTCGGATCGGCGTCCCTCGGCCTCGACACTAGTAATCAATGCAATGCAATGTTGTGTTGAACTCGTCAAAACCTTGGCGAATTGCTTGGCTGGGGAACAATAACCTCTGTATGTCACAGTTATACAGTCACACCTCCTCAGTCTGACTACAACAAAATGTGGTATTTCACAACGTCTTCGTGATACATGTATTTCCTTTTATCTAAAAAAAAAAAAAATCAGACGAATTTGTTATTGATAGCCTGTTAAAATGATCACACGGATGTTCTATATCTATGCACCTGTTGACAGCGTCTATACACTTCTGGTAAGACGAGTCGATGCGTTGCAGGGATGATACAAAGTATTATTATCTACTAAAGGATTGATATTTTGTTATTTATTTTAAAAAACACATCTTAACATTTACATTCATTTAAATAATATTTATAATTTTGTAAATTTAATTTTGAAATATCTAAAAATATTATTTTGTTTATTGATTTTGTTGATAAAACAACTTTTTAGGTCTGTAACCCCTACAAACTAATAGAACAGTCTCACAGGTTTCTTAGCAACATCTGGGGCTGTTCGATTAAGAGGATTTTCTCCTCTTTGAAACGTGTGATTTCATTATTGTCTTGTTCATATCATTCAAGAAATATCTATACAGTTGCCAAATTCATATTGATATAATATATTTTGAAATCTTCTTGCATATTTTTAACTTGTTTATTGGATATAGATGCAACAATATGTGAGTTTGTTGTAATATTTACAAGTTCAAAGCAGGGAGTGTAAGAAGTAAATGTAACAGCCAATTAATCTTTCACGATCGTGCATATTATTAGCCCTGTGTAATTGACTCAAGTCACATCTTAAAATGACATTCTTCTCATATTTGTCTACATTTTAAACTGTCAGATGAATGTACGTGTAATTATGGACCGAGTTAGATACTTTACAAGTCTAGGTGTTTTCTATTGGTGAGTATTATCGCAAAATGTAAGATTGACCATGGCCATGGGAAAATGAAAGTTTCCCAGCGTGTAGTCCCATCCGTTTTAACCGGTGTTAGAGGAATCACAAACACGGTCACAGCTATATTTTATGAAAATTATTGCTGACAATTATCGCTACCCTATCATTGTCAGAATTGCATGTAACAATGTTTACCATAGGTTGGTTCAGTTTTACAGCTAAGTATGACGAATGCCGACTGGATCAAATGAATTCAATAAACTGAACAGAATTCACTGAGCTTAAAACTCCGCTAGGGCTAGGCCTATCCTTCTGTGTAGATTAGATAGATACATTTTGTATTTGTTCTATGAGTTTTACGGATACAAATATAATTTATATTCTATTACTTCTCTGTTTTCTCTTTTTCAGAGCACTGATCAATGACTCTGCATTCTGCAAGATGTCGGACTTCAAGGCCAAGTACCAAGCACTGCAAATCCTGCAGCGCCTGGCATCTGGTGAGAAACTTCCTGGCAAGGAAAGAAGTCCAAGCCTGTCGCCACGGAAACCGGGCATCAGGAATTCAGATGATATCCTGAAGGAAAAATACAACGAGCTTGCGGAGCTGGTGGCTCTCCAGCACCTAGAGAAGCAAGCTGTGTCGGCCCTGCAGAAGATGTACGTTAGTCCGCCAAAAGGGGAAAGGAGATCTAGGACAACGAGGAGGAGGAGAAAGGATGGAGAGACGAAGAGAAAGGATGGAGAGACGAAGAGAAAGGATGGAGAGACGAGGAGAAGGAGGAAGGAGGATGGTGAGAGAGAAGAATCAAAGAAGCAGAGGCCGATTTCTGCTTCATCCTCCTCGTCTAACTCGTCGCATTCTTCGTCTGCATCATTTGCCTCAAGGACATCTTCTATGTCGAATTCATCAAGGTCATCCTCAATGACAAGTTCATCAAGGTCATCCACTATGACAAATTCATCAAGGGCATCATCCAGGTCCTCAAGGTCATCTACTTCATCAAACTCCTCAAGGACATCCTCAATGTCAAATTCATCAAAGTCATCCACACGGTCAAAGTCATCGTCCACCCCGAAGCCTGTCGAGAGGCACTTTGTCACTATCGTAGAGGAGGAGGAGGAAGAGGAGGTTATCGATCAGGATGCCATCAAAGAAAGACAGATTGTCCAATTTGATGAAGAGCTTGCTCAAGAGAACGAGGAGGAAGCAAAGCAGAAGAAAGATGCGTCTAAACGAATAAGGAAAGTTTCCTTTGTCCTGGAAACGCAGGAAAAGAGTAGCGATGATGAGGGTGGTATGGAGGAACAGATTGAGGACATCCTTGATGGAGATGAGAGATTTGTCCCCGGAGAGGAGAGCTCGCCTTCTTCTTCTAGGCAGCAAGGAAACGATGGAGAACATGATAATGCTGGAGATCACACGCCACGCTACATTGAGATTGAGAACAGTTTACTGAGAGAAATTCTTAGTCCAAGGTCGCCTCGTCGTGGATATAAGTTCTCGCAAAGGTCAGAGGAAAGGTCACCGACTAGGGATAGATCAAAATCACCAAAGCGGAGGCAACAGAGTCCGTCCCCAAAGAAGGCATGGGAAGTACCTCTTCCACCGAGACCTGTTAAAGACATTAATCCATGTGATCATAAGCTGAGTAACACAGATAATCCTGAGATCAAAAAATGGTTGCGTCACAAGAATGCTCTGATTCGACGGGAGAGGAAGGCAGAGCTGAAGGAAGAGAGGGAGGAGCGAAGAGCCGCTGAGGCTGTCAGTCAGAAAAGAGACGATAGACTTGCAGAGTCTGGAGAATTCTATGATAGTTGGGTGAAGCAGAAGAAAAAGGACCTCAGGAGGCAACGTAGGATTGAACGTATTCTGGCAAAAGAGGAGAAGAGGAGACTGGAAGAAGAGAATGCCAAAAGAGAGGAGCTGTTCCAAGAGAAGCTCCGCATGTCTGTTGCTTCCTTCGGTGAGAGGGTCCCAACGCCAAGAAAAGAGAAAATTCAGAGGACGAAGTCTGGGAAATCCAATAGTGGAGAAAACAGTTCGAAATCCAAACGAAAGACAGAAAAGGAGAAAAATAAGGTGTCAGATGCTCCGGGAAAACAAACTTATCCGTCTTCAAATCCATTCAAGGGAGTGACGTATGATGAATGGATGAGGCAAAAGATGAAAGAGGATGAGATGAATCAAAAGAAAGAAAGACGGAAGAAAAAGATGGATCCTGACTTGGAGGATATCATCCCTAATGTTGCTAAAGAGAGGATCGAAAGAGCTAAGGTTGGGAAGGGAAAGAGGGTCAACACTGGTTTGAGGAAGGAGAAGGATGAAAGACCAGAATGCGATCGCCCTTCATCTGAAAAGACGGACGCCCCAAAGCCTTACAGATGGTCCAATGATGAAACAAGCGCCTCTTCTGAGAAACAAAATGCCAAAGGCAGTGATGTCCATGGCAGAGGGGGACTTCAGAGACCAACGACTGCCAGAAATCACATCCGAAATGCACCCCGGCGCCAGAGGGCACCCCCTTCCAGTTCTGACAAGGCCCGGGGCCCTGCTGCGCCTTCCTTCGCCCGACCCGAGCCGCAGGGAAGCGAGAGTAACGATGATCATTCCGAACACGGTGCAAATATACAGAAGGGTAGGCCGACAACACAGAGGAACACAGATGGTAAGAACAATAAGGGCAGGACTCAAAATGGGGAGGGGCGGGTCTGGGAAAAGGCTCTAGTGGAAAAAAGCCACTCACATACTGTCCCTGCTCCTGAAGATTTATCAGTCTTTTTAACAGAATTTGATGGATAGGTTCAAATTTTATGTTAGAGCCAAAGCGATGTTAATCAAGGACTTACATATCCTTGGGGGTGTTTCACAAAGATCCTAAGTTGAACTTATCTCTAAGTTGGACTTAAAATTTATGGGAAGCCATTAGCATCCTTGAAAACATTTTGTAATTTTTTTTTTAGAAGGCATAAAAAATGTTGATTCAAATCATTCATATTTTCTATTATCATGGGAGATTTCATGTTCTTGATGTGGAATTGATGAAAAGTCTAAAATACTCCAATTTTTGCTTTTGAATATATTTCATTTTAAGGCTCCAATGGCTGTCCATACTTTTTAAGTCCAACTTAGGGTTAAGTTCTACTTAGGATCTTTGTGAAACACTCCCCTTGAGCAATAAAAAAATTGTTATGTCACTTCTACAATTGTGGAATATAAAATCACTTATGCAAATTGGTAATTTTGAGGTTGCAATGTGTAATTTTGGTCTTGCATGTGTAGTGAAAGTGAGGCACAGAAGAAGTAGGCACAACTTTCCAGATGATGGTATGAACATTTGAGTCGAGGTTAAGAGAAAAAATGATATTTTGGTTCTTCCACAAAATTGCCCATTTCATTTACCCGAATGGCACCATATTACGCAAAGAAAGTGACAATCAGAAAAGGTAGGAAGAATTTTTATCAATGTTTTTTTGAAATACTGTATGCTTGCAGAACTGAAATTCAGTAAATACTTCAAATTAGTTTAAAATCATAATCTTTATTTTGGGGGTGGGGAGGGGTGCCTAAAGAGCTGGACAGGGGGGAAATGACACTTTGAAGCAGATGGGGTGCAAGGTGAAGGGCATAATTTGACACATATTTAACACTCATAAGAATTGCTTGGGAATGAAATTGTAGAAATGTACGAGGAGAATTTCACCTTGAAGTTGATAAAATGCAGTGATTGCACGTCCATATGACTTTGTGCAAAAATATGGACATCACTATACACCGTATGCTGTAGATTGGGTAATAAAAGCTATTTGAAATATTAGATGTTTGGCCAGTGATCAAGTAGTTATTGTAGATGAACAAAAAAGGTTATGTAGTACATCTTGTTGAAAATATGATAGTACATGTCAAATAGAGTATTATATTTCTGTGAAGTAGTGTTGTGAAAAACATTATTACAAGTCATGTACACCTGTACATGTGAATCTATTTATTTGTAATTTAGATCCTCTTCAGCATGCGTCTGGTATTGGGTATATCAGCAATTCTTTGACGGGTAGCCCATGTATAACATGTCTTGTATCCGTTCAATTTATCCAAATTGCAGAAAGGAATCTCTTGATATGATCATTAACTAAGTAATGGTATAGATACAATGTGCCAAAGAGAACCAATAGTTTATGGTGAGCAACAATAATTTTTGTTGACAGTTGAGAAACGACTTTGAATACAATTATGCGATATGGGCCATATTTCATGGAATCGTTCTTCAACAAATAGGAAAAAACAGTATACTTTCAGTACACATATACTGTTTTTTTACACATTTAGATATTTTTTTGTTGGAAATGATATATTTTGAGTACATGTTTATGCTATAGAACAAAATGAACTGAAATTATATTGTATATTAGGCTGATGCAATGGAAATGTTTAACCTTTATTAAATACCAAAGGAGAATTAAAGTTTTCTTTTTTAGTGGCTTGAGTAGTGGAAGCCAAGGAAGCGCCTATGACTGTTTACATTACACATTAGAGATGATGTATACATTCTGAAATGAAATGTTTGTAAAAGGGTAGAACTAGATGTACTAGCCAAAGAAGTATTTGAACTTTATAATGCCTCCGTTATACCCATCATTATTCAGGCGATGTGCAGACTGAAATGTTATACATGGAGGGCTCAAGAAAGAAAATGAAATGATTGAAAACGTAATTTGTTATAATCTGATATAGTTTAACACACAGGATATTGAAATTTTTATACCTTTGCTCTTTAATAATTAATACACTTAGGTACTATACCCTTATGGCCCTGAACAGAGGGTGTGTACATGTATGTATTTTTAAAGTGTTTTGCAGAATCGTACATTGTTACATCCAGGCAGCTTCAATATATATTGCAAATCTGTATTTTTATCTACATAAAGGATATATGCAGCCATTGAACAAATAGTGCTCTCATACAGGTATTTTGTCATGCAATAGGGAGCAATTGAATTTGTGTTCTAACTAACAAAATGTTAAAAGTTTTTGTAAAAAGTTGTATATTTTCGTGCAATCTGAAATGTAGCCATACTGTACATGTAGCTTGAAGCAAATAGTTTGTCATTTAGATACGTTCATAAATTAAATTTATCTTTGAAAAATTTATTGTATTTTTATAGTACATGTAATACATAGAATTCATATCTTGATAATTGTATAGTTGATGAGGGACCCCTGAAATATGCAGAGCAAAATAATTTGTCACGATTGGTAAGCTTAAAGATATGTTTTCTTTGATATCTGTTTCTCTATCCCAATATGCCCAGGGGGTGTCTCACAATATGCCCAGGGGGTGTCTCACAAAGATCCTAAGTTGAACTTATCTCTAAGTTGGTCTTAATGATTATGGAAAGCTGTTAGCATCTTTGAAATATTTTGTGAAAGTTATTTTAAAATGCATAAAATATAATGATTCAAATCATTCATATTTTTTTATTATCAAGGAGATTTCATGTTCTTGATGCAGAATTTTTAAAAGTCTAAAATACTTCAATTTTGCTTTTGAATATATTTTATTTTTAGGTTACAAATGGCTCTCCATAATGTTTAAGTCCAACTCAGAGTTAAGTTCAACTTAAATTCTTTGTGAAACACCCCCCCCCCCCTGTTCATGCAGGAGCCTAATTTTGTTTTACAAAGGGCCCTCACATGTTCAAAGCTGTTATAAATTCAGTGCATAAGGTTGTGTTATATGTAATTTATATGCTTCTTTTGAAATTTGATTTATCTGTCTATCATGTGCCAAGTCTTTCTAATGATTTTGATATTCTTAATTAGACAGCTCTATGTGCACGAGATTTGCTACCTTGAATAGACTGCCTTTCATGTAGTAAAACTCAGTTTTTTTGTGTTTTAAAGAAATAATTATATACGGGCCCGGTCTTAAAGAGTTGCGATTGATTGGTGTTGGTATCAACTTAAAAGCAATCACAATGTGAAATCAATCACGACTGTGTAATATAAGCAATGGGAGATTGAAATTAATGAATGATTTGGACCAATCGCAACTCTTTATTGCACTGGGCCCTAGAGTATAGTTGATAGGGTTTGATCGTGAATTATGTGAATTTAGCTAATTAAATATGAAGTTTAATGGCTAGTACAACACCTTTTGCTGTCTGTTATTTCCTAACTGCTAGTTTTGATTTGTAACTTTCAATTTGGTTGATTTCTTTTGACTTCCTTGGAGAAGATGTGTCAATGATACAACATACAGAGAAGATGATGATGGGAGCGAGGATGATGAGGGTGATGATGATGAAGATGATAATGGTGATGATGATGGTGATGATGATGGTGATGGTGATGGTGATGATGAAACTGGTGGTGGTATTGATGGTATTGATGATGATGGCAATGATAATGGTGGTGGTTACGGTGACGATGATGGTGGTGTTGGTGGTGATAATGATGATGGTGTTGGTGGTGATGATGATGATGGTATTGGTGATGATGGCAATGATAACGGTGACGATGATGGTGGTGTTGGTGATGATAATGATGGTGATAATGATGATCATGGTGATAATAATGATGGTGAAGATGATATAGTGGTGGTGGTGGCTATAAAAGCTTATAAGCTTTCTGTTGATATAAAATTCATCTAAATTGTATTTCATTTTTCACTTCTGACAAGGTCTTTGAAAGTTCTAATACTACACTTATCTGCTCAGTGAGAGCCTACGATGTAAACGAGTATTGTGACTTTTAAAAAAAGATGTTGTATTGCCCTTTTGGTGCCAAAACATGGGTGGGTCGGTCAGAAAAGAAAAAAAAATTGTTCAACTTTCTTCATTTTTTTCTTCTCCCTCTTTGGGCTGATATTTCTCAGTTTTGAATGCTGTAATATTTTTGTTCTCTAAAAAACGTTAACCAAATAAATCTTTTTTAAAGGTACTATGTCCCATTTGCAGGCCAAAAATATAAAAAGGTTAAATTCCGACGGCATTTGAAAAATGATACTAATTTAGAACTTCACTAAAAAATGGGGGGGCTTGAAAATGTCTTTAAGTAGGAAAATAACGACTACCGGTATTAGTTGTCAAATTGACTTGAGTGCTACCAAGTCAGTAAGTAATAGTCTGATTTTCAGACCATTGTACCGAATGGTCGTATGTTTTGTGCTGCACAAAGATTCAATCAGTTTAATTTTGGCCATTACAAGAAGTGGGTTATTGACAAATGCTCATGTACCTTTTACAGCTCATTTTATGTATGTTATTACTAAAGAAGAAGAAAAAGCCAGTCAGTCACTCAATAGTGTCTGACAGTGAAGTCTAGCAAGTAAACACGTTTCCTTGCGTAATTTGAACTTTAGGACATACATGACATATTCATAATTCCCGCAAAGTTCTACAGAATTTGATGTTGGCTGCAAAAGGGACATAGTTTCTATAAAAAGCAGACCGTAGATTTCAAGATTTTTGGGTCAGTCGCAAAGGGCAATACAACAGCTTTTTTTTTAAAGGCCTAACACCCTCCTGCTCCAAGCATACAATCAAAATAACGACATCATAACAGAGATTTCAACTTTTTTTTTCCACTCACATCACCTCCAATGTGATATTTAATGTGTTGGATACAAGCTTGGGGACGCTTATTTGCTCCTCATATACTACGACACAGAACTTATATATATTTCATTACATAATTATCATTTGAAATGATACATCAAAGCATAGCTTTCTAGGAAAGAAATAAATATAACATACACTGAAATGACTGAATTAGGGTCAGCAATATCCCCAATAATTTTGTTACAATGACGACAAAAAAGATATTCGAGTTGAATATGCACTTTACTTGCAGATGGTTTATAGTTATTTTAAACTTCAAGAACACATGTATTACCACTATACCAGGAATATGGCTGTGGCAGCGGTAAGCATGTATTTGGAATCTTTAATGGCAAGTCTGTGTAAACAGACTTAGCTCACAAATAACAATAACTCTCATTTTTGTGAACTTTTTTCAAAATCATCTTTTTGAATACCTACACTTCCTAAGTAATCTAATCATTTTTGTCAATAATTTGTTGAATACTAAACCATACAATTCTTATTGAATGATTGCTAAAATCTTATAACACGGCATACTGTTCATTTTGAACATAATTTTATCACTTTAATTTACTGACTTGGGTATTGCAGTCGGCCTTCCAACAAAATTGCACAATAATAATAATTCAAATAGATTTGTATCGTAAACATGCAAATAGTGGTCTTCCAACTGTCAACATGTTTATTTTTTCAATAAAACTGAAATTGAATCCGGCAAAACTGAATTTAGTTCAATTGAATTGAATAGGAAATTGACCAGATTGTTTCTGCACATGGCACGAGTGACCCAAAATATTCATAAGACCTTTAAAAGGGAGAGATCTAACTTCATGCATGTAAAAAATCGTCGGGTCATGGCGGTGATAAACGATGGCTCCCGTTTCCCCATTTAGAAAAGAATACTTTCATCTGTGTATCATGGAAATCATATATGTAACTGGTGTTTATTTGTTTTAGCTGACTGCTAAGAAAGCATGTGTATGCCTGTAAGTAAGCGACCAGGGGACGACGGCTTTGACATCCTGTCTGAGGGACTTGGTAATGAGAATAAACGCCTTACTAAAGGGCACTCCCACATCAACTAGGTTTGGAACCTGGAACTCCCGGTGACAAGACCATTGCTCTACCACTGAGCCATCGTGCCTCCTTTGTTTAATGAATGATGATTATATAAATTTCATGAGGGGGCTGAATATTCACTGCAAAATTTTTCAGGAATTTTGTTTCGCACCACATATTTTCATAACTTTAAAGCCTAGAGTCTAATGCAGCTTTGATACCAAATTTATAAACTTTCAATCATCAAGTACCACACAGCATTGAAATCATAATGATGGAAATTTGTCAACATGTATCATACACAATTAATATCTGTCAATACATGAATTTATGCATCTAATTAGCAATAATTCCAGGAAAAAGAACTAAATAATTTTGAAAATTTCACTCTAGGATGGTCCTTCTTTATGCCCAGCTTCAAATATTTTAATAACGCCTTGACTGAGAACGCAACATTCGGCAAAATCTGCCCCTCCCTAGCCTTGAGACCACCAAAAGAGCCACAGCTCTTTGATAATTAATAATAATTGATCAACATTAATATTTAAAAAGAATACCGGTATCAAGGAAACTTATTTTCTTTTTCATTCCTTTAATTATAGATTAACTCTGTGCATCGCCATATAAAGCTTTTGGGGCCTTTCTTTTTTGGTCCCCGACTTTTGTTCCAATTCAATTCAAGTTTATTGGTCCAAAAGAAAATACAATATTTTTAAATTTGACACAAATAAGAAACTAAATTATTAAATTCGCATAGGCTTAATACAAGGACCGCATAGTTCCCATCAGCAATGCGGTACGTACATGAACAAGGTTCTGGGATAATGTCAAATGAATCACTGCTACATGTACAAGCCTCTGCCAAAAACAAGAAGGGGGGGTGGGGGTCACAGATATCTCAAGTGCCTGATTACACTACTGAAATGGGTCCCTGATTATCAAGGTTCCATCATCAGAGCAGTCATCTTACACCGAGTCATCGAGTCTCTTCATTTGATCTGAATACACTTTCTTCAAGGTCTCATAGTCTTCCCGCATAGGATCATCCTCATCGCACGTATCCATACTGTCCACCCGGCGCATCGTGCCCTTGCGCCTCCGGCTGGCGGGGGTGTTCATCCCCAACCCGTCTTCGCTACCTGAGAAAGATGTGGACATAGTGAAGCTACTGTTCTCCCGGTTGAAGCTCTCGCCCTCGCTCCCCAGATTCATGAGCTGCTGGGTGTAGACGCTCCGCAGGTCCAACTCCACGTCCGCTCCCGGCGACACCCCCGCCCCTGAGGGCGCCCTTTGATGCATGGCGCCACCTGAAGTGTGCTGTGAATCATGGAAGTTGCTTCTGCTGTTGCCCTTGGACCCCGGCTCGCTAGTACTCGAGCCGGGTTTGCTGGCGTTGGGCTTGGATGCTCTGGCAAGATCATGTGACTCCTTCCTTGGACCCTGATTGGCTGAATAAGCACCTTTTGAATTCGATCTGGCGAGACTTGGTGTGGAGGTAATGGATTTGAAGGTGAATGGACCTGATTCTGAGATGTCTTTGGATACAGCTTGCCCTGCCTGTCGGGTTTGACCTGAGTTTTCTGTGACATTGCGAGACATACTCTGAGCCGTCTTGGTTGATCCCGCATCAGTTCTATCTAATACTGTAGTCCCACTGGCTGACTTCTGTGCTGCAGTGGATTGCACTTTCTCATCAGTCCCACCCCTACACTTCTGTGTCGCACCCGACATCTTACTGCCCACACCCTCTTTCGCGCTAGTAGATCCTTCTATCGTTTCGGACAGCTTGGCAGACTTGCCAGATTTCTTGGGGGGTTTCCTCTCGATGAAGTCCGTATCATCGCTTTCGTCACTGCACAAGTCAATAATGCTTGCCTCCACAACCAACTTCCGCTTCTTCGCCTTCCCATGATGCCCTTCTCCGCCTCCCTTCCTTCCCTCTGCGACCTTTCCACTCCCTACTCCTCCATCTCCATCCTTCTTCCTCTCGTCCTCCTTGGTCTTCGTCGCGGGGGCCTCCCCCTGCCCTTCTCCTTCTCACCTCTGGCACCACCCTGACCTTTGACGCCTTGACCTCTGACCTTTGACCTCTGCCCGTCCTCCATCTTGAAGGGCACCGTGACAGCCCTCTGTGGTGTGGCAGTGTTTAACCTAGCCTTAGGACCAGGTATGATGTAGCTGATGGTGTTGTAGGGTGTGAAATGGAAGTCCTCTCGCAGGTAGCCCTCGAGGAGGAAGTGAGCGATGAGATATTCGTAATCTCGACCCGTCATCTTCTTGGCTTGGTCTACGAAAGATAAATAGAAACTGTTTTAAAAAACACAGTCAGGGAATATTTGGCATCTCAATGAAGGTAAGGCCAAACTGACACTAATTCATCAGATTTTGAGTGAGGGCAGGGCCCCTCGGACCATGGACCATCTACTAGGATGTGACATGCTCTCTGCAGAGCTGCCAAAAAAGGAACCATGATGGCAAAAAATGGGAATTTCAAGCACAAAAAGGAATTTCTTAAAACGAAACTTACAACCACGCACGACACATTTCCAATCCAGAAATGTCCATTCCTCATGCTGATATTTCCATATACGGACCTTAACCCTTACTGTACTGGGCTATTTTGAGCACCTCCTGACTGGGGGGGGGGGGGGGGGGGGGGCCTGGGAGGCCCCCCCCCCCTATGATCTCGGCCGTCAGATGTCGGATGAACACGAAAATTTGCATGTTTGTAGATATTTACGTAACGAACAAGATGGTGTAATTAGTTTTTTGCAAATATGCAAATTTTTGTCGTTATAGCCTAATTAATTATGCAAAATGCTAATTTTATGCATTTTACAGAAAACGTGTCAAACTTCACTTTTTGAACGTTGAAACTCATTATTCATATGAAACTTCTTTTCTAACACAAAATATTTTATTTGGATGTAATTAATAATGATAATTTATGCAAATTTGATGCGATTTTCAAATATTTATTTTCTTATGTATTTTATTGTTTTTTTATTTCTTATTGTATCTATTGTTTTTATTTCTTATGTATTCTTTTGTTCTGGAATACATCAAGTTACTTTGAGAAACATATAAAAGCAATTCGATATCAATTCATATCACCCACTTAGGAAGGAATACATCTAAACCTGTATTCACATTTCTGCTTGTACATGAATATATGCAATTGTAGCATATTTTTGATGACATGCGCATACTAATTGTTATGTAACACCTCACAGGTATATCCGATTGCGACGAAAATGGTATCAAAACGTGCGTAAGACTTGAGGGAAAAAAGCCATGAAACGACAATTCAAAATTTCAAGCGGTTGCGGCGCAATCTCCGAAAATGTTGAGGGGGGGGGCCTCCCAGGCCCCCCCCCAGTACAGTAAGGGTTAAGTTTATTTCCAAGTAGGTAGTTTTTTTTGTGTTTTTTTTGTTGGTATCATTGGCGTTTCATTCTTTATGAGAATATTTCTGCATTTCCCTTTTTTTTTCTTTTTTTTTTTGTTTACTATTGAAGTAGTGATCAACATTTTAGGGAATTTGATTGATGTCAGGTAAGGCCAAACTGACACTAATTCAGCAGACCATCTACTGGGCTGTGACATGCTCTCTGACACATGCACAAGGAGGGACATGGCTCTTACTTTTGCTAAATATTGGGTGATGACACAAAATGTTGATGAGGCCAAATTTAGTTTAAAACTAGATGGAACGCGTAGTCGAAAATGATGTCTCCGCCATAGATCGATTTTACAAACCAAAACAGAAGCAATTTTTAAAATTCAAGTTTGATTGTAATCCATTAACAGGTTCTCAGAATATCGTGATTACAAGCTATTTTTCACATACGATCCTATGATCTGTGACCTCATGACCCTACTAATCAGTTCATTGGCTCTTGAGTTTGATAATAATTCATTTATCAGTTCTAATGATCATGAGGACGGGATGTACGGACGTACAGACAACCAGAAAACATAATGCCTCCGGCTACTTTGTAGCAAAGGCATAAAAACAGTGCCTCAACCTTGTGATCGTGTTTTCTGTCACATCAAGAAAAAGGAGAGTTTTCGTTGTGTTTTTTTTCCTGTTATTTTTAAAGGTAAAGACCAGTTATGGTCATGCGATTGCATTGTGAAAGAAACGTTGTGCAATCGATCAGAAAAGGTTGATCATCTAGCATCTAGCATCTGCAAGGTTCTGGAATCATCAAAATGATAAGAAATTTGGCCCATTCTTCGTAAAGTTACAAGCACTATACACAGAAAGATGTATATGGGATTATGGGACTACCCTATATCTCTCACAGACCATGAGAGAAACAAATTTACCAAATATATGAATTAGTAGGCGGTTTCCCGGCAAATTTTTTATCATCATGTATTAGTCAAAACATATTTTTTCACATGATTGGTAATGAGAGCTTCCATTTCATTTTTTGAAATTGGGGCGTTTCCAATACTGGTCTTTACCTTTAACCACACCACAAAATTTGGACATTTGTCCTGTATAGACTAATAAAGTTACAAGACATCTCTTACATGTACCTTTGTCAAGGGCAGCTACACCCTTTTTGCTCAGCAGTTCGTCTGTCAACTTGAGAGCGGTGATCCTATTATCGCTCTTAGCCTTGTGGTCTAGAATGGTGTAGATACGCTGGAGATGGGGTAACATGTCCTTCTCCACAACTTTGGGAAGCAAAAAACCAAGAAAATGATAGAAAAAGAATACAGTCAAACATTTCATTGGTAACTTCTCTGTTAAGGCAACTTTATCCACGAGGCCATATTATCTCCCCCTTCATAGACATAGCTGTACAATACAAACTCTGGGCCATGTCTCATAAAGATTTGATATCAATAGCTACTATGTACATACGAGATAGGGGAGCACAGGCACATAGAGTTTCCAAGCTAGGAATTATCACAACTCGACTGATTAAAGCCCCACTGCACTAGTTTGGCCAGGAGGGATTAGACCTTCCTGCATGGTCACTGACAGGTGGTTATCTCATCAAGCTCTCAATTAACATACGAAAAAGGGGATCATGGGGGATCAATGGTCACCGACTAGGCATTGTTTGCTCTATAGAGGGCGCAAGTAGCTATATGTAGTGCAGTGGGGCTTTAAAGTAAAGAACCAGACTAGGTGTAGATAGCCAAATTTGTCAAATGACAAAGATACAACCAACAACAACGACAACCAAAAGGAATGGTTGCTGGAAAACAGCAGAAGATGGGATGAAATATCCTTCTTGAAAAACTGTGCGTTTGTACCTATTGTCTTCAGAATGAGTGTGTATTGTATTCATTTCCCCTATCTATAATGGTTGTATTAGAGCCTCCCAGGAGAAAGTATATGAACACTGTACGTGTTGTAGAACCTGTGTAAGAAGTCATATACTGTATCATCTGGGGGGTGTTTCACAAAGACTAAGATCGACTACAAGTTCGACTTAACTATCGCAGGCTATTCATGCCACTGGTTACTCTCGCTATTGGTCTCTCAATTATGATCTTTAGATAACATTTTTTCCCTTCAATACTGAACTATCAAAACATGTAAATTCTGTAAATTGTGACCATGATTTATACATCCCTTGAGAAACCCATTGCCAGGAATGGTTAGAGGAACCAGTGGCATGAATGGCCTGCCATAGTTAAAGGTACAGACCAGTTTTGGAAACGCCCCAATTTCCAAAAATGAAATGGAAGCTCTTATTACCAATCATGTGAAAGAATATGTTTTGAATAATACATGATAAAAATTTTGCCAGGAAACCACTTACTAATTGATATATCTGGTAAATTAGTTTATCTATTGGTGTGTGAGAGATAAAAACGAACGCGTTGCGCACGTGTGCAAAGTCCCATATACATCTTTCTGTGTACAGTGCTTGTAACTTTATAAAGACTTGGCCAAATTTCTTATCATTTTGATGATTCCAGAACCTTGCAGTACATCTATGCTAGATTATCAACCTTTTCTGATCGATTTCACGTTTCTTTCACAATGCAATGGCATGACCATAACTGGTCTTTATCTTTAAGTCCATCTTAAAGTCCATCTTAGCCTTTGTGAAACATCCTCGGATGTAATAAAATGTTCTCTCACCTTGCGCTCCACTTTGGCATACATCACACATTCTATTACACCTCGCCTGACCTTCCCAACGCTCTCCAAAATGCTGACCAATCAGGGACCGCCGGCACCTGTTACAGGTCAGGGAAAGAGGATTTGAGAGGAACAAGAGGGAAACAATTTATCAAAGGGATCGGTGGTGGTGGTTATTTTACCTGACTGCTAAGAAAGCATAAATGCTTGTTGGTAAGCAACCAGACGGCCGACGGCTTTAGGTCCTCTCCGGGACCTGGTAATGAGGATTAATGCCTTACCAAAGGGCACTGGCGCATCGACTTGGTTTCGAACCCGGGTCACCGGATTACGAGACCACTGCTCAACCAACTGAGCTATCGCGCCCCAGATTTTACACAAAATCCTGGATTTAGCTCATGCTGCAATGATATTTATAAACCTTTAGGTCAGTCAGGAACCCCATGACTTTTACAAGCCGATCGCCTGTCTGATTATCAAGATATTTATGATTAGAAATAGATATTTAATTTTTTTTTTCTCCTAACAGTTTTATTACACTACAGTCTATTGGAAAAAATTAGTATGGTAAAACCAGTCACTCAAAGATTTTTACTTTTTTGAAACACTTCTTGATCATTTTAAAGCGCAATTTTTTTAGGGCTTCAATATTACACCATATCAAAGACACTGATAACACGTAGGGCCATGCATCTCAGATTTAACATTGTTAAATGATGGAAAAATGAACGTTAAGAACATACAGTATACTTTAAAAAGCAAGGATAATGCAGGTATTTCCTTAGATGTGATATTCTGTCATAAGATAAACCCTATTAATGCAACTGCTCTTTTCTTATGAGAAATTTGGGGAATAACATCTAACACATCATTAATATCGGCCACCTCCCTATCCATACAGTATTTGGTATTCCCATTTCATTAGTCATTACATTACTAATATGAAGATCAGGTTTGGACACTCATAAGCTTGACAAGAACTGCCCACTTAATCAATTTGTTTACAGTAAAATATAGATAATTGTATTTTCTGAATTAACCAGAAAAAAATTAATCAGGCCTTAAATTTCCATATTTTTAGGGCAAGGCCACTTTTCTGTGGGGCACATTCCTATATTACAGCACAAATAGGAAGAATTGGAAAGGGCACAAAAAATCTCCAAGGCCAATGAGAGGGGCATTGAGGCCAATCAAAAGGGCATCCACGACCATGGCCTTGGTGGCCTTGGATTAATTTAAGCCCTGATAAATTGTAGTTTCATTGAAGAATTGAACATTCTACAGTGAAACCTGTATATAAAGACCACTCATGGGAGACAAAGAAAAGTGGTCTGTATGCGCGGGTGGCCTTTAGGTACAGTTTCCTTCGGGAAATGTTTCAATGAGACACCATTTTCAAGGGAAACAAAAAATTTGGTCTTTATAGACAGGTGGTCTTTCAAAACATGTGGTTACTAAAGCAGGTTTGAATGTATTTCATTTCTTTTTCAAGGTAAGATATAGCTTTAGTGATTTTCAAACCTGTATAAAAATATGAAGCCCATTTATGGGATACCAAAAAGTTTTTATACGCAGGTGGCCTTTATGTACAGGTTCCTTCAGAACATGTTTCAATGAGACACCATTTCAAGAAAAATAAAAAATGTGGTCTTTCTATACAGTAGGTCACTAAAGCAGGTTTGACTGTATTTCATTTCTTTTCAAGGTATGATATAGATCAAGTAATTTTCAACAAATAGAGCCATCCCCCCCCCCCCCCACACCAATTAAATTCTGTTATGAAAGGAACTTACGTGGCTGGTGCAACACAGTACGCCACCATGTTATAGAGTTTCTGTTGTCCCGTCTGTTCAGTCACGACCATGGTGCTCTGTCTAAACACATCACCTATACCGTAGTACACTATACATCTGGCGGGTTCATCATCGCGTCCTGGGAGACGGGAAAGAAAAACATCATAATAAGGGTACTTATGAAACAGTCAGATGAACAATCTCAGACGGGCAAAGCAGTAGAAAAGTTCTCATTGTTTCTAAAAAGAATTTTCAATAAGCCAGTTCGTAAATAATAATAATAACAATAATATTTAGTTCTTGTATAACATCTCTATGCGGTTCCAAAGAGCTTTGGAAAATATTACCCTAGCTTAAACACTATCTGCACATGGGCAGATAAAGGTCATTTTTTCCCAAAATTGTAAAACCCATCGAGACGAATACTGGTATTATGCTCATGAAAGTTATGTAATCAGTATTCATTTATGCACCGACAGTACATTTATCTGTGAAACAACCTGATGAACAATCTCAGACAGGCTAAGAAGTAGAAAAGTTCTCATTGTTCCTAAAAAGTATTTTCAATATTTAATCCAGTTCGTAAATACTATCTGCGCATGGGCAGATGAAGGTCATATGTTCCCAAATTGTAAAACCCATCGAGACGAATACTTCTAAGAAAAATGTTTTCACATGATATGCTTTGTTTCATTCATAAATTGCAGATCTTCAATGGCTATAAACTTCAAGATAGATTTAATTTAGTGAAAGGAATATGTATAATTACAGAGTCTAACTACAGTAATAATAGCTACATTTATACTGCATGCATATCCATCAAAAGGGATGCTCAATGTGTCTACAAAGTACTATTATTACCCTGGCTTTAGCCCAGCTACCCTAAGGCACCGAAAGAATAATTTATCATGGGGAACCCAATTACTACCCCTGCGGGGTGTTTCACAAATATCGTAAGTCGAACTCAACATTAAGTTGGACTTTAGAATTATGGAGAGCCATTTGTAGCCTTAAAAATAAAATACATGTATATTCAAAAGCAAAAATTTAAGTATTTTAGACTTTTCATAAATTCCATATCTAGAACATGAAATCTCCTTGATAATAGATAATATGAATGATTTGAACCAACGTTCAATGCCTTTTAAAATGACTAACCCGTAACAAAATATTTTCATAATTGTTAAGTCCAACTTAAAGATAAGTTCAACTTAAGATCTTTGTGAAACACTCCCCTGGGTGGAGAGTGCTTTCAAGGTGACTTGAAAAATTGATTTGATTTGATTTATTCTGTTTGATTTTCTTTTTCTTTTGCATTTTTACAAATATATAACAAACAAACATTGCAAATTTAAACATGACAAAAGAATATATGTAGAATAAAGTAAGGCTGGCTGTAACTAATCAAAAACATCAAACAGGAGGGTTGACAAAGTAAGCAAAGCTTGATAGCATTACTACCCTCAAAGGATACATAATAATACAAATATGTAGGAAAAAAATATTGGTACAAGGGGAAAAAAGAAGAAAAAAAGAAAGAGGGGATGCACATCAAGACGTTTTGCTTACCAGCGCGCCCGCTTTCCTGGTAGTAGTTTTCCATTGACTTGCTGATAGAGTGATGTATGACAAACCTTACGTCTGGCTTGTCAATACCCATCCCAAAAGCTACGGTCGCCACGACAACCTGAAATTTGAAAAGATCAGAGTACCAGTATGATCATCTACCAGCTGTTTTAATAATGATCTTTAAAGTGACTCAGTAACTTTGTTAAAGGTTGATAAAAAAAATGTGTAATTTTTGTATGAAATGTTCTGATCATATTCCTTCTATCTTACATGCAAAGAATCCTGAAAAATTCTCAAACCACAAAGATATTTATGGTTTTCTTTGAAGGCGTCACTGTGCGACACCCTCTAGCAGTAAATTCTCCAAACCATTTTTGAATTTTTCCAAACCGTTTATCCATGAAAATAAGACATAAGACATGCTTCAAAAAATGTTAGGGGAGGCTCATGCTCATGACTTCTTGAGGTGGGACCTACATGAAACCAAATTTCAATGCCTTTTCCACACCAACATTGGTGGGGGATTTAGGAGCAATTTAGAAACGTTTAAATAACAAGTTACAAGCTACTGTTATAAGCTACTGAAATCATGGCATTTGATTGGCTGAGAGAAAATTTGTCATAAAAATTTAGCATATATTGAAAATAAGTTTTATGAAACAGGGCCCTGGGGACGTTTCACAAAGCTTGTCATCAGTGACAAATGACAGCTTGTGTTATAAGCTACTGAAATCCTTGCTTCTGATTGGTTATCAGCAGATTTGTCACTGGTTTTTGTCATTTATCATTGAAAACAAGTTTTGTGAAGCAGGGCCCTGATGGAGAACTCCACTCACCTGTATATTGTTCTCCTTCCAGTTCCTATGCACTTGGCTCCTGTACTGAGCGTCCAGCATGGCATGGTAGGGATGGGCTTGGATTCCTCCCTTCTTCAGATTCTCTGCCATGGTCTCTGTATCCTTCCTTGAGAAACAGTAGATGATCCCTGATTGACCTTTGAACTCACCATTAATGAGCTTGATCAGTTCCTCAACGAATTCTGCTTGCTTGGACGGCTTGGGGCGTACCTACAGAGGACAAGCAGTGTCAAAATATATGTGATATTAGCTTCTAAAACTGCAGGATACCTAAAAATGCATCAATAAGGGGTAGGGGTTAAAGGTCAGGTCATTGATGAGCTTTATCAGTTCTTCGACGAATTCTGCTTGCTTGGACCGAGTACAAGCGGGAGAACATTAATTCTGGATGAGGATATATATCGAGGGTTCAGTGACACCAAATACATGTCTGACTGGGTATATTTCTAAACTTTGAACTAAATCTTGTGTACTTTCTCATGAGAAAAATACAAAAATTGGTTGCCCAAAGAGGACGTTAAGCTGTCAGTCCTCTGGTTGCTTACTAACAAGCATTTATGCTTTCTTAGCAGTCAGGTAAAATAATAACCACCACTATAGTGTTGCCAATTTGTGTTTCACTGATGACAACTTCAACTTCAAAATGGATTTCTTACTTCGTAGAAGAGATTTGGTCTGTTGAAGCCGGCTCGGAAAACCTGACATCCCTGCAATCCCAGAATGCCTTTCACATCATCCAGGACATCCATCGTTGCCGTGGCAGTTAGTCCGAGGATTGGAGTGTCGGTGAATTGACGTTTCAACAGGCCTAGGATTTTATAATCTGCAAATTGGCAACAGAAAATGAAGAAGAAAAAAATTGTAACATATTATACAGTCAAACCTGCTTTCGTCGCCACCTGTCTACAAAGACCACCTGTCTACAACAAGCACATGCTTTGTTTCCCTCGCAAATGGTTTCTCATAATCATTGAAACATGTACAAAAGGAACCTGTCTATAAAGACCACTTTTTGTGTTTCCCCTTGGTGGTCGCTGTAGACAGGTTTGACTGTATTATACAAATTAAGCCTCATATACATATGACAGGTTTAATTGGGTAAACAGAATACCACCGTGGAACATGTAACATACAGAGACAAATAACTTGAAGTGAACGATCCCATATTGGCTTCGGTACGTTAGTGAAATGCAGTTGCTCACAAAGACGTGTCCGGAACAGAAAAGGTGTCACTCTTTAAAGATTTCTCCCTCGTCCTACATGTACTTTATATTTTTCACTGGACCTACCTCTTCCTAGCTCACACTTCTCTAAAGATGAATTTTCATCACTCTTTACAAAATTTCTCCCTCGTCCTACATGTACATGTAGTTCATATTTTTCACTAGGCCTTCCTAGAGCCTAGCTCACACTTCTCTAAAGATGAATTTTCATCACTCTTTACAAACTTTTCTCTCGTCCTACATGTAGTTCATATTTTTCACTAGGCCAACCTCTGCCTAGTTCACACTTCTCTACAGAGGAACCTCATCACTCTTTAAAGATTTCTATCTCGTCCTACATGTAGTTTACAATTTCCCCTAGGCCTTCCTCGGCTTAGTGCATACTTGTCTCTATTTATTTTGATTATTTTTCCCCAAAAAATCCATGATTTCTTTGCTACATATTTCTTAATTTATTGATTTTCTAAGTATACTTTGTATTAGATATATTGTAAAACAGCATCTGAGGAATTAAAAGTTCAACAGGGCTTTGCTTCTAGTTAGTTTCTCTTTCTCATGCTATTTCTATTATTTTTGTCCTTTCATTGTATATTTTTTTTGTAATATACTTATTCATTGTATTATATTTTGCATCATTACATGAGAAATAAAATTATTTGAAATTTGATTACCTGGTCTGAAATCATGTCCCCATTGGCTGCAGCAATGGACCTCATCAATAGCGATCCTCGTCAGCAGATTAGCCTTGTAGGCCTTCTCCAGACACGCCATGAAACGTTTGCTCTTAGCGATCTTCTCGGGTGTCACGTAGAGCAGCTTGAGCTCCGACCGGGCGTCGATCATCTGCCGGTGGACGTCCTTGACCGACTCGGGAGGGGTGTTGGAGTTGAGGACGGTGGCGTTCACACCGATCTCTTCCAGTGCCATGGTTTGGTCCTCCATCAGGGACAGTAGAGGAGAAACGACAAGTGTGAACCCTGCCCGGGGAGAGAGAGGAAGACAAAAGAAGTACAGCAAGAGGCTTCAAGAGAAGATGAAGAATAATTTATTTTTTACATACAAAATGTTAAATGAGAATTAAGTGTTCTTTGACAAGGAAAGAGAGAGAGATAGATTGCAGACAAAGTTTTAGAAAATCTAATAAAGGATAAGAACTCTAATACGTTTAAATTATTGACACAGAATTTGGCAACTCTGTGATTTCACTTGCGAGGAGCTTTAAGTGTGTTGGTGTGTAAACATTTTAATAATAATAAATAATTAATTATATCTGTAATTCAGCTTTTACAGCCCCCCCCCCCTTCTTTCTCTCTCTCTCTCTCTCTCTCTCTCTCTCTCTCTCTCCTTCTCTCTATGAAATCATATAGATCTATCTAAGCCAGTTTGTGGATACAATCATAACAAATACAAAAGGTATTATTTAAAAAATAGACTTATCTATTTATGCTCAATACTTGAAAATGGTATTGGGAGACACAAGCCAGTATCTCAGATCTGGTACACATTACAGTAATTACAATGCAGAACTTGACTCCCTACCTACCCTTGATTAAAGGTATAGACCAGTTTTGAAAATGCCCCCCTCTCGAAAAATTAAATGGAAGCTCTTATTACCAATCATGTGAAAAAATTCCAGAACCTTGCAGTACACACTAATACATATATGCTAGATGATCAACCTTTTCTGATCGATTTTACACCGTTTCTGTCACAAATGCAATCGCATGACCAGAACTAGTCTATAACCTTGATTACAATGCATGAATAGCACAGGTCCTACAACCTACCCTTGCTGACCAGCGCCGGTAGCTGGTAGCACAGACTTTTCCCTCCACCGGTAGGCATGAGGAGGATGACATCCCTGCCGCTCAGGGAGGCATTCATCGTCTTCTCTTGGAGGGGGCGGTATTTCTTGATGCCAAAGACGGTCTCACACAGGCTGCGGAGCTTGGCCGACCATGGGTAGTCTAGCAGAGAGAGAGGGGGGAGAGAAAGAGGGTGAGATAGAGAGGGGAGAAGAAAGAAGGAGAGAGAAAGAGAGATAGGGGGAAGAGAAAGAAATAGAGAGAGTTAGAGAGGGGGAGAGATAGTGAGAGGGTGAAGAGAAAGAGGGAGAGAGAAAGAGAGAGAGAGAAAGAGGGGGAAGAGAAAAAGGGAGACAGAAAGAGAGGGGAGAGAGAAAGAGAGAGAGATAGAGAGGGGAGAGAGAAAGAGAGAGAGATAGAGAGAGGGGGAAGAGAAAGAGGGAGAAAGAAAGAGAGGGGGAAGAGAAAGAGGGAGAAAGAAAGAGAGAGAGATAGAGAGGGGAGAGAAAAAGAGAGAGATATAAAGAGGGGGAAGAGAAAGGGAGAGAGAAAGAGAGAGAGATAGAGAGGGGAGAGAGAAAGAGAGAGAAAAGAGAGAGATAGAGAAAGGGGGGAAGAGAAAGAGGTGGAGAGAAAGAGAGAGATAGCGAGAGAGGGAAAGATATATATATATATATATAGAGAGAGAGAGAGAGAGAGAGTGAGTGATAGGAACAAGAAAGAGAAGAATAAAAGGAGGTCTTAGCTTAGTAGCTCAGTCTCTCATACAAGGTTGTAAATTATTGTTATCCATGGCTTTCCATTGATATAAAATTCATCTATTTCATCCATTTTCACTACTGAAAAGGTCTTTCAAGACATGTGAGCTAATGCCCATGTACCTGTCTGCTTATGATAATATTCAATTCAATTCAATTTAATTCTTTTTATTCATCCAAATTCACAAGAATAAATGGAAATTTGTTGTGGTCACACATTGTACAAATACATAATATGTACATGTATATGAGAAACTATACTGTTGCGTTTATAATCATAGAAGAATCGTCAAAATAAAAGATAGACAAGATAGAAATATTGTTATATTCTAGTAAATACATTGAAAATAATGAAAAGGATAGAACATCGATGTGGAGGAAGGAAGGAAGGAAAACCACGCCAAGCCGATAATATCATTGTCAGAACACCTTTCCCTGAAGACAAAACAATATATATTTACCTGATTTCTCCCAGTCGGTGGAGCCTGTCTGTAGGCTCAGCTCGTGGAGCCGACTGGTCTGGACCTCCAGCTGCTCCTTCCTCTGCAGGAGCCGTTGCTGCTTCGTCAGGAGCCTCTCAATCTGCTTCTCCACGTGCTGGAGCTCCTGGTTCACCTCCTCCAGACCATGCTGGATATCCAAACTCCCGGCTGTAATCAAACATGAAATAATAATAATAATGATAATTCTACATTTATATTGCGCACAACTCTGCCGACATAATGGCACCCTTGGGGCACAGATCAACAAATCGAATGCATTACAAGAATACGATCAATACTCAAAATTCAACAAATTATATTACAACATGAATATGCGACAAATGGTCAGCTTATGGTCTACAGATATACTACTAATAACCAAAAGTAATACAAAGCATTCCAACTCATATAATATTCCTAACATTAACAGTACACATTATTCATCAACATGGTTTTCAGGAAAGATTGAAGACACACAGTAGTGGGCTCTCATGGGGATTCAAAACCATTCAGGCGTTGTCAATCACCTGGGTAAGCCTTCAGTTTTGTGACCAACAGGCCTTCTGTGATCCTCCGCATTTTCCAGTCATTATCTTACATTTCCCTCACCCTGACAAACTCTCTGAGAGAATAGGGTCTCTGTCTTGATCTATGGGTTTGATGTGCGCGAGACCTGTACACCCATTAATGGTATTTCCACCAAGTCTAATCTTGCAAAATCAGACATATAGAATTGGTAATTGCTAAACAAAAGCACAAAGAAAACATGCACTATAGAAAATGGTCCCCTATTGAGAAGTTATTTTAATTATCCATAATTATATTTTGATAATGATTCAGTTCAAACCACCCGAGACTGATTTTTTAGTTTTTACATCAGGTCTGTTTGTTTGTTTGTTTGATTGTTGTTGTTTTTTGGGGGGTAATTGTTACAGTGATTTGATTATTGTTCTTTTAATGTTATACAATTATTTAATTCTTGTATGATTGTTGTTTTTGTAATGTTACACAAAATTTCGAAAATCAATAAAAATTTGGAAAATAAAAAAAATAAAAAAAAAATTATCTGGAAATATTTCTGTTAACGAGAGGAGTTCTCACCTTCCATGACCGAGAAAGAGAGATAGAGGGCGCTCTACCTCCAGAAGACTTTACCCCCTACAATCTTGACCGCCGGTCTGTTCCTGATGACCGTCTCGCGACCGAACCGTGAGCCGCACTCGGGGCAGATCCCGGGTGTCTTCGTCAGGTCTTCCTTGGTGCGCTCCAGGAAGCACTTGACAAGTCCACCTTGGTGATCAGAAACAAACTACATATTATAAATGATCACATAAAAGATAAATCCAGGGGGGTGTTTCACAAAGACTAAGATCGACTTAAAGTTGGACTTATAAGATGAAGTTGAGTTCTGGTCATGCGATTGCATTGTGAAAGAAACGGTGTGGAACTGACCAGAAAAGGTTGATCATCTAGCATATAAGAATTTGTGTGTATTGCAAGGTTCTGGAATCATCAAAATGATAAGAAATTTGGCCAAGTCTTGGTAAAGTTACAAACACTTGCACAGAAAGATGTATATGGGACTACACGAACACGTGGTGTAAAAAGCCGCCCCCCCCCCCCCCCCCCCCCCCCGATTTTTACGATGTTACATGCATATTAAGAATATGAAGGCATTTGAAGAGCCATGCTTTTCAGGGAACATGTCTTAACTGATGTTCTTCCACACTTGCATAATAAGAATGAGTAATGCTCACAAATTATTTTTCACTTCTTCCCAGAACTCAACCTTCTCTTTAACTTTGGCAGGCTGTTCATACAGTCAAACCAGTCTATAGCGACCACCCAAGGGAAACACAAACAGTGGCCTATGTAGACAGGTGGTCTTTGTAGACAGGTTCCTTTAGTACATGATTCAATGAGAATCCATTTTCAAGGGAAACAAAAATTGTGGCCTTTGTAGACAGGTGGTCTTTGTAGACAGGTGGTCACTAAAGCAGGTTTGACTGTACCACTATTTGCTCTCACCATTATGATCTTTAGATAATATTTTTCAACAAATAAAAATTCTGTAGATTTGTGACAATGATTTGTACGTCCCTTGATAGACAAATGCCAGTAAATGGTGAGAGCAAACAGTGGCATGAACGGCCTGCCATAGTTAAGTCCAACTTAAAGTTGATCTTTGTCTTTGTGAAACACTCCCCTGGGTTCCTAAAATTACTTTTCAGTTCAACAGAGCTCTACTTTTGGTTTTGTGTTGTTATAAGAGCAATTTTCTCTGCAATTTTCATCTATTTAATAGGTTTTTTCACCAGAGTTCTCTATCTGTAATACTAAAACTCATTTCTAGAGCTAAAGCATTCATCATCTGTATTTTAGTTGCTGAACAGACAAGTGGAGAAGAAATCATTACACAACCATAGGAGATACAAAATAAATGAAGAAAAGGACTTGAATTGCTTGTCCTTCTCTTTTCTCATTGAATGAGCACAATCAAGTGCTGGGCTAAAGCCAGACTGCTTGAGTATTACCCAAACTTGCTATTCATTTACAAATAAAGTATTTTTAGGATAAAGGATTCAGATAGATCATCTTACCTGAGCCTCCTTTATAGTAAGTGAGCAGCAATGTCTGACACTGTTGACAGTAAATCTTTATCAAACGTCTTAATGGTGGCAGCATCTTTTACCAGGGATGGGCTTGGCAGTAATCTGAGAAAGAGAAATATCATAATTTTTGGTTTAAATTTTAAACATTTGTGTACACGTAGCCTATGCACGACACATTTCCTTGAAGTCTAATCCCTCGTCCAAGCATTGGTATTGATTTTGGAAAGTTGGGCATCAAAGGAGAGAGCTTTTCCAACACAATGTGAAAGTGAGATTCTTAATTTCATCCCAAGCAGACTCTCTACGATGGCTACAAACGGAGTCGGCTAACTCGGACCCGGGGACAACTCGGCCCCGCTGCAAAAACCGACTGTTTTTGCAGGTTCAGGGTTAGGTTTAGGGTTAGGGCGAGGGTTAGGGTTAGGGTGAGGGTAAAATGACAAAACATGATCGTTTTTGCAGCGGGCAGAGTTGTCCCCGGGTCAGAGTTAGCCCGGATCCCTACAAACATGTGGAATTTCTGCTCCCCCTCCCCTTGCTGCTGATAATAAGGATGATGTCATTGATGATGGTGATGATGTCAATTTCAATGATAATGATGAGAATGAAGATGATTAATGATGAGAATAACGATGAGAATGATGGAGATGATGTGTGATTATAGCGATAATCATAGTGAGGATGATAACTTTCATGAAGATATCATGATTATGGTGATGATGGCGATGATCACTTCCACATATCATCAGGATCATAAGGTCTGCTAATCCTATCAATGCAGGTAAGAACTTTAGCCCTAAACGAAGGTTTCCCGATGTGGGATGTGATCGAAAGTCAGGTGGAAAATGCAATATATGATTATGATTAAAATTAGTAAACAATTGGGCTAAAATTCCTTTGCTAAAAATGGATATTAAACTGCTAAAAAAATGGATGTATACGGAACTACACTAGCGCCAAAACTTTTACACTGCTGGAGGAGCTGGACTCATCAATCAAGACCAGGTGTTCCTCATTCTTTATCTTCTCCTACTCCACTCCAGCAAAGCATAGAGAGTCAATGCTAATGCGTATTGACCTCTAGCACTGCATGCTTGCTGTGAGGAAGGTATTATTAGACCCATACACAAATATACACACCACACAATATCGCATAGACTGCACACAGTCATGTCGATGCAGCTGTAGGGTCTAAGCAAAGTTTGACACTACACTTACAATTTGAATTTTTTTATTATTCTTTTTAACATCAGTAATTTAAAAAAATGTATTTTACTGCTATTTAGGTGTCATCAATTGTCACTAAAGTACCGATTTTGAGTGAGATCAGTTGTGTTTTGTACAGGGGTGTTTGAAATGTTGAGAATCAAAAGCACAGCGTTACTACACAGCCAGGATAGTGATGCTCCTATGTGTGCTCCTCCTCCTCATTCTTCTTTTTCTTCTCTTCTCATCTTCTTCTCTCTTCTCATCTTCTTCTTCCTTCTTCATCTCCTTCCTCTTCCTAGGTCTAGATCCTTCTTCTCCTCCGTCTTCTTCCTTCTTTTCCCCTTCCTCCTTCTCCTCCTCCTCCTTCTTCTCCTTCTCCTCTTCCTTCTCCTTCTCCTCCTTCTTCTTCTTCTTCTCCACCTCCATCTCCATCTCCATCTTCATCTCCATCTTCTTCTCCTTCTCCTTCTCCTTCTTCAACTTCACTTCAGCTTCATCTTCTTCCTTTTCCTTCTAAGTTACATGTATATTTCTTCTTATCTTAGTTTTAATTCTCCTTCTCTTTCTCTTTCTTCTTCTTCTTCTTCTTAATTCTCCTTCTCCTTCTATTTCTCCTTCTGTTTCTTCTTCTTCCTCCTCATCCTCCTTCTTCCCGAGTATCTCCTCCTTCTTCTGGCACTCGGACGCGGCCGGTCTCATTTACACTCTCAACTCAGGAAGGAAGTTGTATTTGTACGAGTGGGACTGGGCAAAATTATCTGCAGCAACATTCACGCACATCTACACAACCAACAACTAAACAGAATTGGTAAGGTCAAATATATCACCTTATAATGACTCAGAAATTAGAAAGTTGCATCTTATGTTCAAATGATAATTCTAAATTACCTTTATTCATCACATCTGGGCTTCTCTAGTCAAGGATCTTCGGTGAAAATAATTGCACAAAATTTATGTTTATTTGCTGCCCTCTTGTGTTATGTATAAAATCACCTGTTAAAAAGGGAATTTCCCTGACTGTCGACTTTATTAGATTGTTGTTTGACTCTTAAGTCTCAAAGTCTAGAGTTTCTTCTCTTGTACAGATATCTTGGATAGGGTTGGGCTGATTAATTGATTTTGATAGAGTTCACTGGATCTGGATGCAAGTTGTGAGTATAGATCTATCGCGAATCATATACATTTGTAAATGTCTTGTAGATCTAGGTCTATTAAATTGTATTTGTACTTGTCTACAAGCTTGTAATTGTACTAGGGTCTACTACTATAGTATAGCTTGATCTAGAGCTATACTATAGACTAGACGTAGACGTTCTACCAATTTTTTCTTCAAACGACTTCTTTGCAAACTTTTGCTATTTTTGTGTTTCTTTTTCCTGTTCACTGTGATCTACCAGTACCACAAGTGTATGCCCTGTTTTATTAATCATTACTTTCTATTAATGGTGCTTTTTTATGTTTCTATTCCTTAAAGTTAGCTGTTTGTTTGAATATTTTGTTCTAAATCTGACATAATATAATTGTCATCCTTTACTTCATACTTTACCATGTTTACATTGTGTCTTTCCTCATCAGTCAGGAAATCAAATTATGGCAGATTCCAAATTAAACCAAGAACTCAAATGAAATTGACATGGAAGAAGTGTCCCTCCCCCAACTTACATGGCCCAAGAAAAAATGCTTTGCAGCTTATTAAATTTTTGTGAAAAATTTGTGATGTGCGATCTAACTCTAAGTTACTCCTCATATTTTTATCAGTTAATTAATAGTGCTTATTGAATGTATTCATTATTCCCTATACATGTAGCTGTTTGATGAGATACATGTACATGGCTATTATACATGCATCTTATTCAATCTTAGAAATATGTTTTTCATCTCAAAATTGTTTCTTTTACTTTTCGATTAGATTAGAAGGTCAAATTATGGCAGATTCCAAACGCAGAACTCGGACAGACGTCCTCAAGGAGAGTGTCAAAGAAAAAGTCAATCGCTACAGTAACCCAGGACCAAAATCCAGTTGAAACCAATTGGAGCAAAACCAATTGAAACCAGTTGCCAACTGGTTTCAATAGGGAAATTGGAACAACTGGTTCCAATTGAAACCAGTTGCCAACTGGTTCCAATTGAAACCAGTTGAAACCAATTGCCAACTGGTTCCAGTTGCCTAATTGGTTTCAACTGGAACCAGTTGTTCCAATTTCCCTATTGAAACCAGTTGGCTTCAATTGGTTTCAATTGGTTTCAACTGGTTTCAATTGGTTTCAACTGGTTTCAATTGGTTTCAATTGGATCCAATTGAAACTTACAGTTGGCATAAACTTAATTAGTTATAAGTTAATTAGCTCTTGCACTAATTATCACTCATGTCAACACAGAAGCATTGTTATATGTGTCTACATTAAGTACAATGTAAAGGGCATTATAATATGCAGACCATATAATATACTTAACAAGGAAGGCATTGCCATTATATATGTTTGTATTTGATGTATTTTGTACATGGTTAGTGTTTTACCAATCAACTTTTAATCTGTGTAATTACGAAAATATGTTACTAATGAACATGCTTATCATTGCTAATTAATCTTTATATTAATCTAAAACAAATGCATTACTTGCAAATGAAAATTAATTAATAAGTACATTGTAAATCAAAATAAATTAGATAAAACATTGATCTGCACACAAGCAGATAATATGCAAATTAACTGGTTTCAATTGGATCCAGTTGGGTAACTGGAAATATTTCCAATTGGAACCAATTGTGTAACTGGAAATGAATTCTAACTGGAACCAGTTGGGTAACTGGAAATTACTTCTAACTGGAAATGAATGCTAACTGGAACCAATTGGGTAACTGGAAATGAATTCTAGCTGGAACCAGTTGGGTAACTGGAAATTACTTCTAACTGGAAATGAATGCTAACTGGAACCAGTTGGGTAACTGGAAATTACTTCTAACTAGAAATGAATGCTAACTGGAACCAGTTGGGTAACTGGAAATAAATTCTAACTGGAACCAGTTGGGTAACTGGAAAAGACTTCTAACTGGAAATGACTTCTAACTGGAAATGAATGCTAACTGGAACCAGTTGGGTAACTGGAAATGAATTTTAACTGGAACCAGTTGGGTTACTGGAAATGAATTCTAACTGGAACCAGTCGGGTAACTGGAAATGACTTCTAACTGGAAATGAATGCTAACTGGAACCAGTTGGGTAACTGGAAATGACTTCTAACTGGAACCAATTGGGTAATTGGAAATGAATTCTAACTGGAACCAGTTGGGTAACTGGAAATGACTTCTAACTGGAAATGAATGCTAACTGGAACCAGTTGGGTAACTGGGAATGAATTCTAACTGGAACCAATTGAGTAACAGGAAAATCATCTTACTGTTTCCAGTTGAACTTCTAACTGGAACCAGTTGGGTAACTGGAAATGACTTCTAACTGGAACCAATTGAGTAACTGGAAAAATTACCTTACTGCATGGTTCCATGCAGTTGCACTTCTTATTGGTTTGAACTGGAAATGAGTACCCATAACAATATTTTCCAGTTCGGCAATTGGTTTCAACTGGAAATTTTATATTCCAATTGAAACCAATTGAAACCAATTGAAACCAGTTGAAACCAATTGAAACCAGTTGGAGATTTCAACTGGTTTCAATTGGATTTTGGTCCTGGGAAGCTTGCAAGACAGCAAGGCCTAACGACAGACGATATCGATGACTGCATCATGTTGGCGCTCCAAGCAAAAAGGCCTACGATTACAAAGAAGGTTTCTCAGTTTTGGAAAAGCTGGCAAAAGTGCTGATTATCACAGCAGCCATCTTGGTTTTTCTTGTTTTCATCATTGTCAACCACAAACCAAGCAAGCACTTTGTGGAGCTCCTTACTTACAACACATCTTATCCCTTAATGAGAGCCGTTCGATTATTGAGTCTTCCTCTTGCCAGGAGTGTTGATCTAACTGGTAATTAGCTCAGTAACTCAAGTTTTTATTAGAACTTTTATAATATGTATTCACCTATTCACCTGTCTTCTCGGGCTCCTTAGTAAATGTATTGTAATGCCCTCCCATAGTTCATCATGCAGTACACCACTGCAAAAAGTTTGTTCCATTACAAAATCCTTAGGCCGATTGAGACATTTTCCTTTTAAACATTATAAGATTTTAACTGTCACAGTATATATACATGTACAACAAATTAATATTTAGGAAAAAGTTGTTTTGATTTTAATGCAAGGCTGTGATGTCACATTTGTAGGTTTCAAAATGTTGCATTACAAATAAAGCTTTATAGATATTCACTAACCTTTGCCAAGAAATATTCTTCACATGTTAAGAACTAATTATAATCAGGATTTTTTTAGGATGAATAAGTATGAACTACATGTCGATCGCAATGTTGAAAACTAGCAGTTTTTATGATAGTCTCTGAAACAAAATATTGATTCTTTTTCATCAAATATCATTTGGATTGACAGCCATGCAGCCTGCTCTCCTTCTTCGATTGTATTAATGATCCCATTTTTCTTCTTCATTCTGTTTTTTATCTAGGTATCTATTACTCTGAGTGCACGATACCAAACCCCCTGTATACCGGATTTAATTCTGTTCCTGACTGCTATCCGTGCAAGTTTGTGACTAGTATTGAGATTACCCAGGGGACTTCAAGCTTCTTTGGTTTTGGACGTCCTTTCATACTCAAGGTAATTTATTTATATATTTATTCATTTTGGTTAACAATTAAACTGCTTTCCCTGAGGGCCCTGCAGAATAAAAACAATGTATATAAAATATTTACAGACTAAATAAGTACAAATTGAACACATTAATGACATAAAAAAACAAATTTTATGAAAACAAAAATAAATCTTGTAAGAAGCAAAGGTTATGAAAACAAAGATAAATAACGTAAGAATAAATATGAATACAATATATAAAGGGTAAATCATATACACACATGGTACGATCAAAACATCAAAATTGATATACTGCCTAGCAGGCTTATTGGCAGCTAGTACTACCCTTCTTCAACGGCTTGAGCAAACCATGCACACTATCAAGTGGTCATATTTCCCTGTCTCTGTAGGCCTGTCCTCATCAGTTTTCCAAATAACCCGCCTTTTTCAGACTCTGAATATTATCCAGAAGTTTGAAATTGCTTCTTCACCAGACCAACTCACTCATCCCAAACTAGCTCGACAGGTGCAAATAAGCCCGCGATTTCCCAAATAGCAGATATTTTGGAAACAAGACCAAGCAATTCGAATTTGGAATTTTTTAGAAAAATTGATACGACTTCAGGAATATTAGACTTGTGAAACTCTAGAGTCATGCAGAGTCTACTGTATTTGTCTTCTCATTCGGTAATTCACATTTTATTACAGGATCCAAAAATCAATCAGTTCACATATGGCGAAACGCAGAAATGGTACCGTACAAACCAGAAGATATTCAGCCTAGCCAGAGCAGATCACGTTGAATTTACCAATCCATTTGTTCATTCAATGTCGGATGTATTTGCAGAGGAGAGAAGAGAGGAGGATATTGAACAGTCTTCATTTTCTTTAGAATGGTGAGTGAATTTATGTATACCACAAATTTATTGACCTATAATTATCTTGTTATCTTTTTCTTGTTATTATCTTGAATATCTTGTAATTGTGTATATCTACATGTAAATTTGTCAGTTTTAATAATATGTTCCCCTCTTATTCTTGTTCATTGTTTATAATTGTTTATATACCTCACTTAAGTAATCCAGCAATCTGATTGGTCGAAATTGCATTCATAAACTTTAACTGTTCCCGAAAATTCCCGGTAACCATGGTTAAAAAACAGTTCAAAATCCCAATAACCATGGTTATTGGGAAAATAGGTCAGTCTCCATGGTTACCCCATAGGTTTACATGTTAAAAAATGGTCTGAGTGATCGAGGATACCGTACGTGTGCGAAGAATTGGTCGGTAATTTCAATACAATTGAATCTCGATCGATCTTACCGACAATTTTGTCTTGCATTGTTGACATTAAGACGAAAATAAACTTCCAAAAACAAAAAAAACAACATCTGCCGATAGATCTTGATCTAAATTCGTGCCAATATGCATTGCAAAAGTAAAAGAAGCAGCCGCAAAGCTTCCACCATGCGAAGCCGTTTTCAATCCATTTTAATGTATATATAAGAAAAAACTGCTATGTATGGTAACAGAGCGCGATAGCCGAGCGGTTTAAATTTGTCGGCATATAAAAGTATCAATGACTGCTTTAAAATTCGAGAAATAGTTGTTTTTATACGCTCTCGGGAAGGTTACAATTGTGTTCTTCCAGCTGTGTTTTGGATAAAGTCTTGAATTGAATTGAAATGAATCAAATGCAGATCATCTTTGTTCTGGATGCTAATCATAGTGTTCCTTTAGTGGTTAAGATGCTAATAGAATCAAAAATTTTAGTAGGCGTTTATGTAAAGTTTGCTGATACAAACTTTGATCATTGATGTCTACCTCATTAGGCCTACCTGTCACAAAGACTTTGGTGTTTTTTTTTTAAAGGGTAAAAATATGATTTACCTCTCATTTCTGCTTACCACCCCATCCCCTCCCCAGGCCTCCCCTCCAATGAATACTTGATCCACCACTGAACATTTTTTGAACAATTATGATTATTCTCCCCCCCCCCCTTCTCTCTCTCTCTCTCTCTCTCCCTCTCTTTCTCTCTCTCTCTCTCTTTCTTTCTATATGCCGATAGGAGAGCAGCCAGTGCTGGTAGTGTTCGTCTGATCAGGAACCTGTGTGGGAAGCCCAGCTTTATCCCTTCGGAATCGGAAGTCTTCCCAGAAATGTTTCTGATCATCGAGTCTTCCTCCTCCTATGCCCATCTTCTGGTATGTCAAAGCCGCGATCCGCATTTTATAGGGTTAGGTGTAGGCAGACACGTATCTGGGCCCCTCCCCCGGCCCCCCCCCCCCCTCAACTTTTGTTCATGTTTATTTTAATTAATTTTCGTTTGATATAATTTTTTTAAGTCAGTGCTCTCACTACTACCCCCCCCCCCCCCTAGTGTTAGGTATCATTGTATTGGGTCCAGGGTCGATGTTTGGAATTTTAGGAGGAACCTACCCATGGAGCATTTGGTTCGTTGGTATTTTCTTTCTTTCTTCTTTATTGTTGCTATTTTTCTGTTTCTGATATTCAGGTATATATATTTCTTATATTCATGTACATATATTTCTTATATTCATGTATATATATTTCTTATATTCATGTATATATATTTCTTATATTCATGTATATATATTTCTTATATTCATGTATATATATTTCTTATATTCATGTATATATATTTCTTATATTCATGTATATATATTTCTTATATTCATGTATATATATATTTCTTATATTCATGTATATATATTTTAACTTTTGATTAGGGACACTGATAAATGTTAATACGGAGAGTATAGCCTTGACATGTCAATGGCCTTTGCTGAAGGATGTTAATAGGTGTATTTTACAGAGTCAACCCCTCTCTTGCTTTCATCAAAAGAAATGTGTCAAACTGTCATTGTTATTGTTGATGATAAATGAATTATACTAGCTAATTTAAAGATGAAGTTCAGTTCTGGTCATGCGATTGCATTGTGAAAGAAACAGTGTGGAATCGACCAGAAAAGGTTGATCATCTAGCATATATTTGCAAGGTTCTGGAATCATCAAAATGATAAGAAATTTGGCCAAGTCTTGGTAAAGTTACAAACACTTGCACAGAAAGATGTATATGGGACTACACGAACATGTGGCGTAAAAAGCCGGCTCCCCGATTTTTACGATGTTACATGCATATTTAGAATATGAAGGCATTTGAAGAGCCATGCTTTTCAGGGAACATGTCTTAACTGATGTTCTTCCACACTTGCATAATAAGAATGAGTAATGCTCACAAATTATTTTTCACCTCTTCCCAGAACTCAACCTTCTCTTTAAGTAAAAATAGTCAAACCAGTCTTAGCGGCCACCTCTCAATAAAGGCCACTTGTCTATAGTGGTCACCTATGTTGTCTCCCAGAGAAAGAAATGTGTGTTGCACAACCTGTATACAGTGGCCACTTTTTCTGTTTTCCTTGATTTGCCTTTAAATTAGCCCCTCTAAAGTGTTGGGAGCCCCAAATTTGCCAGAAATTTGATGGCAAAATTTCACTGAAATTGTATAATTTAAATATGTATATAATTTAAAGACACACTTCTGCAAAGTTTCTCCCCCAAAAAAAATGTCTTTGAAGACAAATATTGATAAAATCAATCAATCAAAAAGAATACATATTTTTTTTTTTTTTGTATGCAGAAAACCTAATTTTCAGATTCTTTCATCAATATTTGACTCAAACACATTCGTTTTGAAGATCCTTGCAGAAATGTGTCTTAAATGGCACCCTCTTTCACATTAAGATAAAATTTAAGTGGCATTTTGCCGTCAAATTTTTGGAGCTCCCAACACTTTAGAGTGGCTTTAAAGACAGGTTTGACTGTATTTCGTTCAGTATTTCCCCCATTGTTTCCGTCCATGCAGCCTAAACCAGCATTCCTGGGCTACGTCTGGGTATCACAAGCTCATGGATCCAGGGAGGTAGTCTTGTCTCCAGTCCCCACATGCAAGAACAACTGCACCGATATCTCGGTGGTGCTAGAACCTGGACATGTTTGTGAGTATTACCTCTTAATTAACCCCTTTCCTACTGGAACCGGGTGATTCCTGTATTAAGCCTATGGAAATGAGAGAATTCAGAAGTCAACAGGTTAAGCCCCACTGCACTACTTATAGCTACCTGCGTCCTGCGCCCTCTATATAGCAGACAATGCCCAATCGGTGACCGTTGGTCCCCCATGATCCCCTTTTTCTTATGTTAATTGAGAGCTGATTTGATGAGATAACCACCTGTCAGTGACCTTGCAGGGAGGTCTAATCACTCCTGGCCAAACTAGTGCAGATAGGCATCAAAGCTAATCTAACAGTGCAGTGGTTAATTTTTTTTTTTTTTTTTTTTTTTTTTTTTTTTTGGGGGGGGGGGGGGGGGTAGGAGGCATGTATAACTGGCCCATCCCCCACCCCCTCCCATTTGAAACCTACATGTAACTGTTGTACCTAATGTACACAAAATTTTGCTCCCATAATTGTGTTATTTTCAGAAATGTGCCCCTCCCCCTTTTGAATACGCAAGACCTTGGATCTCCTCCTAGTCATTTCTGTAATGGTATTGCATGACCGAGAAGTATCATAAGCATGGCATACTTCTGATTTGTTTATAATGCAGAAAAATTGTTGGTTTGATTAAAGGAAAATTGTTATTGAATGCATGGAAATTAGAAATTCACTGAAACAACACTGGTTTTAACATTATTATAGACCGATTGGTCTCATCTCTCGTAGATTTTCTCATTACTGAACTTTTTTCCATATATACAATGCTAATCTTCTTCTTCTTCTCTTAATCTTCATAAGACCATGCAGCCTATCCTGAAGATATGTATGGGAAGATTACCCACACACTAAACACCGAGTTTACACCCTAATGATTATATATTCAGAATTTCAGTGTTTATTTTAAAGCCCCACTGCACTTATAGCTACTTAACTTGCACCCTCTATATAGCAAACAATGCCTAATCGGTGCCTGTTAGTCCCCCTTGATCCCCTTTTTCTTGTTAATTGAGAGCTGATTTGATGAGATAACTATCTATCAGTGACCTTGCAGGGAGGTCTAATTCCCTCTGGCCAAACTCGTGCAGACAGGCTTTAATACATTTGTTTTCTTTTTTTCTCTCTCATCTCTTTACAGTGTTCCTTGATATGAGGTACTGGGATCTTCAGTCCTTTCCGCTCGGAGACAGCGTCAGCATATCCTGTATGGGATCGTTTGCTTGAATGAATACTGTATCTTAAACATTTGCTCAAAGGCCAGGACCTAAGGAGTGTTTCACAAAGACTAAGATCGACTTTAAGTTGGACTTAACTATGGCAGGCCGTTCATGCCACTAGTTCCTCTAACCATTTGTGGCATTGGTTTCTCAAGGGACATACAAATCGTGGTCACGAATGTACAGAATTTACCTTCTTGATAGTTCATTGATTGAAGGAAAAATTAGTATCCAAAGATCATATTTGAGAGGCCAATGGTGAGAGCAACTAGTGGCATGAACAGCCTGCCATAGTTGAGTCCAACTTAAAGTCGATCTTAGTCTTTGTGAGACACCCCCCTGGTCTTTAATAGTCTTGTGATCGAATGTAAGGCTCAGATCTCAGATCTCTGCTCTTCAGCCAGCTAGGTACCGATACCAGACCCAAAGACCAAGGCCCTTAGCTTTTATGCAGTCTTGTGCTCAAAGACCTGAAATCTCAACTTCTGCATGTTGCAAGACCAGGGAGGGTGTTTCACAAAGATCCAAATTAAAACTTAACTCTAAGTTGGACTTAAAAATTATGGAGAGCCATTTGTAGCCTTAATTATATAATATATTCAAAAGCGAAAAATCAAGTATTTTAGAATTTTTTTAAATTCCACATCAAGAACATGAAATCTCTTGATAATAGAAAATAAGAATGATTTGAATCAACATTTTATGCCTTTTAAAATAACTGTTAAAAAATATTTTCATAGATGCTAACAGCTTTCAAAAATTGTTAAGTCCAACTTAGAGATAATTTCAACTCAGGATCTGTGTGAAACACCCCCCCCCCCCCCCCCCCCCAGGATCCAATCTAACTCCTGTGCTCGAAGATAGAGCCCAAATATCTGCTCTGCAAGCAGTACTGATGTCTGACCTCTGTGTTAAGGACTAAAACTTGATCTTACATATAGTCCTGTGCTCAAAGGCCAGGCTCTAATCTTAGACATCTGCTGCAAGACCAGGACTTGCTCAGATCTCTGGTCTCGTCTCAAGACAGGCACTGATATCAGACCTCTGCTTTGGGACCCAGACCTGGAGAAGAACAATTCTTATAGGGCAAATAATATTACCCCTGGTAATGTAAAATGGCAGCCATTTTCAGCAAATATGAAATAAGTTAGTTCATTCACAATAACCTGTGGCAAACAAGCACTACAAACTTCTTCTTTTTTCTTGGGGGGAGGGGGTTCCTTTCACTTTCTCTATATGTATACATTTCCCATTTCTTAATCAATTTCTTGTAAGAAATGATGCTCACATGGTATTCTTGAAAGGCCATATGTATGTGTACATAGTGCTACATGCGTATCTATATTTTGTTCAATTGTACAATCTGTTTTCAGATGTTCAAAGTGTACCATATTTCAAAAGTGCACTGTAGAAGTGTGGTGTACTATGTATATTATGTAGTATGATATATCAGTATAGTTAATGCTCCCAGATGCTCTCTTTGATTTATATTTTTGTAAGCACGAATATGAATTAATAAAATGTGCATAGATTATAATGTCAAATTATGGGAGCGTTGCGTAAATAAAAACCTACCAAATACATGTTGTGTGCCTGTAAAGTTATTTTTGACTAGTATGCAGATGTTGAACTGGGTGAAAGCAGAAAAATCAGAACAATTGGTTAAAATTTGAACATGCGAGAATGTTACAAAGTTTCTGGAAATTTGTAATCCCTGTGTTCATATGGAAATCTCAAAGGCCGGTATAATTGAGGTTCAAGGGTTTTGGGTGCAAAATATCCTTTCAATATTGTTTAAATATTGCCTTCAGAGGTTTAGATGGCAATACTTCAACCTAAATTTGCAAAGAAGCAGAAATATATGCCCAAATGTTCAATGTTGAAGTGCATTCACAGATCTATCCAGGCCGGATCGAAATGATTATTTACCAAATATATCAATTAGTAGGCGGGTTCCCGGCAACATTTGTATCATCACCTATTAGTCAAAACATATTCTTTCACATGATTGGTAATAAGAGCTTCCATTTCATTCTTTGAGAGGGGCGTTTCCAAAACTGGTCTATACCTTAAAGATAAAGACCAGTTAGGGTCATGCGATTGCATTGTGAAAGACATCTAGCATACAAGTATTGGTGTGTACTGGAAGGTTCTGGAATCATCAAAATGATCAGAAATTTGGCCCACTCTTCGTAAAGTTACAAGCACTGTAGACATAAAGATGTATATGGGACTACGCACACGTGCGCGACGCGTGTGTTTATCTCTCACAGTCCAATAGATAAACTAATTTACCAAATCAATTAGTAGGCGGTTTCCCGACAAATGTATCATCACGTATTAGTCAAAACATATTCTTTCACATGATTGGTAATAAGAGCTTCCATTTCATTCTTTGAGAGGGGTGTTTCCAAAACTGGTCTTTAGCTTTAACTGATCATTTTGTCATTTTGTATTGGATCAAAGCCGCATTACTGATAAAATTAAATACCAATCAGTAATTCAATCAGGTTTTCTGATTACAACAAAACTCTTTTATATTGTTTATCCAATTTTGATTCAAACTTATAACCAATAGGCTTCTCCAATATATTGCTGGGTTTGTTGTTTTTTTAGTTTTCATGAATTGGTTGGATGTGCCTATAAGATTTATTTACAAGATCATAATTCCACACAGCTCCAAAGACTGTTTCACACTATAATACAGCGGGTAAAAAACCAACAGGAGATAAACAAAGTGTAGATCAGTATCAGACCTAAAGATCTATGGGAATCCATTTCTCTGATATCTATCTCTCTGTCACTCTGCTCATCTTTTCTATTTCGATTTCTTGGCTGCTGTTCTCTTTGCTTTTCTCTCTCTCTCTCTTTGCTTTTCTCACTCCTTGCTTGTTTCTCTCTTCTTTTTGCATTTCTCTTTACTTTCCTCTCTCCTTGCTTTTCTCTCTCTCCTTGCTTTTTTTTCTCTTTGCTTTTCTCTCTCTCTCTCTCTCTTTGCTTTTCTCTTTACTTTCCTCTCTCTTTGCTTTTCTCTCTCTCTTTCTCTCTCTGGCCAACTCGCTTTTTTTCTCTCACCTCCTCTCTCTCTCTCAAACGTTTTTCTCTCCCTCTCTTCTTAGTTCTTATACACATCATTTCTCACCAGTTATCCTCATCAAACCGACATCATGACATCACCAACTTTGCATCAAGATAGAATCTTCATGGGAGCACTTAATTTCGCTAAGCTAACGTAATAAGCCAGTTCGTAAATAGCTTTGGAACGCATGACCCCCAAATATCCACAGATCTTTTACATGATGGATACGTCCCACTTGTGCATTTCAGAATTTTCACTGTCGAAGTGATGGAGGTGCTTCATGAATACTTTTTGTTTGCCCTCTTGAGAAGAATACTTCCACCTGTGTATCAGGTAAATGTACTGTCGGTACATAAATAAATACTAATTACATAACTTTCATGAGCACGATACGAGTATCCGTCTCAATAGTTTTACAATTTGGGAATGAATGCCCTTTATCTGCACATGCGCAAATCCTAATTACGAACTCGCTTATTGCACATATTCCACTTTTAGAGCACTCTCTAGCGTCAAATCGGAGCCAGACAATATACACAAGCTAAACCTATTATGTGAATTTACATGATGTATTTATTCCATGATGTCATACATTGCAACCACAATTGCTGCCATGAGAACATAGCAAATGAAACCCCCCCTCAGCCGATGAGTGTGTCCGTAGTCCAGGACCTTATTCACAAGATCTTGGACCAGTGTCCCCCCTATGGTACTAGCATCACCACCATCCCTCCTAGACCTGGTCTTAACGGTAGGACTTCTGGTAGCGGGCACGGGCTCCTGGACCACCAAACTTCTTGGGCTCGCAGCGCCTGGGATCAGCGACCAGGAGCGCTCGGTCGTATTGGATCAGGATGTCCTTGATCTCTTTCTTGGAGGCTTCGTCAACGACTGCAGAATGACAAAATAAAACAAAATTCTACGTGTGAGCAAAGCAATTATCCATGTCAAATATAGGTGAGACCAACAACAAAAACATACATGCCAACATTTGAAAATCAGAAATCTGTACAAATTATGCTATTTTAAAAAAAAAGAGGAACAATCCTAACTCTCCTATTCAATACTACAGACACATTTGTACAGGAAGAGGAACACCTGCATTAAAATGATAATTATCTTCTCCCAAAAAGAGGAATGTTCCTCTTTAATCTGAACAGTTGGCATGTATGCAAAAATAGTAATAATAACATTACAGTTTATAAAGAGAAGGTCGAGTTCTGGGGCGAGGTGACAAATAATTTGTGAGCGTTATCATTGTTATTATGCAAGTGTGGAAGAACATCAGCGAAAAAATGTTCCCTGAAAAGCATGACTCTTCAAATTCTAAATATGACAATTTATGCCACATGTTTGTGTAGTCCCATATACATCTTTCTGTGTACAGTGCTTTTTACTTTACCAAGACTGGACCAAATTTATCATTTCGATGACTCCAGAACCTTGCAGTACACACAAATACTTATAAATACTACATTATTGATACTACATGATCAACTTTTTCTGATCGATTTCACACAGTTTCTTTCACATTACAGTCGCATGACCAGAACTCTAACTTTATCTTTAAGACTCAAATATCAAACTTTCACCTTAAAGTCATGTCCCCATACGTTATAGTAAACAAACCCCCATCCCCCCCCCCCCCCCCACCCCCAATTGCACCTCACATCTCTGTACTTTATACACTATCCAGGGAATAATTTTCCTCAATTTTTTTTGATTAGCCATTTCAGCTGATGGATAAATATTTCAAATGAAATTCTGTACATTTCTATGGAACAAATGCATAGCAAATTGCATTGCGGTACCAGGAAAAATATTCCCTGCTATCTAGACAGATAGAATCAATTTTTTGTAAATTTCAAATAATAGCACTCGTCTCCTCATCAGAGAACTGAATTAATGTCCATGCCATGTTCAAACCATGTTGGTCAACAGCCCTTAAATTTCAATACTTTTAGGGCAAGACCACTATTCTGCAGGGCACATTCCTATATATATTACAGCACAAATAGGAAGAATTAGAAAGGGCACAAAAATTCTCCAAGGCCAATGAGAGGGGCATTGAGGCCAATTAAAAGGAACTATGAACATGACGGACAAAGAAAGCGGACAAAATATACAGTTCCTCAGGTAGACAAAGGAACTTCCCTTCACTGCTAGTATGTAAAAATGTGTAGAACGGGTTTCACATGACATATTCATCTGTTCTACACATTTTTACATACTAACAGTGAAGGGATCTTCCTTTGTCTACCTGAGGAACTGTATATTTTGTCCGCTTTCTTTGTCTGTCATGTTCATAGTGAGGGCATCCACGGCCATGGCATTGGTGGCCTTGGATTAATTTAAGCCCTGGGTCAATGATACCTTTGCCCAACACTTTTAACAACAGTGAAAAAAATAAACGGGAGCTCGGGGCGAAATAGCCCCCGAAATAGCCCCCGAAATGCACAAAACAGCCCCCGAAAATCAGAAAAGAGCCCTCGTAAATTTGCATAGAGTGCAATGCAAAAGAAATTTTAAAATGTTATTTTCATGCAGGCAAGCTTGAAAAGTAGCCCCCCAATTTTTTTTATTGGGTACTCAAAAATAACATAAAAGCCAACTGGCTATTTACAATCATGTACAGGAATGTGAAATGACAAAAACATCATATAGTCCACTACAACTCAAATATAAACTTTTTAAAATGGAGGCTTAACTTGCCATATTTGGCTGCTGTTTAACAATAGTTGAACATAATACTTACTAACCCTGTAAGTTGGGGCTCTGATCGGATCGGAAGATCGGAGCGACACCCTCGCACCTTTGATCGGTATCGGATCGGAAGAGCGACAAAAAAAAATCGGCCGATTTTTTTTTTTTTTTTTTTTTTTAAATGACGAAATTTTTCAAGTTTTTGGCTATCAAATGCTCAAAAAAAGTTCATGGCTGGGATTATTTTGTCATTTGGAGTTGTTGTAGACCATGTTTGTTGATATTTTGTGCCTTTTCATGACTTTGAAATTAATAATATTGGTCTAAGAGCAGAGGCAAAACATGCGGGCCGCCATCTTGGATTATAATGTAGGTATTTTTTTTTTTTTTAATGACGAAAACTTTCTAGTTTTTGGCTATCAAATGCTCCAAAAAAGTTCATGGCTGGGATTATTTTGTCATTTGGAGTTGTTGTAGACCATGTTTGTTGATATTTAGTGCCTTTTCATGACTTTGAAATTAATAATATTGGTCTAAGAGCAGAGGCAAAACATGCAGGCCGCCATCTTGAATTATAATGTAGGTATGCATTATAATCCAAGATGGCGGCCCTCATGTTTTGCCTCTGCTCTTAGACCAATATTATTAATTTCAAAGTCATGAAAAGGCACTAAATATCAACAAACATGGTCTACAACAACTCCAAATGACAAAATAATCCCAGCCATGAACTTTTTTGGAGCATTTGATAGCCAAAAACTTGAAAATTTTCGTCATTAAAAAAAAAAAAAAAAACCTACATTATAATCCAAGATGGCGGCCCGCATGTTTTGCCTCTGCTCTTAGACCAATATTATTAATTTCAAAGTCATGAAAAGGCACTAAATATCAACAATCATTGTCTACAACACTTCCAAATGACAAAATAATCCCAGCCATGAACTTTTTTAGAGCATTTGACAGCCAAAAACTTGAAAATTTTCGTCATAAAAAAAAAAAAAAAAAAAAAAAAAAAAAAAAAAAAAAAAAAATTGCCGATTTTTTCCCGATCATTTTAATTGATCGGCGATCGGAAATTTTTCCCCGATCACCCCTGATCGGATCGGTATCGGCGGCCAATCCGATGATCGTTTACAGGGTTAATACTTACACTTCTGGTAATAAGCAACCAGAGACTTGGAGATAGCTTGCCTGATGGCTGAAAAGGAAATCACAAAATAAAAATTAATTGGATACAGATTTCATGTTCTCATAGAAAATGACTACAAAGGAATTCATTGATAAATATCTATGTAATTTATCGTTTTACAAACAAAATACACAAATCCTCCATTTTGAGACAGACATGAGGTCAGAAAATGTAATCTGACTTTCCAAAGATAAAGCCGTGTTCACACACAACATTTTCCGTGATTAGGCGTGATTAGTTATACTGTTTCGGGATAGTTATACTGTTTCGAGATAGTTATACTGTTTCACGATAGTTACACAATGAAATTGTGTGTGTGGACGCTTACTAACGATACATCGTATAACGAAACGTTGTATAACGAAACGATGCCCAAAGATGCGTTTCGTTATACGACGTATAAATAATCACGCCTAATCACAGAATGTGTTGTGTGTGGACGTAAGTAGTATAACTAGTCGAACTAGAACGGTATAACTGGGCGGGGCTTAACGTGACCTCGATCGAAAGGAGACCTCATTTCCGCTTCCATTTCATGATCGCAGTAGCAAACTGTGCACCTATACGACATTTCACTGTAGAGTTTCATGATTACTTCCTTCTGTGTGTGGACATCCTAGAATTTATACAATGATTATTTATACGACGTTTCTTGTGTGTGGACACCCTGAAATTTATACGATGATTCTTTACAAGACGTTTCGTTATAGAGTTTCGGGATGAATTGTTTTGTGTGTGGACATGCTGACAGATGCGTATGACTTAAGCCTGTCTGTAGTACTAGTTTGGCCAGGGGGGATTAGGCCTTCATGGAAGGTTAATGACAGGTGGTTATCTCATCAAATCAGCTCTTAATTAACATAAGAAAAAGTGGACCATGGGGGATCAAAAGGTACTGCCTACCACGGCGAGCCCAGATTCCAGTATGAACTCATTTTCATACATAACAAGCTACGGAAGCTTGCAAAGAGGTCACAAACAATTAGACTTTGATTATTTATTGCTTTGCCTCACTATTTATAAAGGTAAAAAAACTAAATAAACTGAGATTTGAACCCTCACAGCAACTCCAAGGTTCTATTCGTAACACACTGTCCTTACCAATTGAGCTAACAACGAGTTGATGACAACTTGATTTGTATAATTACTATCACCCTATTGACCACCCTACCGGATTCCACGTGCGCATGCACTGGTTTCCTTCAGGAGTGCGCGTGCGCAGGTTTCCCTCACGAGCTCAATCTGGGCTCGCCGTGGTATGAAAAAGACGCGTACTGCTTAGCCAATGTTTGCTATATAGAGGGCGCAAGTATCTACAAGTAGTGCAGTCCCACTTTAAAGAATTCCCTCTGTATATTTGGGTGATGCTTACCATAGATCTGTGCGATACGTCCACCTCCCTTGACTCGCACCCTGATGTCTACAGCAGAGAAGCGGTCCTTACCCAGGAGATACACAGGCTCCATAAGCTAAAAATACAACAAACACAAGGGCATGAAACATATACAATCCTTCATCATTTTCAAAAACTCGGTGCCAAGGTCAGACGATCATCTTTGTCTGATTATTTTGTCCGCTTTTACATTGCAAACATTGTACAATTACCGGTAGTCCTTGGGACTACTAATTCATAGCCAGATGTCAAAACGAACGAAAGAAAAAATCCTGGGCCAAGAGATACACAGGCTATCAACAGAAAAACAAGACTGATACCAACATCCTTTATTATTGGCAGCCTTCAACAAGTACACTGTAGTCAGAAAATTGTTCATGCTTGGTCAGATTGGGAGGTGATTACTAAGAATCAAAGCAACTTTCAGGTTGAAAGTACCTGTGACCTTTTCTCTATCCTTGTCAGAAACTTTGCAAGGAGTGGGAGGAGGGGGGGGGGGGGGGAGTTGGCTATTTCAGAAATTCCCTGTACTGAAAAATTACATGCTAGTTATACTTACTGGCCACACGTGACTTAAATAATTTTTCTGTTAAATACAAAAATCATGCTCTTTTGTAGTGACAAATACATAAGTTTGAGATGAAAATAAAATAAAAAAAGAACAGATTTTAAATAACATTGATCTCCTCAATTGCTCTGTAATCATTTTCCCACCCTTACTAATTTCAAAACTTTGATCCAAGAGCAAACACTGAAGATTACCCCAACACTAAATCTAACCAAATCACAATTCCAATCACAACACCAACACAAATCCTAAATCTTTGACAAAATAAAACTGACAGTGAGAGTCACAGGAGTAAATGTTATATCATAAATTATTTACCTTTGATTGGAGGGCCAGAGGCTGGACGAGCTCCAGAGGGTGACCGTTGACCTTTAGTAGTCCATTGCCTTGCTTGCAATGGGCAACAGCTGTGGCCGTTTTCTAATAATGGAGAAATAATAGAGATCATATTAGTAAATTCACAGTATTCATATTAGTAAATTGAACAAGGTTTTGGGGTGCGAGACAGCAATAATAAAAACTGTCAAAAGTCAAATAATCAGAAAGCATAATGAGGTTTACTTCTAAAGGTCAGGAGTTATTTTTTAGCACGGTTTTGAACCCGTTCTCACTCACTTCGTTGGAGCGCTCTGGAGCGCTCTAACTAAGACCCGCTCCTCAGGAGCGGTTCTTAGGTGAATGAGAACGCTCAAAGTGGTCCAGGAAGCGGACTTCTGGACCGCTCCAGAAGTCCACCTTCCGAGGTGGTCTTGAGGAGCGGGTCTTATTAAGAGCGCTCCAGAGCGCTCTAACGTGCAATGTGAACGGAAAGCGTACTTTGAACGGAAGTGACGTTCCGCGCGATGATTGATCGGGCAGGCACTACACATATACATGTATACGGGACGCGTCGCGAACGGGACATCAGGTGACATAGGGTTTGGATTCCGCGCGCGAAAAAATTGACCCGCTTACCTGAGCTGCCATAGCAACAAGACCACTTTGACTCGTGGAGCGGTTTGAGCCATAAAAACTGCTCGGAGTGTGAACGCTCGTAAACCGTTCCTCAAGACCCGTTCCTCTGGAGCGGTCTGGAGCGGTCTAACTAAGACCACTTTCAAAGTGAGGACTGCCTTTTGATTGATATACAATTTACACAATTATTATACAATTTCTGGAAGACAATTTCTGGAAGACTCTGGATCGCAATTTTCTGGGTCTGTATGCATGATGAGTGCATGGGTCCCCTGTAAAAAATATGAAAACTGCATTGGAAGGAGGGCATATATTATTGGGTAGGGAATAGGGATAGTGGCAAGCTCTACATATAATATTGAAGATAACAAACAATAAAAAGCTCTTGTTTATTGGAGATTTTTTTTTTTTTAATAGACCTATATGCAGATAAGAGTAAACCAACCAAATTTTGAACAAGAATGGTAACTTGAAAACATTACAACACAAAAAGATCACATAGATCTAACAAACATGAGTAAACACTACACTCGGCCACAGCGCAACAACGTTAAGACTCTGTAGTACAATAAAACATTAATTCTGCTACTACATATGCAATGTCCGTTTCTTTCTTCACTGCCATAAATTGAGTTTGACTGCAGGGCAAAATCTCAAGGATGGATTTCCCTCAAATTTCTTTGAAAATCTTACCAATAGCAGCAAATTTATCATGCATTGCTGTTTTCACAATTTTTAGTTTTGTTGGTAGCATTCACCTTTCAAGTTCTTTCCTTTTTAGGGAAAGCTCTCATTGAATTTGGCAAGAAATTGGCAAGAAATTGAATGTCTGTGTCATTGGCATTACATTGTGGCATGTCACATGTCATTTTGATGTGGGCATTCACAATAATTAATTCACAACTGACGCAAATCAAAGTTTAGGTAGTCCTTTCTTCAACAAAAAAAAGTTAGAATTATGTTGTGACTTGTCATGTCAGTTGTGAATATTGACTGAACTTTGAATAACCAAGTCTCTCAAATCAATACTAATTTACAGAATATTTTCAGGAAGTCTCCACTGACTTATGTCTGTGTCTGCATGTTATTTGTGTTAAATTGTTTGTAGAGTCACACAATTTGCGAATTGCAACACACAGTCTGAGGGCGCGTTCGGTCGATTGCAAAGGCCAAAGTAAAAAACAAAGACATTGTACTATACACTTTCTCACAGGTTTCACGGCAAACTGCTGCAAAATATAATTGCATACCGTTCGGACGGTGGGCCTGAAAATGAGTATTGTCCGCATAAACTAGGATATCCTAGTGAACGCGGACAAATTGCGTTCTAAGAAATAAGGATCATCCTAATTTTCGCAGACGTTTTTTTTTGCGAAAAACGGAATCCGCGTAAGGAAATAACCCCAGTTCACGGTCTACTTTTATAGGTTATCCATCTTCCCGAAGATTTATCGCTCATAACGTGAAGTCTCTGTTCAAAGTCAATGTAAAATGCATCAAGAAAATCATCACGGAATCCGTTTTACGCATCGCCAATGCAGGGATCAGAAATATGAAACCTCTGTGAAAATGCGGACGATCCTAAAAAAAAATTAGGACGAGTCTGTTTGCGTTTACAAAGACGATCCTTATTTTCGGACCAGCGCCCCTACTGATCCTCATAAAATTCACATCAGTAATTCACATTATTGATGATCATCAATACGGACTCTAACTTCAAGCGTGCATGCAGGCCCCCCACCCATGTCTTCGTTTTTACAATGAAAAATAGGCCTACTCCAAAAAAGATAAGATTAAGAAAATTGACACAAAAAAGGCAAGATAACCACTAGATCTAGGTCTATTAAATCATGACCATTCATTATTTGAACAATTGTTGAAGATTTAGTTGATTTTTGGCATGTTATAGTAGAATGTCTCCTTGCCCAAGTTACAGTCCAAAGAATGGTCACTCACACATGTCACACAACACAGCCCACTTCTGAACCATGCCATGACATCCATGGGCATGCCTGGCCATGCGATTGGGATTGTGAGCTAGCTCCGTTGTTTCATTCTTTTTTTTTCAACTTCATGAAATAGTCTACGACTAACATCAAAATTGTTATGAACATGTTATTGTTGGATCATTAAGACTTGATTGTAAACCTGAAAGTGATGTAGAATGCTGCCCACTCAAAATAACAAACATCAACAACATCAACGTGGTGTTAATTTGCATGCAATGCCATGCAGCCTTCTTGACTCGAGCATCCGCAACAATCAATTTCAACTAACACGAAAGAGCACACTTGGGACTAAAAACAAGTGAAAAATGGATACCTTTCTGCCGAACACTTGCACGGATTGGGCTGGTGTCTTCTCTTTTTCCGCCATTGTTCTGTATCATAGCAAGAGAAATAACAAGGGTAATGTTAAGAGATGTGTTTAAAAGGCGATTTTGTCATAATGATAGTGGATATTTACAATAATAAGTCAATTTATGATAGATTATTTCATTCATCGTGTACCTCTGTCTGTGGTTGACCTGAAAAGGAAGTTGAACGGGTTTCACGTGGTGAGGTCAAACGATAGCTAGAGTCAACCTGACATTATTCCGATTATAGAGGTATCGGGGGGAGGGGGCTGGAGGGCGCGGGGATCGGAGGGGAAGGGGAGGGCTTTGATATAGATCTAGATCAAAGTATTCTTTATTGCATTCATTCCGTACAAATGAAAAAAATTATACATCATACATCTTCATTTATATACATTACATCATACATACATATATCAACATCAAAAATCTTCATTGATATACATAACATTATACAAATGTAAAGAAAATTGTACACCCCTCAGAAATCGATGATACAGCTAAATACACAGTAGGGGTCTATATAATGTTTTGAAATAAATTATACTGAAAATAATATTCAATCAGTATAATAAATTTAAAGACGTTATGTTTTCATTTGTACTGAATGAATGCAATATGCTACAAAACAAACAAAGACAACCATAAATCATGGAGAATTAGGTTAGCACTCCCCTTGAAAAGGACGAAATTCATCTTCGGGTGACAACACACGAATTGCCACTTACTTTGTGGCATCTCAGCACGTTTTTTCCCCTAAGAAAGTAAGATAAAGATCTTTCTTTCCAAAAAGTCATAGTGCATATATTGTACTCACTTCAAATTGAAGAATAAAAATGATGATGCACTCGATCACTATTAAAGGGGAAGTCCACCCTGAAATTAAGTTAGTTTTAATAGGGGTAGAAAAATGAGAGAAACAAGTCAGTGAAAGTTTGAGCAAATTCCGATTAAAAATAAGGAAGTTAGGATTTTTTAAGTTGTGATCAATCAAACACAAATTGGCAACTCTATGACGTATCATGCGAGCTCAACTTCCATTTGCTCAGTACTAAAAAAATCTAAAATTTTCATTTTCCCTCGTTGAAGAAAAATTTCAACCATACATGCACCCTAAATATAATAATTGCAAATATGTTTCTATACTCCCCCTGCAAGGAACAAATATATATTCCGTCATCAATAACGAAGAAAATATGATTTTATGGAATATTATGCACAAAGCAAATGAAGGAGAGCTCGTATAATAAGTCACAGAGTTGCCAATTTGTATTTGATTGATCACAACTTCAATCATTCATAACTTTCTTATTTTCATTCAGAATTTGCTCAAACTTTCACTCACCTGATTTTCTTATTATTCTGCCTCTATCGAAACAAACTTATTTTGGGGGGTGGACTTTCCCTTTAAAAAAACAGGGGGCGGGGGTTGAAATGGGCGACATTGAATGCAGAATGTGATTGTCTAGGAGGTATTATGTGTCCCTGTAACAATGATAATAAAAATAATAACAATATTAACAAATAGTAACAATTAACAGCAATAGTAGGGGAAAATATAATAATAATAATGATAATGAGAAGAAGGAGAAGAAGAAGATGATGAAAAAGAAGAAGAAGAAGAAGAAGAAGAAGAAGAAGAAGAAGAAGAAAAAAAAAAAAAGAAGAAGAAGAAGAAGAAGAATCACACTTAATTCAATTACCCCCGGCCCCCATTTGAGTCTTTTTCACTCTCTGCTTCACCGTTTTTTTTTAAAGATGAGGCTGAGTGCTTATATTGCTTAAAAATAGGTCTGACTTAAAATTTCTGGAGAGTATTCCAAGTTTTTCCAACTAGTATTTTACCTTTCTTTTCTTAATAATTAGACAAATGAAAACTGAAGAAAAAAACTGAACACTTCCCACTTCAGAAAAAGTTGATGAAAATTGTCACAGCATAATTTATATAAGTATTGCCTGATTGGTGTGTAATGCAAGGTTCTCAGGAGTCATCAAAATGATAAGAAATTTGGCCAGTCTTGGTAAAGTAACAAATCCCCTCCAAACTATAATGGGAGGTCCCCAAATTCCACATTATTTATTCTCTTATCAATATTCGTCTTCAAACACTTTTTGGGGGATCTTTGCAGAAGTGGCTTTTAAATGACATCCTCTTTCACATTATGATACAATTTAAGTGATATTTTTGCCATCAAATTTTTGGCAACTTGGGGCTCCCAACACATTTCCCTCCCTCCTTGTCCATCTCCTTCTTCTAATTCGACACAATCACCTTTCTCTCTTTCTCTCTCTCTCCCTCTCTACCTATATCTCTCTTTCTCCCCCCCCCCCCCCTCTCTCTCTCTCTCTCTTTCTCTCTCTCTACCTATCTCTTGCTCCCTCTCTCTCTCTCTCTCTTTCTTCCTCTATCTATACATATCTCTCTCTACCTATCTCTCTTAATTCCTCTCTCTCTCTCTCTCTCTCTCTGTCTCTCATCCGATGCCCCCCCCCCCCCCGCCCCCCCCCCCCCCCCCCCCAGTCAGCCCAGCTCATGAGCCCATTCAAACGGCTGGACCGCTATATACGCGGCCACTGATAAACGTGATCATGTTGACTTAACGTTATATTATGCATCTAGTTAAAAAAAAAAAAACATGAATGATAAAGAATACATAATAATATCCTATAATGTTATCTCTATATTAATATTGATTGAACAGTGTCATGTTTGCAGGCCTTTTCTTAAGAGATCAAAGTTACCTTTTAGTTTTAGGGGCATAACATTATTTTTATAGCATTATTAAAAGCGACTTAATTTTCAAAAGGGTTTTGAAGTGCAGATTATATTATTTGCAGGGATCTTTGAAGCTAATTTTTTTAACATGTGATAATTAAGTACAAGACAAAATGATCACCAATGGGTTTTCCTTCGCCTGTGGTCCAATTTTAAGTTTTTTTTAATTTTCAGGTTCGATCAATCGTTGTGAATTGCAATAGTGTCCAATATTCCGAAGGTTCATTTAATTCCGAAAACGATAAAGACTATTGTGTTCTATTGCATTTTCGGAATTACGTACCTTTGAATTTTTCGCTATTATAAATTACAATTATGTATAAACTCGATTTAGTCCAGGCCATTTTTTTAAATATGAACCTTTGGCCCGGACCTTTGGAAAAAAAAATTATGTAGCCCATTTTCACTATGGAAATTATAATGTTCATTTTTTGACGAGTACATCGTATATAATGGAAGTGATGAATTTTTAAAGGAACCTTACCCCAAGAAATAACTTTACTTATTCTAAGAGGTTTATTGTATTCTTGTTCACTAATCTACAACTTACAAGGTGCACCAAAGTGTTTAAAGCAAGAGCAATTAATGTACAGTTTCTCAGCACGACACGAGCATCGCCATTTTCTTGATAACGCGACGTACTATATTATGATATCGTTTATCATAGACAAGTAAATGTATTTAAATGTATGGATGCTTCCTTTCTCGGTGCATGATGAGGCATTTCATTCACCTGTTATACATTTGTATACTTTATATTGCCAGAGCGCAAATTGCATAATAACGTGGTGCTCTGTTGAGGTGAAGGTTTCTCATTAATGAAATGAAATGAAATTCAATTCAATTCAAATGAACATTTATTTTCTTCCAAACAATACAATTTATAAGTAGGAACATAAATATAATTAAAGAACTTGTATTACAAGGAAAAAGGCGCGAAACCCGATAAGCATAGCTTGTAAAGGGCACGCCCGAATACATAAATACAATTATAAATGGGAGAAAGGAAGAAAGGAAGAAAGGAAGAAAGGGATAGGCAAAGAGGAGCGGAGAATAGAGAGCTTGGAGAAAGAGAAAAGAAGAGGACTGCAACAAAGTAGCAATGGAGTGTATGGCATGCATACACAACATAATGGCAATATATAGGTGAAGAGGATAGTGTTGAAATATTTGACTGCATATATACATATATATATATATATATATACATACTTCTTTACAAGTACATGCATTTATACAACATAGCCCTATACATACATACATGTATGTTTACATAATTATACACATGCATACAACACATATATATATACTTATACATCAATATACATCCATATACATCCCTTATACAATACAAATACACACTCGTCAACCTAATTGGGTATAGGGATAATACTTATGAATAATGCTCCCCTGTTATATATTTTTGACCAAACATAATCTTTTCAGCTATCAGTTTTCCTCATTGGAAAATAAAAGTTTTGTTATTGATTTAAAAATGATCTTTCCAACTAAAGCTTTGGGCATGATACATGAGTACAACTTCAACTGGTACGTCATATTTTCAAGACAATGGCTGCACCCATGCAAGTCATGCCACTGCAGGTATAACTTGTTTATATTGGTATGTTTTTGTTTTTGTTTTATTTATTTCAATACTGTGAGTTTATTTTAAAAACATGCTTTCTGCCGCAAGGCTTTTTTTCAGCACGACCGTATACAAAAGAAGACAACATTACACAAAATAATATCTTTTAAAATAACTATAGTACAATGTATTATTATTAATATTATTATTATTATTATTAAAATTATTATTTATTCGGCAAAAACAAAGAAATCATTGAATACAAAACAAGAGTACATTTGGAAAAGTGTCACATGGATAACGCCAGTACACAGATTTTGGACGATATAAGTTATTAATTTGAATGCCTCGGGCCCCCCAATATTATTGGTTTAAACGATATACCCTATACAAACCAGCTATATATAATAGGCCTATCTTAAAGACTCTATTGGATTTACAAGCCCTCAAAAACTGATCTCATATAAATTATGTCTGTAGCAGCAAGATGAGTTTATGAAAGTGTACAAAATTTCAAATCAAAAGACTTTGAGGTTTTCCTTTTATAAGTGAAAATTGAACCCCTCAATTTGTTCACAACAAATGGGTTAAAGAAAACATGACGGCAAGTTGCAAACTAAAAATGTCTGTAATTTTGCCAATATGAATATCTTGCGTTCATACTTTAATGAATATTTGGGATTGTAATTTTTTAAACAACATTTTGGCCCCTTTCACAAGTTTTGAATCACCAAGCACATCCCAGCAACGCCCTTTAAATGCTAAAACGTTCTTCCTGAACGTAAAACCATTCGTCTAGATAGTCGCTGGAAGGATTCTGTCTTACCTATCTCATCTTTATCTAAAATGGCATTATCCGGATTGAAACAATCCTCTGCTTTTAGATAAACCAAGATTTGCTCGTTATTTCTAAATTTGCCAAGGAAACGTTTTATCTCAGCCCTCACTTCTTCCTTATCCGTTTCTACTTGAGATGAAAACCAGTTTAACTGAGGACCAATACGAGAGAGCAGTAGTAGTCCGATCGCATTCACAACGCTGGGTACATCTGCAATTTCCATTGTAATCACCATGTGATGAAAAACAAACATTGCCAATAAAGTTAGAGTAATGATTACAGCTACAAGTTTAGTTACTTCTACATAAACAGGTTTATACATCGCGATGTATTTTAAGAAGAGTTTCCACGGGACATGGGGTATGTCGTCTTCATTTATGATTAGTGAAGAAGCTTTCCTTTCAACTGAAATAGCTATTTCAATAAACATGCGAAGACGAGTCTTATAAACATCATAAAATCGAATGAATATCTTGAGGACGAAGACTGCAAATATTACTCCTGCATAGAATACTCCTTGCGTGGTATTGTAGTTCATCAAAAGACCGATGGCAGTAAATGCACTAATCTCGATTACGTAAATGGTAACTAAATTTGCCATAAGATTTGTATAGACCATCACTGAACAGCATATCAAGAATTTTAAGAAATGACAAAAATATTGATAAGTTCTATTGAAATCTTTATCACCAGCACCAGCAGGGATGAAGGATTCTAATGGTTGAAAAGGAACATGTAAAAATGGTACTGAATAAAAAAGCAATGATATGAAAAATGGTGTAATCATGAAGATAGAACTCCAGCTATAATGAGTGAAGAAGTAAGACCACAATGGAGGATAGAACAGCGTTTGGAAGCGGTGGAGGACGTAACCGCCAAACTTGTTTAACTGAGAACCAGAAGATTCGACTAGCGAAGGAAGATGACGATCTAGATCTTTAGAGACAACTTGGTGCATGATAGTCTTTGTATTCTTGGGAATAGTCCAAAATGATCGAATAAATTTGACAAAGGCGCTCATGTAACCGTGAGAGCGTTCTTTGGAAGATGTTAAAATCGTAAAAACTACTGTGCATATCCAAAAGCAAAGTGACATAATAACACCAAACAATACAGTTAGTATTGTATCAAGAGAAGAAAAACTGTGAAAAAACGTTTCATTTAAACGACGAATAAAAACTTCTCCTTCCAAAGCAATATACACAAACCAGCGTGTGTATGGCAGTAAAGTCAACAAAATAATGTAAAACAAGCTTCTCAAAGTTACGAAATTTCGTCTGTCACTCCAGGAATGAAAGAGGAAATGATGAACCCCAAGCGGTATGTCTGTTTTAGCTTCCACAAGTACTTCATTTTCCAGAATCAACGGTGGATGTTTTCTTGTAAAGTTTACGAGGAGAACTGGCAAGAATCCAGTGATGAAAAATCCAATTAATCTCGGGAGATTTATCCACCACTGTTTTTCAACAAAACCAGTCGTGCCATCCATCCAGCATTGATAAATGGTGTCTATGGTCCTGGCATCGGTGATAGCCTCGCGAATTGGTTTTTTCTCAATGCATATCTTATACTCTTGCTTTGGGTACCCTTTCACTTCCTGCTCTAAGGTGAACAAAGCGACATCTGCCAAGTTTTTGAGGTAACCAACGATCATCCTTTCTTTATCCTCATCCGATTGTTTCCTGAAACAGTGGTCAGACGCCATGGGAACATCCACTTCCATGACATTGACATCCGAACCTAAGGTTCCTAGCGAAAGGTATACAAAGTCATATGGAAGAGTTAACAAATAATATCCTTTTCCTTTCAGGGCCCATATGACAGTAAACGGTTCAATAGCAGCTTCGTTTACATACAGTTGCGACATATTTTCAATATGAAGATGAAAATGTATAAAGGCACTACCTGCACGAAGCAATCGGGAAAGTGTTCGGGCATCTTCTTGAACTGTCGTTGGTATAAGCTTGCAGTTAGACCTTCTACTTGAGTTCTGTTCTGCAGGAACAATTTCTGACATTTCTGTTATCTCCTGCAATGTGCTGTTCAGATTTTCTATCACATGATAATCATTGCAATAATCATCATTGTTGAGGTACGCACAATTTTTTTTGAGAAGTGGGATAAGCGTAATAAATACAAGAAAAGCAATAATTGTACCCTTCTCCATTTTCAGCCGATTAGTTGCAACATTAAAAATCAACCACGTGAACAATCTGTTCGATGCTACAACATTGTAAAATTTGTTCAAAGTACAGCTTGGGCCGATATCATTAGGGTCGACGGTCCAAAACGGCACGCATATACTCACTGCATGGCGACGGAGAGTTAAGGAGGATCGAGGGGTGGGCGGTATATAGTGCAGTGGCGGTGGAGCTAGCGTCTGCCAAAGTTGGAGGGGGCTGGGGTGGGGAGGGGAACAAAAAGGGCACTTCTGGAGGAAAAAAGGGGGCACCTTCAAAGGGAAACCTCAAATACATGTAACATTTTTAGACACTTACATATTGTGATTACATTATCAGGAATGATTTCAATACTTATGTCTCTCTTATATTGCTTTAGCATCATTACTTGCAGTTGAGTGTGATGGTCTGAATGTATCATTTACGAGCGAGCGAAGCGAGCCAGCAACGTTTTGTGAGGTCGGTAATGCAAAATGACATCTTATAAAGAGGACAACAACAACAACAACACCAATCATGGTGGACTTTTAGGCACATATTACGGGAAAAGGAAAAGGGGGCACTTATCAGAAGGGAAAGGACATTAGAAAAAAAAAAGAGTAGGCCTACGTGTCAAAGTTTAAAAAAGGGGGCAATTATAAGAGGTGAAAAGTTAGGCCTACACTTCTCGCACCTGAAAAGGGGCACTCACAAGAGATAGGAATAAGCACTTATGAGAATGAAAAAGGGGCACTGTTAACAGTGGGAAAGGGGCATTTGTTAAATAATAGGGGGTACCTATCAAATTTTAATAGGGGCCTTTATCGGAGTTGAAAAGTGGTATTTAAAGGGGAATTCCACCCTGATTATAATGTTTGTTTTAATATCAGTAGAAAAGTGAAAATAACACATCAGTGAAAATTTGAGAAAAATGGGACAATAAATATGAAAGTTATGGATTTTTTTTAATCCATAACTTTTCATGAAATACTTCAAATCTGTGAGTCAATTTGGCAACGCGGTCTCTAAATATGATGTCACCCCCTCACATTGTATCCTTTGTTGAATGCAAGAATTGTCATTAAATTCCATTTTGATCAAAATATATATGAATTATATTCTTCGTGCCTATCTCGATCATACGTCACGGATAACATGTTCTTTCATGCACCCCTAAGATAGGTCTATTCAGAAAAAATGGAGATTTGGGGTCAGATCAGTGGTGAATGGTAAAGGGATAACATCACATCATTCTGACCGCATTGCAATTTTTTCAAAGATTCCCTGTTTTTGACTGACAGATTCATAACTTCTTTTTTTCCCCGATCCCCAGTTTCACTGAATTGTTTCTCAAATTTGTCTGCTTCTATTCATAATACAATTTAATATCAGGGTGGAATTCCCCTCTAAGAGACAAAGAAGGGGCTATTGATAAAATGAAACGGGTGCTCTTATTTGAAAGTAAAAGGGGCAAGTGTCAAAATAAAAGGGGCACTTATCATTTATGAGAAAGTGAAGGGGCTCTTGGTGAAACTAAACAGGGGCTCTCATTAGAAAGAAAAAAGGGACACATAACGATCATAAAGCGGGCAGTTATGAGAATGGAAATGGACACTTATTGCAAATGAGAAGGGGCATCTGTCCGATTTTAATACTGATAAGGGGAAACGGTTCTTATGTAAAAAAAAAAAAATTACTTGGGGCACTTAACACAGTACGTGTAAAAATAAAAGGGGATTAGGTTCGAATAGGTGAAATTAAAGGGAAAGAGAGAGTGCGCAAGAGAGAGAGAGAGAGAGTGTGTGTGTGTGTGTGTGTGCGTGAGAGAGAAAGAGAGAGAGAGAGAGAGAGAGAGAGAGAGAGAGAGAGAGAGAGTGTGTGTGAGAGACGGAGAGAGAGTGAGTATTTTGGTTAACCACGTCATTGCGGTTTTTCGAGAATATATTTTGAGATCCTCCCCCATACGCCCCATACACACATACATCCCACTGCATATAGGCGAGAATAACAGACAACTAGATCAATACATCCCCTCATCGGTTCATCCCATTGTAAAACAGAGTAACAGAAGGAACTATCAATGCCCCGTTATCGATCGATTTGACTTATTTTAGATTGCTCCTCAGTTACAATAATACACTGTATAGTAACATTCCTATACCGTGACCTGGTATTACGTGTCATACATTTCTTTTACCATTTCGTGTCATATAATTATATAGTCTTACTTATTCGTGTCATAAAGGGTGGAAAGTATATAGTAAATGGATTCTCATCAGATAATTGGATAAGATAAATCGTCATTGTTTGGTTGATAAATCCATCCTTCATCGTGATGATTTGGGGGAAGGTGGAAAATAAGAAAGGTGAGTGAGAATGATAATCTTTTAAAGACTTTGAAATTTGAGGGTAATTGTTGTTATTGGTTGTTAGTAACTGTTGTTGGTTTGAGACTTGTATAAGACCTAAAAAAAATAATGTACCATATCTCCCTTTTTTTCTTCTTCAAATACATATTTAGTATAGTACATAGACATTTGTAACATATTATCTTGAAAACTATTTTTAGGTAGATTATTCCTGACAGGTGAAATGTGGTTTGTAAAATCAATCAACAGTCTAAAAAGTACTATACTATCTCAGCACAACCACACTATCATAGTTTAAAAGTTCTTAACATCAACATTCTATCAAATATGTCATGTAGTAATTATCGGTTTGAAACGTTTAAGAGAACTACCAAATGTGTCTTATTTAAAAAAAATATATATTACTTTAGTGTACACCGGGAGGGTTCATTAAATTTTGTAACATATTATCTTAAAAACTGTTTTTAGGTATAGACTATTCCTGACTGTGTGACATATATAATACGGTTTGTAAAATCACTCAACGTTTTTAAAAGTATATCTTCCCACAAACACATGACCATCGTAATTAAAAATTCTTAACATCACCATTCTGTCAAATTGTCAATATCATATAAACGTTCATTAAGTAATTCCATGTTTTAAAATAAGATCACTTTACCTGCTACATCATTATCAAAGCAGTCCAAAAGAAATAAAACTATAATTGTCGGAGGGACCGGCCGGAGCATAACATTGTTTTCCTAGAATTTGTTTCATTCATTAACAAGTTTTGACCTGCTCATTGGTTCTTTATTAATTGGAAATGTTTTTTGTTCAATTAGAAGAAACTGATATATATTTGCATTATTTCTTCTGCCTTATGATAGTTTTGTATGAGCAGAGTATACTCTTTAACGATAAAGAACTTTCACTCTCTCCTTTTTCAATTAGATAACTGAATGGCGATAGTGGAACAGATGAATATGTGAAGAAGTACGATGAAAGCAGTCTAATGTAAGTTTCATAGATGCATTTATTAGAATATCCTAAGCAGGCATCCAATCTTTCTAAAATGTTGAAATGGCTGGTAAACAGAACAAAATCAGGTATAACATATGGGAGAAAGTTTAAACAAATCGCATAGACAAAACAAATGAATTTTTGAGTGTATATTATGGGAAATTCTGAAGCAAAATCCTATTCTACAATGAGTCATTGAAAATGTATTATTGTTGCTGGTCCTCCCCCAAAAGAAAAGTTCCTACCTAGTAATACATATTAGAAAAGATACTTTACTAATTACATTCATTGGAATAAATTGAGAGATTAATCCGACAGATTTACTAGTTATTTTCTTCCGGCTGTTCTTGCACACCTCGGCAGCTTGTATTCAAGGTTGCAAATAGTAACCCTGCAAGCCAGCTGATAATGCTGTCCGTTTTCTTTTCCTCTTTATGTTTTTTTTTTCTGTACGCGTAGCGAATTCTTTAACTTGTAGGACCAACGTTTATGTTCAACCGTCACTTTGACATGTTTCATCTTTTTGTTCAATTTCGATTTTCTCCACATCCTGGCGTAGCATGGACGGAGCATGGATCCACAAAATAGGGAGGGACCGTTGGAACCAGGGGCGGGGGGGGGGGGATCTTAGATGAGGGATATAACATGAAAATGTCGCCCGGTCCTCTGTCTGTCTCCCTATCTCTCTCTCTCTCTCTCTCTCTCTCTCTCCCTCACCCCTTCTCCCCTCTCTCTCTCTCTCTCTCTCTCATTCTATCCTCTCCCTCTCTCTTTCTCCGTCTCTCCCTCCCTCTTTTCCGCTCTCTCTTTCTCCTTATTAAAATGTTGTAAAGGAAGATATGTCTGCAGATGAATCATTTGGATTAAATCGTTCTATATTCATTTTCCCGATTGATTCATATAAATCTAAGATGGCTTCTATGGACAAAATAATCAACATTTCAAACGGAGATTATGATTACGGTAATCTAACCAGTGGCGGGGCTAGAGGGTGGCATGGGATTCACATGCACCCCCCCCCCCCCTGGCGCCCGAACTCATTGCATTGCGATAACAGAGAGAAAATATCAAATGAAATGAGAGAGATAAAGAGAGATGCGGAAAATGGAGGGAGGGAAAAGAACTTGGAAAGAAATTGATATAGGAGTCATTCTGTATGTTCACCCCCCCCCCCTTCCCCTACATAATGATTTATGTGCTCCCCCAATGCTTTCGACTCACTTTACATTACTGTCTTAATTCATATACATGTATCATCCTTTTCGAGGATACTCGAATGTCTAATTGATATGCTTCATTCTAAGTTGCCCTCTCCTCTTCATTTTGTTTCTTTATAGGAACTGAAAAGGCTATGCCGGTGAACGATTGGAATGGGTGACATTCAGACGTTCAGCTACGTCGCCCCTCCGAAGAAGAAGAAAAAGAAGAAGAAACCCCCGGAAGACAACGAAAACCCCGAGCAGAAGAAAGATGAAGAGCAGAAAAAACAAGAACCGGAACCCGAGGAGGATGAGGAACTGGTGAAGGAAAGACAGCGACGGGAGGAATCGTTAAGGAGAGCGGAGGTTTTGAAACAGAGAAAAAAGGAAGGAGCGAGAGGGGGCAGGGGAAGAGGGCGAGGGAGGGGAAGGGGGAGGGGGAGGGGGCGCCCACCATCTCAAGGAAGGGGTGCACCACCACCGAGAAGCGCAGGTGGTGGTGATAATCAGGACAGAGGGCGAGGACGGGGAAGGGGTAGGGGAAGAGGAAGGGGTTCACGTCGGATTGGAACTGCCAGCAATAAACCGAATCTTGACAGCATCCAGGAGGGGCATGAAAGTCGGGTTTCGACGCGTCAAGCTTGGAGCAGACCAACCAGCAAAAATCGCCCACCAACGTCGAGTCAACAGGAGGAGGAGAATAGAAAAAGAGAAGAGGAGGAGAATAGAAAAAGAGAAGAGGAAGAGAGGTTGATAGAAGCTGAGAAAAAGAAACTCGAAGAAGAGGAGAAAGGGCAAAGGGAGGAAGAGGAGAAAAGGCAAAAAGAGGAAGAGAGGAAGAAAAAGGAAGAAGAAGAGAAGCGTAAGGAAGAGGAGAAGCCGAAGGAGACGAAACCTGCGACGAAAAAGTTTACGAAGGCTGCCCGGGCATCAATATTCATGAGAAGATTGTTTGGAGGCAAAAAGGAGCCAGTAGAGGAAGTGGCAAAAGAGCCTGAGCCTAAAGAGGAGGATGAAAAGCCGAAAGAAGAAAAACCAGAAGAAGAGGAACAGAAGCCAGAGGAGGAACCAAAGCAAGAAGAAGAAACACCAGCAGAGGAAGTGAAAGAAGATGAACAACCCAAAGAGGAAGAGGAACCCAAACCAGAGGAACCTATCGAAGAAGTAACAGAAGATAAGCAAGAGGACAAACCTGAGGAGGAAGCCAAAGAGGAGGAAACGAAAGAAGAGACACCAAAAGAGGAAGATGTAAAAGAGGAAGAGACTGAGAATGCTGAAGAGAAACAAGAGGTCAAGGTTGAAGAGGTACGTAAGGAGGATGAAGGAGAGGAGAGTAAATCCATCAAACAGGAGGATAGATCGATAGAAGATCAGAAGGATACAACTGAACAACCGGTACAAGAAAATCCTCCGGAAGAAACAAAGAATGACAAACCTGTGGAGGAGAATAAAACTGAAAATCCGGTGGAAGAGGAGGATAATGAAGAAGTTAAGGAGAAACAAAGGGGTATTCTGGGAAAGTTATTTGGGCGGAAGAAAAGTGTTACAAGTAAAACAGGATCGCAAGTGAGCTTACGGACTTCTAGTATGGCCAACATGAATGCTTCGCGGACTACCTTGAACAGTATTAAAGAGACCCAGGAGCCAGAGACAGGAGCTACTCCAGGATGGGGGAAGGTCAAGTCCCTGTTCAAACGTGCTAAAACACCAACACCAGAACCACCTAAAGAACCTACCCCGCCACCACCACCACCTCCTAAGGAACCCACCCCTCCACCTCCTAAGGAACCCACCCCTCCACCACCACCTTCACAAGAGGTGGCTAAGGAAGCAACCAATGATGAGCTGACCGGTGCTGTACCAAACCTTGTAGATAAGCCCTTGGGTGACAACTCAAACCGACCAATCATCATCATAAATGCCTCTGGAAGTGACTCTGAATTCCAGAAGACATTGATTGCAGCCCTGGGTGGAAAAGTCCCGGATGAAGGTGAAGAAGAACAGCCCAGGAGTGAACAACCGAACGGTAGGGTCAATGGGGGTAGGCAAGGAGGAATGCCAGTAAATCAAATGATGATGCCTATGGTCATGCCGTATCCGATGCCACCTCCACCAATGCCGTATTATGGTATGAATCCATATGGCTATGGACCCCCTATGATGCCGCCGCAACCGCAAATGCAATATCCACAAGGACAGTACCAACAGTACCCACAGCAACAGCCTCCACCACCACCCCCACAACCCCAGCAAACCTACCAACCCATCAACCAGCAACAGAGAGATTTCATACAGAACATGCCGATGAGCAGCACACATGCACAGCCGAAGAAAGAGGTCCTATCGGCAACAGAGCAGCTCATCGAGACCAACCCGGTGAGAATCATAAGCGAACCTGCGGCAAAACCACAATGGTCCAAAAAAGAACTGAAGCGCGAGGAAGTTCGTCTCCGAGTTCGGAAGAAACTTACGCAGTCGTTGCAGGAGGCCGAACAGCACACACAACTCAGTGATGAGCAGTTTGAGGACAGTGATATCGATGATGAATTTTATAATGCTACCTTGAGGAAGAAGGATCGGAAAAAGAAGAGATCGATTGCCGACTTCAACGAGCTACAGAAGGAGGAAATGGCTAGGAAAGGGAAGATAGAAGCAGCAGAGAAAGCAAGAAGAGAAATAGAACTTCAGGAGGAGATGCGTCGCAAGGTAGCGGAAGATGGGATGAACACACTCCTTGCCATGATCAATGGAGAGGAGGATCCAGATGAAAAACCTGATAAAGATGATGATGGTGGTGATGGGGAAAATGAAACTGATTCTGTCAAAGATGATCAGGGGCAGCCCAAGAAAGAACAAACAAGTTCAAAGAAAGAACCAAAGAAGACAAAGAAAGATACTTTCAAGAAGCCCTTTGATATCGAGGCCGAATCTCCCATTATATTCCCAGATGAACAAACCTATGATGACTTCAGCAGATTCGTGTCTGAATTCACCAAAGCAAATGGAGTCACTTCACCATCTCCAACAGAAGACAAATCACCTGGTATCCCTGACCGCGGGGCATCGGCATCAAGTTCAGAAAACCCTTCACCTTTCAGCATCACAATCGCAGATGAGTTAATGGCGATGATAAGCAACTCTTCAAGTCCTGCAAGAACTCCACCTGATACGAAACCAGCAACGAAAATAAGGCAGGGTTATCCTCCCTCTGTTGGGTCATCCTCTCCGGCCTCTAACTCGCAGCGGACAGAAGTTCAGCAGAGTCTGTTCAACGCCCAGGTCACACTCCTCGAGGCCAAGAGACTTCTCAGCCCACATTCAAAATGAGTTTCCAACCGCTGTATGGTCGTCATCTACAATATTTAAGAAATGTGTCAACTGGACGCTAACAATTCTGACCGATGCTCAGGTCAAACCCTGGGGTGGTATTCTCAAAAGCGGACTAACTTTAGTCCATGGTTTAATCCACCAACTTAGTATGGAATGCCAAGTGTCCATATGAATATGTTTTTGAATAATTAATAAACAACAATATAACTATGATATATTTATGTTATCACAGTAATTTAGGGACATATCAAATTGTTAAAAAATATATTCATATGGACACTTGGCATTCCATACTTAGTCGGTGGATTAAACCATGGACTAAAGTTAGTCCGCTTTCGAGAATACCACCCATAGAGGCTAGAAGACTTTTTAGTCCACGCTTACACGAGCTTCCTACAAGTCGAATTACCAGAGGTCAAGTTTAATCCACATTAAAAATCGGGGATGCCAGTTAGAATTGATAAGAGAGCCTGAAAATCACCTAGAAAGAGCTATTTTGTACACAAAAAAAGCCTAAACTATGGTCTGAAAATAAATCGTCAGGGACTGAATTCAGGTTTGTACCTGAAGACTGGCATCCCTGGAAATGAAGTCTTTAGCACAGCTCTACACATACTATTTAAATATTTAGAACTAGCAATGGTGTTGATAAAATGTGTACTTTTGTGAAAACCATTTGCCTGGCTCTTATTCATCTAAATAATTCAGATTTATCATAAAATTGGCACATGCAACAAGATTTTTTTAAAACTTGATCTTAAAGAAGTATCGCTCAAAATGTGTATTGATTGTACAGACCATTGGATGTGGTACGGAAGTCTTTGAAAAAAGTAATTGATTAGATGCTTTTTAAATGTGCAATATTAAATCTTATCTTACAGAAATATAATTTTGCAATCGGTTAATTTGTAACAGAATCAATTGCTTCTATTGATAGAACTTGATAGATTGAGATTGGAGAGAGAGACAGAAAGAGAGAGAGGGGAGAGAGAGGGGAATTAGGGAGATGTAGGGAGAGAGAGAGAGAAAGAGATAGGGGAGGGAGGGAGAGAGAGAGAGAGAGGTAGGGAAGATGAGAGATATAGAGAGAGAGGGAGATGGTGGGAGAGAGACGGAGGGCGGGAGAGAGAGGGTTGGAAGAAGTATGAAAAGGGGCAAGAGCAAGATCTGAATAGAGAAAAAGACTTTAACATGGGATCAAGAGTAGAGTTGGGGGGGGGGGTGGTGTACATGGCAAAATCTGGAAGTTCGGAAAGGCAGCTTGGACATGATTATAAATGCACTTTGCCGTTCACCTAGCCCCACCTCCTCTTCATTTGATTTGTAGTTAAAGGGGAAGTCCACCCTGAAATTAAGTTAGTTTTAATAGGAGTAGAAAAATGAGAGAAACGAGTCAGTGAAAGTTTGAGCAAATTCCGATTAAAAATAAGGAAGTTAGGATTTTTGAAGTTGTGATCAATCAAACACAAATTGGCAACTTTATGACGTATCATGCGAGCTCAACTTCCATTTGCTCAGTACTAAAAAAATCTAAAATTTTCATTTTCCCTCAAGAAAAATTTCAACCATACATGCACCCTAAATATAATAATTGCAAATATGTTTCTATACTCCCCCTGCAAGGAACAAATATATATTCCGTCATCAATAACGAAGAAAACATGATTTTATGGAATATTATGCACAAAGCAAATGAAGGAGAGCTCGTATAATAAGTCACAGAGTTGCCAATTTGTATTTGATTGATCACAACTTCAATAATTCATAACTTTCTTATTTTCATTCAGAATTTGCTCAAACTTTCACTCACCTGATTTTCTTATTATTCTGCCTCTATCGAAATAAACTTATTTTGGGGGTGGACTTTCCCTTTAAGACAAGCCCCAAACATTGAAAATTACACCAATAATATTTACAATAGGTCTTTTACAAAATTTATTGAAAAATATAATTCCTTTGGCACACGTGCAGATACATTTATGTTGGTGAACATTTCTCAGCCATATGAAGCATATAAATCATTAAAAATAAATTATGCAATATACGAATATATTTTCAGCAATTATTAATAATTTGTAGTGTAGCTGGCTTGAATCAAATATTTCAGAGCAAAATGTTCATCACCAATAACTTAGATATACAAATATAAAAAAATAATGCTTATAAAATTTATAAAACCTTTAAAAAAGATTGATCAATTCAAAAAGAAAAATCCATCTTAAACACTAGGATGATTTTCTATGACTAGTCCCCTAGCCAAGCTTTGCATTCAGTGCAGCTGCTAAAATCCCTGCATTACTTCCAAAACAAGGATTAGACGAGTTACTACATGTAGTCACTGATTGAGAGCTATAATTCTTCCCCTATGACACAAGATTTTTATCATTTGTTTCATCCAGTAATGAAACTATCTTCATGTAACCATTGACTAGTGGCATTGCATGCATGACACTAAAAAGAACCATTCCGGAAGTAGATCAATGGTCAAATTAAAAGGTATTAATTTTTCTGATGAAATAAATGGATAAAAGTGCAGGGCTTCATGCATGAAACCCTCATAAGAACAAGTCTGCTGACAACCCATTGAAATGCTTGTATTGAATTAAACTGGTGTTTTAACGGGATGATGATGAGCTTGTACTTACAACGCTTTGATGAAACAATTCTGAAATGTAAAGGAATAAATCTCACAGAATCGCCCTAGTACATGGACCCGTTTCACAAAGCCTTTTTTCAGTGAAAAATGTGCTGATAAACCAATCAGAAGCAAGGATTACACTAGCTTATAAAAAAAAACTGTCATTCGTCACTGATGACAAGTTTTGTGAAATGGGGCCCAGGTCCCAGAAGATATTGACAATGTCACTTCTTTTGATTGCGGTATTTCTTCCAAGCTCTTTGGATTACTTCAGCTGATCTCATTGCCTTCCTAATCTTCTCAATCCGTTCCTTGTTTGCTCTGGCTGCTGATAAATATGACCTTTGACCTTCTGCCTCTTCCATTGCCTTGACCTCGGATCTTACAAAGACATCCCGGTCAACTTCATCTTCCCCTCTTGCTATAATGGACTCTTCCTCCCCTATGCTGTTCAATGTAGAGCTGGAAGCACCTATTTGGAAAGTAGGGGGTTTTGAAGATGTGATTGTCTTACTCGTCATGCCCTTCCCCTCCAGAGGAGTGTGAGCTGTCTGGAGTGAAGTGATATCATCTGTACGTGGGAAGGCACCATTACTGGAAGACCCTGTAAGGGCAGTAGTCACTGAAAATCTTTCCAAGGCAGTATTGAGTGAAGATCTTTCAAAGGCACTGTTGATAGAAAATTCTGCAAAGGAACTGTTCACTGAAGGTTCTCTTGAAGCACTACCTATAGAAGACCCTGTAATGGCACTTTTCACTGAAGATCTTTCAACTACACTACTGCTGGAAGATCCTGTAAAGCCACTATTGACTGAAGACCCTTCAAAGGCACTATTGACTGAGGATCCTTCAAAGGCACTTCTCACTGAGGATCTCCCGAAGGCATCACTCAGCATGGAGGACCTTGTGAAGCCACTGTTGATGGAAGACCCTGAACAGTCATCCTGCAGGGAGTCCATACTGCTGATAGCTCTAGATGGCTCACCACCCAGGTAATCCAGGAGCTTTGACTTGAGAGCTGCAGTGACATCTCCATAATTTTGTGTCTGGAAGATACAAAGGGAGAGAGGGAAAAGAGTATAGTACCTTTTCACTCTTAAACATTATGAAATTGTGTTTGAGCCCTTTTGCCCTGCACACGATACATGTACATGCATGTATATCCTCTTACCCAAAAAGTTAGATTTCATAGAACTGAATGGTTCTCAACAACTATGACCAATATACATCATCTAACAGGAGATGTTTTATAATAAAATTGTGTATATTTACAGTGAAATCTGCATATAAAGACTGCTGATGGGAGACAAGAAGAGTTGAATGTATTGTTAATGTACAGGTTCCTTAAATAGATGTCTTAATGATGAACCTGCAGTGTTCCAATTAAAGAACATCTCTGAAAAGCGTTGAAAGACCTTAGTCTTTGTCAATAGGAGGTCTTTTTATACAGGTGATCACTAATGAACATTACTCACTTTGGGCTTCTCAACCTCCTGGACTGCAGGGTTGACCTTTGACCTGTTCGGATGTAACATGGAGGAAAGCGCCGCGTCGAAGGAACTTCTTCTGGGGTCAGTCATGGTCTGGCCCAATGGCTGCTCAGGCAATCGAGACGTCTTGTGGAAGAGGGAATCCGCAGAATGGCCTGCAGCTGGTCCATCCTGCAAGGACAATCCTAGCGTAGAGGAGCTTCTTGAATTCTCTGAAGATATTCTCGAATCTTGATTAAACATGGTGGAACCCTCTCCAAGAGAACTGCTAGCTGCATCTCCAACAATGGGAGAACTACGTAGTGTGGACATAGATGGGGACAGAGAAGACTGCACACTGCCTAGAGTGACACTGGATGCATGAACAGAATCCGCATCTGCTCCTTGGGATATTGAGTCTTTGGTGGTGACTGCTGTCTTGGCCATTGGAAGTTCCAGAGTCCTCCCAGGTGGCGATCTGTCATGCCATTCGTTGAATGCATGCAGATCTGCGACAACTGTAGCACCGGAATTTGGTTCAGTAGCCATATTGTTGTTCTTGGGTGATAACCGATCAAGGGAACTTTCCTTTGAAGACCTTTGATGGACTGAGGTGGATGTTTTTTGGTGAGGAGTAGTCTGCATTTGAGATTTAGGAGAAACCAACCTGCCATGAAATCTCATTGGTCCGTTGTTAGCATGTTTTCCATCAATTTCAGTTTGGCCAGCATCAATAGCAAAGTCACTTTCATTTACAGTAGGAACAAGAGCTACTGATTGGCCAACCATTGACCTATCTGTCTTGACATCATCTGACCATGCAGTATTCACATGACTCTCACATGATCGTCTCATACCGGATGCAGGGTCACTTTTGCTTGCATCTAATTGGCCAGTTGGTGACCTCCCAGCCTTGCGATCTTCAGACCATGCAGTATTCACATGACCATCCCATGATTGTGTCATGCTCAATGAAGAATCACTTCTGCGTTTTTCATCTTCTTGCTGTCTCCGGAGTTGCTCCTTGAAATGCTGTAGTTTTGTGAGCGTGGCCTCTTCTTTGAGTGCAAAGTGTTGCGTAAAATTCTTTATCCGTTCTTTCTTGATCTCCTTAGCAACCTGAAACGAAAAAGAAAAACTAGAAGATTGTATCCCAGGTCGAAATTCCAGAGTATACCAGTTGAAACCAGTAAGGATTTCCAACTGGTATCTATTGGTTTGAACTGGTCTCAACTGGTACCAGTTAAAACCAGTTGGCACAATTTGGAAACCAGTAGAAATAACAGTTTGAAGTCGGGCAAATAGAATACCAGTTGTTACTGGTACTAATAGATTACTGGTCTCAACTGCGCCAGTTGAAAACCAGTGGAAAATATTAGCTTGAACTGGGACCAGTAGAATATCTTTGTTATCAAAATCTGTCCTCAAACATCTACTGATATCTAACTGACTCTAACCTTATACTGTCATTGTCAGGCCTCTAGTCAACATCCATACTGGTTTCAAAAGGTAGGAATGTCAAGTCTGAGAAAACTGAAAAAATATCAGCAACATCACAACACCTATAGCATTGAAAGCTGCCTGTACGAAGTGGTCTTTATTGACAGGTGGCCCTTCTTTACACTAATCCATTAATACAGATTTCTTTTAGAAACGCTGTTCAGAAAAAAATTATGGAATACATTCTTGACAGAAAAGTGGGAATTGGATGTAAGTAGTCACTTGATACAATTACACACGCTCCTGAGACAAATTGCCCCAAGGTCAATTTTCTACTGATACTGATTTCCCAACTTCAACCCTGGACCAAACAACCTACTTTCAACTCTAGCCCCAAATCTAATCCTAAATCTAACCTAATCCCTGAAATCAACCCTATCCCTATATCTTTCAATTAAAATAGCCCTTATGTATAATTGTCACATTAGGAAAACATCCCATTCGAGCTCAGCTCATCAATTCACCACTTTTCCTGGTGCTACCCTGATCTGATAAGGAGACAGATGGAGCACTGACCACTGATAAAGTATAGGGTCAGTGGGAGACATCAGCGGTCAATCACAGATTTTTTTTCCACTGCAGAATAGGGACTCTAGCTCTCTCTCTTTTCGTTCAGTGGTTACCACCAAAATGCACCCCACTTTTAGACCCCAACTGAGGCGAGGTTTAAGAAGACTAGCTGTTCTCGTCATGAGCAAAGCAAATGTCTGATCACTTTTATGGCAGATTGAGTGTACCTTATTATGTTTGCCATCCTCTTGCTTCAGTATATCCAGAACTCTCCTGGAGTCTACTCTCCCGCTCTTGTGCCGACACCTCTCCACAATCCTATCAGTCAGGCTTCCTGATTGGTCAACCTCCACACCGCTGCTATCTAACACCACTTCTGATTGGTCAAATGGGGAGGACACTTGTCCAGTGGGATGTACCGTTGTCTCTAATTGGCTGGAAGGGTCCATTCTTGCATCTGATTGGTTGATAATTAGGCCCTCTCTGGTATAAGAGTTCTGATTGGTGGATTGTCTCGCCTTTGAGACTCTATCTTGAAGCTCCATGTGATTCTGAACAATCTGAAGATGCTCTACGGCAAGCTGATATCTTTTCTCATACTTGGCCTGTACAAATCAAAAGAAGGAAATAATCTTTTTTCAATACTTTCAATTTTAGGGTACTAATTACCCCAAAACTGCCTCTTTGTACAAACTAAACTCTTAGCTGTTAGTGTCACCGTGACAACAGGAATACATTTTTGCAGTATCTTTTGACCAAGAATGCTTTGAATTACACATAAAATGCAAGAGCAGAAAAACCAAAAGAATAGTATACATTTTGGAGGGTCCATTTCTAGTGCATTATCCTGTGCCCTTTGTGAGTAAAAACAATTTAACCAATATCAAGCATATTGACAACAAGGGGTGGAATTTATAATCAATATTTCCATATATGCATTTGATTTCATCATTTAATGTACAATACCTTTATTAACTTCATTACAAAACTAATTATGATATACTAGTAATATACAAATAAAAGCAAACGTTTTCATAGTAATGATTTTGTGTGATTGCATTTCAACAGGGATATGTGCATCAAATCTAGGGTACAAGAAAGAAGAGAAAATGATAACTATGTAAAAATAACTGCCTCTAGATTTTGAAAGTAAAAGCAGATCTTGTGCTCGACACTCACTAGTTTCTTTGCCAGTTGTTTCTGTGCAATTCTCTCAGCTGTGATCTGTTCTCTGCTTGCTTTGTACTGCCGTAGGTTTTCTACCAACTCCTGTTGTTTCTCTAAGTGGCTTGAAGTCGTACTGATCTTGTTGCTGTAGAGAAATTTAAAAAAAATTGTCAAGGATATAAAAGTAAAAAGAATGTCAAGTTCTGGAAAAGGTGAAGAGAGTTCATTCTCTATTCGCATATATATGCACAAATATCACAGAAATGGATATCTCTTGAAATGGCATCAACGAATGCTGTGTTCCAGTAAAAAATCACTCAAAATATGTAGTGGCAGAATCTTACAAGGAAAGTTCATTTTCATTTGCAGCTACTGTTTCATGGAATTGCTTGCCGGAATACATTACATAGAAAGAAGCATACGCAAAGTTTAGAAGTAATTTGAAAACATATTTATTTAGCACTTAGTAAAGGCTCACAATTATGAACCCAGTGCACCATTTCCACTCCACTCCTTCTGTTCTCTGTTCTGTAAAGCACATAGAGACATGCAATTATGCCTATGTGTTATGTGCTATACAAAAAAGTTTAATTATTAATTATGATGATTTTACAAATATGACTAAAAATAATTTATTAACTTCTGATTGGAGAGGAAAACAACACAATTTTTTCAACATTTTTTCAACAAATTTCATTTCCAGGAAGATAAAGGAGTATAATAATAACAAAGGACAAAATAAAATAAATTACAGTAATAAATAAAATAACAGGAAAAAAGCCATCAACTAATGCCTGAGGATTACCAAAAGAAACTGAGTTTCTGTAGGAGGCTCTCGTCATTAGTTGGAAGAAAAAAAAGAAGCACTGTGGGTGTCAATCTTATTAAAAGGCGTTATCAATTGGTGTCATAGCAAAATAACTCACAACGAGCCTTAAAGGCAGGCTTTACTACTTTAGCTAGAAGGGATTAGACCACCCAGCGAGCCAGCGAGGTCACTGTGACAGGTGGCTATCTCATTAACTCAGCTCTCATTTAACATAAGAAAAAGAGGATCATGAGGGACCAACAGGCACCGATTGGGGAAGTTTCTATATAGAGGGAGCAAGTAGCTACAAGTAGGACAGTGTGCCTTTAAGAATTAGGTTTACATTCGTTTCAAAGCAAAGGTCCCTGTCAGACTGGGGGATATGTTTGGATCAAAACGTATCTATTTTTTAAGCTTGTGTGTCTCACCTCAGGTCTCTAAGAGCATTCTCTAGCTGCTGTTGTTTGAGGAGAGTTTTGAATTCCATAAGATCTCTCCGCTGCTGTTTCTGTTCGGTGATCTGGGTCTGGACATTCTTACCCAGCTTGGAGATTTCTTTCTCCCTTTTCCTCTCAAACGGTGACTTGTAACCTCTGGAATGTCCTGGTATATGAAAAAAATAATCCAATGATTTAAGATAGTGTCATGACAAACTAGGAAATATATCATAATTTTCTAAAAATTTCAATATTTTGAAATGCACATTGAAGTAGCCATAAAGAAACTAACGTAATTCAGTTACAAACTGTAAAAAGAAAAGAGTGCAATTGATTTCTCTATTTTTCATTTACTTTTGTAATTCTGGCAAATTTGTAGAAATTCTGATGAGAAAATGAAATGAAAGCAGAATTGTATGGACCTCTAAGCAGGCAGTCTTTAGCCAAATCAAAACGTGCATTGAGGTGCAATGACACTGAAAAGAGCCCTTATCGGAGCTCATCTGCACTTTCAGGGCTCTTATTTATAACAATTACATGGTATTTCACCGAAAACCTACAACTCAAAATATATATATTTTTTTAATGTTTTCATTATCCAAACTTTTGTAAAACATCAACAATCTCAAATGCTACTAACATGGCATAACATACATGTATACAGTACAATCAAATAATAATAATAAATGAAAAAAAAAAAAAATTACATTCTTCTCTTTATAATTCTGTGTCGATGCTTTTTAAATGTTATATATTCAAACACGTATTGAATATTTGGCTGTATTCAGTTAGCATTCATATTTTGAAAAATCATGACCAAAATTTAAGATTATCTTCAACATCCATCACAACAGAACAACAGCTCTACCTTTCTCATTACTTGACCTTGACTTGACTTTGACACCTTCAGGTGACCTCTCCGCATCTGGAACATGCTCTTCCGACCTCTTGACCTTTGACCCCACCTGTTGATCAGCGAGCAGGGTGGGGTTGTATCTTTGGTGGTACGCGTAAGAGCGATGGATCATCTCTCTAAGAATCCGCAGACATTCTCGAAACCGAGAGAAATCTGAGACACCTTCGTAGCGGAAGTTGAGTCAAGAATATGAAGAAAAACAATTATTTAATAATAAATGACTTGCTCTGAGAGGGATATTTTTCTGCATGGTAATCATAAATAACCAAGCAAAAGTTAGTTTGAGGGCAATCAATCTTTTTGTCTCAAGAAAAATCAAAAGCAAAGGATAAATTTTATAGCCAAATGGAAGAGGTAATTACAGTAATTTATTCTGCCTTTTTTTGCAAATCAAGAGAGACTCCAATTAATGAATTGTGGGAGGAATTTAAAAAAAGGGAAGGAATAAAAACTCTACACATGTGTTGCCAGTTGAAAGAGTTACTGAATTCTTTATCTATTTATCTTTTCTGAAAGTCATAGATATTTCCCATTGATAAATTAAACCTTGTGGAAAGAAAAATTTAAGATAGTGAAAGTAAAATCATCTAATATCTAAAAATCCTACCGATGAACTGTTTGCCACCTACCCGATGCAACAGGATCCGTCACTCTCCCACTCACAAACCCTTGCATGATTCGAGCACACAGCTGCCTCCCTTCTCTGCTAAGTCCACTCCCATTGGCCGGTGCAACCACAGGTTTGGGAGTATCGGCCAATGAGGAGGGAGCTTTCATGGATGGTGTTAATGATGGTGAGACGGGGGTGGTGGAGTCAGATTGGTGATGATGAGGGGTAGGCTCCTGTAGATGCGGACAGACAAGTATGCTACAGTCAAACCTGCCTTATAGGGCAATTCCACGGTAACGGAAGGACACTCAGACAAGATTTTTGAACTTCAGGTTCATACTAAAAGAACTGTTTTATTAGTATAAGATGTGAAACAGTACAGATATAATACCTATATAAGTGCCTTTAATTCTCCCCCAAAAAATTGTCATTATAGTTAAGTAGTTTAAGAATGTGCATATTAATTATCTCGGTAACAGAAGGACATAAAAATGGACATGGTTTTTCCAGTTAATTAGTGTTTATCCAAACTTTGTGAAGTTGATGAAGCTTTCCACTTGACTGAAACACATTTTGTTCCCCATAGTTTAATACATACTAATAAAACATTTCTTTTAGTATGAACCTGAAGTTCAAAAATCTTGTCTGAGTGTCCTTCCGTTACCGTGGAATTGCCCTATAGTGACCAACTGTCTACAAAGACCACATTTTTTGTTTCCCTTGAAAATGGTTTCTCAATGAAAAATGTACTAAAGGAACCTGTACACAATACACCTGATGAACTAACTAATAAAATGTCCATTTCATTTTTAAAAAAATGTTTTATTGAACCAAAACAGAATCACAATATTAACAAATAATTGGAGAGTCATTAAAAATCAAAAGTAACGCAATACATCAATATCAGAATGTCAATTGTAAAATAGAAATAAAAGATAAATATATTAGGAATGCAGGCAGCCAGAGAAGATGGTATGGTACTCAATATCTCTTGAAACAGCAATGTAAACTTTAAAACCTTGACAATTGAGGGATTTTTTTAAAAAATTGCATATAAATATAATATTCAAGGAGAAGAAACAAATATGTTAGGAATTTATCTTGATCATAACCAAACATTTTTTATAATATCGAAATATTTATGACTTTTATTTTTTTTCTGATTGATAACCTTTATAGCCTCTTCCCGAAGAGATCTATATACCGGTAAACCTTTTTTTTTTTTATACCTTCAAATGATCGCCTTCTCTAACCCTTGACTTGAGAGCCAGGATTTCTTCTTCTAGATTGGCAATCTTCTTCCTCAGTCTTGCAATGATCGTCCTATCATCGATAACCTCATTGCGACTGAAGAAGAAGGATGAAACACAAGGGAAAATAACAAAAGAAACTAAATTTTTGAAGTCTTAGATGCTCATTTGACAAATTGTAAAAGTTATGAAAAAAGGTTTGCAAAACAGCAAGAATTATAGACTGTTTTGCCCATCAATATCAAGGATGTCAGGAATGAAGCTAAATAACTTTGGTTGCCAAGGTTACCTAAGAAACCTATACAAATGTTCAATATCATGGAGAGATGAAAGGCTTGCATGAACTGTTCTGGCTCATAAGCAGCATTCAGTTGCAAAACAAGCTATATATATCCATTCTTCATTGACATATTTCCTTTCCAAATTTTGATTTTCCATGACTTTTGAATTCCAAGCATTTTGGTAATTTTCCTTTTTTTTCATGACTTATCAAGGCTTGGAGACATGTTTAATATTCTCCTTTACTTTTCAAGGTTTTTCATGACCATAGGAACCAAATCCATGAAGGAACAAAGACTCTTTTTCTCTCTATCTCTTTGGCATGTATATCCCCCTTCAAGTTCAAGGGCCACCGTGACACATCCCCCCTCCCCCCACCACCCAACATGTCACTGAGTAATTTCAAGTTGGGTGTTGAAAGCTGGTGTTGTTGTGAGAACACCAACACCAGCTACAACACCGAACTTGAAGTCATGTTGGTGTTGAGGTTGACCTCAGTAAATATGACGCATTTCCGGTAGTCTGTGTTGAGCCTTTACACGCTGTCAACACCAACACCAACACCAACACTGAACACCGTACTTGAAATCACTCACTGTATTTACCTGATCTTGTTCTGAACAGCAGCTACCCTCATTGCAAAGCGACAGGTTGAGAGAGATTCACCAAGGTTGATATCTTCGGCCGATACGGTAGCTATCATCGCTGTCAGGCAGTTACCCCCTGATCACAACAAGATAAATCAATCATGAATATTATTCAGAACCAGCATTATTGAAGGGATAAACTGCCAATCTTTACTCTCACTGTCGTCAATAGTTCAATTTTTCTTTATTACTTCTTTGTTGCACTGCTGATATTATGATGATGATCTTAACCATGATGAGAGTGACAATGCAAAGCAAGTAAATGGTAGTGATGTTATTGATGATGAAGATGATGATGATGATGATGATGATGATGATGATGATGATGATGATGAAGATGATGATGATGATGATGATGAAGATGATGATGATGATGATGAGGATCGATGATGAGGATGAAGATGAAGATGAGGATGAAGATGAGGATGAATATGATGATGATATCAGGATTAAGATGATGATGATGATGAAGATGACGAAGATGATAATGATAATGAACATAATAAATATGATGATAATAAATATGATGAAGAAGATGATGATGATGACGATGATGATGACGATCATATTTATGATGATGATGATGATGATGATGATGATGATTGTGATGGTGCATGGACTTACCCAAACTGTCTCGTAAGACCATGGTGAGAAGTGAGTTTCGGTATGGAACATGGCGATGACCACCCATGGACATGGACCGATGATATGGCAGAGATCGAGTGCTAGATGCACTTCCAATCCTGAAAGACCAAACAAAGTGAACTCTTTGACGGTTGCACAATAACAAATATCCGGCAACAAGTGCTTTGTGGTCAATATCCAACACCAAATGAACGTGTAACTTTAACCCTGGACTAAACACCATACCTAACTCTAAATCATATCTGCCAACCTTTCACCACAAAAAATAGGAATCTCTTATTCCTCAGTCACACCTTTGCTTATTTGGCTCGCGTATTGCTGCGTATATATGGGAATCGTTTTCTTATTTCTTGATAATACAGAATTGAATTCTTGATATCAAGAAATTGAATTCTTGATATCAAGATATCGAATTCTTGATATTAACAAGAATTACCATTGCTTTACAACAGAAAATCATTTCTTGATATCAAGAAATAGGAATAAATGTTAAAACAGCTTGCCATAAATACGCAGCAATACACAAGCCAAATACGCAAAGGTGTGACTGAGGCATTAAGGCAAAATTAGGAATACAGTCTATTTTGTAGTCACTCAAAGTCATATGTTCCTATGATAATCATGCATCATGCAAAATGCAATACAAAACACATCAATTTTTTAGCAATGCGAATGTATTACTTTGCAGGCACAAACCCTTGTCAGTCGATCATTGTGTGCAACAGAGTCTGCAATATGAGAATAATTAAAGCAGGCTCTGCACTAAATTTGGCTGCTCCTTATTTGACACAGCCAGACATAGACAGATATAAGTTCTGCATGCTCCAAGCTTTAGGAGTATAGTCTGTGGTGGCAGACTGCAAATCGAGGGGTCAGTGACACAAAGACGTAACTCCATTTTGGCCATTTTGAGAAAAAGTGGTTGATGTGTCACTGAGCACTTGGGCCTTTAAGGAGTTAAGTCTACATTTCACTATCAATTGACTTCAATGGGGTGTTGGTTGGAGTTAAGTCTTTGTGTTTCCTGGAAAACCCACATTTTTCTGAACATTTTGATATCAAATACTCATTTTGGCAAAATATGGAGTTACATCTTTGTGTGTCACTGAACCCTCGAAATGTACCTTCTGTTCCTGACAGGCCCAGCACTCAAGGCTCTCCTACGACCTTTGACCCTTGACCCCTCTCCATGCCCTCCCTGCAGGGCAATGATGACCCCTTCTAGATGATGCAGAGAGAGGTTGATGGACTTGGCTTCATGGAGCTGCTGTCCCGCTATCTTGGTCTTGGCCACCCGCTCTGAACCAGCTAGATCAACTAGATGTAACTTGGATCTACAAGTAGGAAAAAAGTGACACATAATAAATGGATGTGAGCAGTTACATATAAAACAGAAAATATTGAAAAACAGAAAAGCCATACAGGAAGTATGTGATTTTCTTTTATACAGCATCGATATCTATCCATCACAACTGAACAAAATGCGCAAGTGTACCACAACAGAATGATTTTTTTCCTACTGTTTTACCAATAGAGCAGTTGATGATTACAGGGGAAGACCACCCTGATATTAGCTAAGATTTAATAATAGCAGGAAAATGAGATTAACAAATAAGTGAAAGTTTGAGCAATATCCAATTCAAAATAGGACAGTTATGATAATGGTCTTTGCTCAAAATTTCTTTGACCTGTTTCTCTCATTTTTCTGCTTCTATTAAAACCAACTTAATATCAGGGTGAGATAATGAAAAACTGACTGTCAAATTTGAAAGAACGTACAATTTAAATGACAGAATCATCTTTGTTTGATGAAGAGACGGCTGAAATATCCGTAAATATAACAATTTCTAATAATTGTGTACCACCATAAATATTCAATAATTTGAAAAAGCTGTTGAAAAAACAAAATATGGCCTTTTAAGTTGTATTTCAGCCAGTGCCGGTGTTGGCTTTTTTGTTGGCTTTTTCATGTTGGTTAGATTACGCACAACCAGCCGGCCAATGTACTGTTATTTTTAATAAATTAATGAATTTACGGTCACCTTATTTTTAGGAAAGTGGGGCTGAATTGGTATGGTTGTAATTTCACATTTTTGGTTATCCATAATTTGATTCGGTCTGATACTTACTTATTGACAGCATGTGAGCCCTTCTGTCTGGCCTTGACATAAATGGTAAAGACAGCATGGGACCTGGAAGATCGCTGGTTCATGGGCGTCTCAGCGACCTTCCTGCTTGCCTGACCTTGCAGCAGAAGAGACTGAGCAACACGCTCATCCGCTGCGAGGTGCATGGAGAGGTTGCGTACGACGCAGGAGTTGTTTGGTCCGTCGGTGACAGTGACCTGTGAGGAAAAATAGGCAAACCATCTTTCATTCATTGTTCATAATAATAATAATATTAGTTTCTGGTATAGTACTCATATCCACCAAGTACTATTTATTCAGCTTAATTTAAGCTAGGCTTCCAATTGTGGGGGTCTTTTTAACCAGGTACACCCATATACTACACCTGGGTGGAGAACGGTAAACACAAATTAATAAATTGCCATCATATATTCATTCATAATAATAATAATAATAACAATAATGATAATATGTCTTGTTTACCCAGGGTAGCCTCATCAGTATTCATACTGTTCTCCCTGAGGGCCATGCAATCATATCTTTACTCCGGCTTTAACCGAGCTACACCATGAAAAGGTGCTCAAGCACTCAAGGAATTTCTTTCTACCAGGTACCATTTACCTCACCTGGGTGGAGTATGGCAAATGTAGATTAATGTCTTGCCAAAATAGTGCCGCGGCGGGACTCGAACCGGGAACCATGCGATTCACAGTCCGGTGACGTATCCACAACACCACTATTCATGCATTACTTTATGGAGTTGCGACTAATTAAGACACCTCTACAGAATATTTACTGCATATAGGCAGGTTAATTCAAGATGTGAAAGTAATCAACACTTTTTCCATGCACTTTCAGCTCATCATGACTTCATGAACAAGTGCGGCACATTTCACTAAAGCAGAAGCTACAAAACAAGAATTTTATAAAAAATACATCTTCAATGTAAATATAAAAAATAAAATTAGGATTCATAAGGACAATATGTGACGCAATGATTATGTACGAGTTCAAAGGTCATAGTGTGTGGTAATTAAGCCAAGTATAAATCTAAAAGGATCTGTACCTTGGGTAGATGTGTGACAACATTTCCTGGTCTTGTCGTAGGGTTCAAAAGGTCATAGCCAACTTCCTGGTAGATCTCTAGGTAGGAAACCTTGATGGAAAGTTCAGCAAACTTCTGATTCGCCAAGGATTTGTAGATCCTTGATAAAGCCCTTCAAATTTAAGAGAAAAAGATGCAAATTTAACCCGGAATCTCATCACAATCTGTATAATTTGAACTCATCTGAATCAGATGCACAACTTTTGCACAATTATTAGCCCGTCTTCATCAGCTCGAGTTTGCCAAATAACCCGCTATTTTAACTATCCCGATCGCAGTTAATTTGCGTCTTCAATAGCCCGCAGTTGCAATTAGCCGATATATTTGGTAGAGAAAATATCTAGAGAAATGTTGGTCTTGTTTCAAAAATATCCCGCTATTTGGGAAACAGCTGGCTAAGTTCCGCACGTCCAAGCTAGTTTGTGATGAGAGTATCAGTCTGGTGAAGACGCAATTTCAAGCTTCAGGATAATATCCTGAGTCTAAAAAAAGCGGATTAATAGTCAAATGCATCATAGGTTCCTATATCTTTAAAGGTGCATGGGTACCACCTGAAAGATAACAATTATGATTTTGATAATGACAAATAAATCTCAATGTGAATCTCTTGTTTATTTAAAAATGCATTCAAAATTGTTGTTGTAGGAATGTAGGTCCTACCTCAAAAACATTTGCTGACGAGCATAAATCAACAACATATTTGTATTGAATCATGGGTTTTTTCCACAAAACTTGTCATTCAGTGACAAATTACAGTTTTTAACTAGTGAAATCCTTGCTTCTGATTGGTTATCAGTAGTTTTGTCACAGATTTTTTTTTGGTCATTTGTTATTGAAAAAAGGCTTTGTGAAACACCCCCTGGTTTACTTTTAACATGTATGCATATATAGTTTATCGTTATCAGTAAGGTGAGACGTAATTCTCGGTACTTACCTTGGCGTGAGTCCACGGTCTGAGTAGGACTTGGCCCCACCCTCAATGGTGTGTGTCTTCCCAGATCCTGTCTGTCCATACGCAAATATGGTCCCATTGTAACCGGATAGAAAGCCTGGATTGTAAAGGGATTCAATCAAAATAGATCAGTAAATTAGGAAAATAATAATAATAATAATAATAATAGCCTAATAAGTCCACTCCAAATTTTATTAAACCGAAACGGAAATTCTTTTTGCCCAATTGATCGTGAGCCCGGCAGCCACTGTGCAGCGCCAGATCGACGTTGCTATATCCCTTATTGTTGAACGCCAAACAAGGTGGCAACAACTCCCATCTTTTAACGTCTTTTGGTATGACGCGGCCGGGGTTCGAACCCACGACCTCCCGGTTGTGAGGCGGACGCTCTACTGACTGTAGCATTGAGTTGGTTTTTAAAACAGAGCACTAGAACTGAAATACAAGATTATCTGATAGACAATTAGAATAGACTTTTAAATTTCTAAAACTGTCACAAAAATTTGCAAATTGGCAACTCTGTCTGTTTTATCCTGATTTTAAGTTTAAATTTGAGCATCTCTCCCATTTATCCTGTACTATTTGCATAAATGAATTTGTTTAAAGAAAATATTCCATATATTGGCCACATGTTCTTCACACAGCTACTGTTGTTTCTTCATTACTTCATCAACAACCATGAAAATGGTCATATACTGCGGCAATTTTCATTGCTCATAACTAAAGTAACTCATCCTTGATAACAATGACTATAGGAGGTGTGATGGCTCCAGAGTAGAGCAGTGGTCTTGTACCCAGGAGGTCCCGAGTTAACTCATTCGCGACAATGGTTCTCAAAATATGATCGCGCAGGACACTCTTCAAAGAGGCAATCCAGCTGTTAAGGCCAGGAATACACCATTCACTGGCGGGGAAATGCATTTTATGAGGGACAATTTTTTTTGCTAAATGTTTGTGATTTACATCAAATAAATGGAAATTAAATCTTTATGAACCATTCTTCACTTATTTGTGGCTGTCTCAAAGTGTGATAATGCTTATATTTATTCAGAAATATCCCTTTTTCATGCACTGATTGTAATATATATGGACTGAAATGCCCTTCGTGGTAGTGGATTAGGCCACATGTCTAGACATTGGGCTTTGGGCTAGTCGATTAGGCAAAAGGGGTGTTTAGAAATTATTCAACCAAAATAAGGGATGGAGTCAGGCTAAGTCATGTATTGAAAAATGTGATTATTTTTCCTTGTATTGATATAATATTACATTGCTTTTTTGACCAAAATTGCAGTACACAAATTATCTGCTCGTCTTTTATCTATCTTCTAGTTCAAAATCCCCCCTGTCTCAAAATGAAATGTATACGCGCTAGACGATCATATCGATATGGCTTGGCTTAGCGCGGGGGAAAGTCTGGCTAGCTGGGGCTACATGTATGTGTGTGTGTAGGCTGTAACTGGTTATACACACTGAAAGACATGTTGTTCATCATGACTCATGGTCTAGGAATGCAAGTAGTTAGACTGCCAACCAGGCATTGCTTGTAACAAGCTGAACGAATATTTCTTTGATAATGAGAAATAACGAATTTGGGTAGGATTCCCAATACCATAATTATTTCAAAAATTATTTTCGAATATCTGAATCACGATGAGCCTATATTTCAAGAGGAAAAACCAGCCACAAATTAATTTGAACATTATAATGGGCTGGTAAAATACTACTAGAAATTGTTGCCTATAGTAACCATAACACATCAACATAGGCAGATAAGCTAGCCCTGGCCCTGAGCTTACGTAAATAAATTTGGATGAATGACCTCGACTAAACTCAGTGGAATTTCCCTTTATTATTCTTGAATATATTTGAATTCCAAAATTGTTTATCTTATTTTATTCCAGAATGTACAGAAATAAATACTTAACACATTTTGCTAAGGTTAATTGCTCATTTGTTGGCTAGATCTAGACTCTATAGATCTAGTCTTAATTCTTTTTGGGAAAGCAATTCACATTACCATTCATAATCATATTTTTGACGTGGGCTAACGAGGTAAAAAAAAAATAAAAATAATAATTGTGTTCATTGACATTGTAGATTTAGATGTAGACTATTTTTGTTCTTTCTTTACATATCAAGTAGTTTTTGTTGTTGTTATTGTTTGTTTTCATCATTGGGCCAATAAGGCAGATATTAGGTCAGAGAGAAAGAAAGAAAGAGAAGGAAAGAAGGAAAAGAAAACACCTGCAAAGTCTCAGACACGGCCAGGCCAATTATTTATAGAATGGCATACACATCAGATACACGTGTCTACAGTCAGTCACACAATGCACCCAACTCCACGCAGACAGCCTAGCCCATACACACATACACACAGACCATACACCATACAGTTTAGCCTACACACACACAATCACTGCTGCTGCACACATACATACACCCATCTAACACAGCGAAATCGGCTCTGCTATAAACTGATTTTCGTCGAACAAAACTTACCATAAAATACAGGAAATAAATATAACATGCAAAATATGTCCACCAAAATGAAGCAAAATCACAAAGTTTTCGAAATAAAGTGAAAACAAATAGATACAGTGAACAGAAATACCAAAAAAAAGAAGAAAAAGAAGAGCAAAAAATGGATGGTTTATCGTCGCACAATCTAACCACAATACATGGGGGTATTCATGGCATGCAAAGTATTGCGATAGCTGTGATCGGTCTCACAAACGCGCGCGAACATGCCCTTGTTGCTAGGCAGAACTGGCGGGCAACAATAGCTTCTATGAATATTCATGTAGGCTCGTACAGATTTTGACTGAAACAACCAATAATGGGCCTTTTAAAATTCATAACTCATGGTAGGATTTTTTTCAAGTCTAAGTAAAGAGTGCTCTGATTGGCTAATATTTTTCTGCAGAGTTTGACTGACTCAGAGGTCACCAGACGCTCTAGTTTTTTTGTAAACACAGCAAACCACATAATGTGGTCGATTGTCGCGAATGAGTTAAAAACCAAGTCCATGCACTAGCTAAAGTGCCTTTTGGTAAAGCATTAATCCTCATTACCAAATCCCTCAGAGAGGTCTTAAAGTCACCAGTCCCCTGGTTGCTTACTTACTAGTACAAGCATATACACAGTCAGGTAAAACAAACTAGCAGTAAGTTTTATGAGACAAGGCCAGACTTACCATCTACGATGTGGGAAGCCACTAAATCGAAGACCTCATCTTGGGTGGACGTTGGTCCAAAGACCCCTGCAAAGCCAAACTGATGGGTCAGCGTGGCAGTGCGGTCTCTAGTCTGACCGCTCGGCTGAAGCTGGGGTACGCTGATGGCCACATTGGTAGACTCATGATCCAGGAGTTTGGAGGGTTTCACAGTGGGTTTGATTCGTGCATAGGTCTTAATGAGTGCCATAGGGCTATGTCAAGGAGCTATGCTTGGATGGAAGACATCTAGGTATCAGTTCATATTCTGAAATATGAAAAATTCAAAGTACATCATACATGTAGTATTATGACAACAATTAGTAGCTATAATTTTGTACATTCATATTGAGCACATACATCCCAGGGGATGCTCATGGAGTCATGGTGCCTATAAAATACCTGGCTTAAGCCTAGCTGCCCTACGGCACTAATACTAATAGTAAAAGCATTCAACAATTTCAAGGAATAAATTCTTGCAGGTACCCATTTTCATTTAGGCCTACTTCACTTGGGTGGAAACTGAGAGTGAGAGTGGCAAATGTAGATTAATGTCTTGCCAAAGCCAAAGGACATTAGTGCTGCAGCGGGACATTAACTGATAGACTACACAGTCTGATGACATACATGTACATGCATGTATCCCCAGGCTAGATCACGACACCTCTAGTATCACAAAATTAAAAGGTAAAATAGACACATACATAACAACTTAATTAAGCAGTTATTTAAGCAAGTCAGACACAGCTCTCAGAGGAAAGAGACATTGAAATATTGCAAAAACAAAGTAGATCTAGGTCTAGACTAGACCAAGATCTCAAACTAAAATAAAAAGTAGACTCTAGATCTAGACCCTAAAAAACTTTAAAAAAAAAAAAGTGGAACTCAAACTCAAAATTAAGGCAGGGCAAGCCAAATAAAAAGTTGAAGTAAATAAAAGATCACTAATCATCACCCCTATTCGAAACAGAACAGTCTCCCTACCTCCCCCCCCCCCCCCCCTCACTACGACTTTAGTATTGCCATTATTTATCTAGGCCTAGATCTAGACCCTAGATCTATGTCTAGTTTTATTTTAGCCTTTTACTAGTTTTAGACTACAAATAATTCTACACGTGGGACTAAACTTCCTAAACTAGGCTAAGCCAAACTTTAAAGTTAGACCTCCAATCACAGGAAATGTTCCCACTTAATTCACCTCATTAACACAATTTCATAGAATAATGGAGTAGGAATACGGTATAACACAAAATATAACATACCTGATCATGATGAGTCATATTTTAAAGGAACAAAACAGCTCTTAAAACTTTATCGGGAGCGTCCGTGACAACGACCGGTTCAAGCTAGAGAATCTATATTACTAGATAAAGATAAAGCACGACTTGCCGCTTCCGTAGCTACGGAAGCGTTAAAGTGCCATTCTACTTGACGACATGACGAGATATTTCATCTTGTCAAGTCGACTTAATATCCATATCATGTCGACATGTAAAGATATTTAACCTGCCATGTCGACTTATCAACTTTAATTAGTCGACATGGCGACATAAATTATCTTGCCAAGTCGACTTCACAAAAAGTTCATGTCGTCATGGCGACATAAGTTATCTTACCAAGTCGACTTCTAAAAAAATACATGTCGTCATGGCGACATATATTATCTTACCAAGTCGACTACCCAAAAAGTAATGTCGACATGGCGAAATAAATTATCTTGCCAAGTTGACTTCACAAAAAGTTCATGTCGTCATGGCGACATTGTATCTTGCCAAGTCGACTTCACAAAAAAAGTTCATATCGTAATAGCGACATAAATTATCTCACCAAGTCGACTTCCCAAAAAGTATATGTCGTCATGGCGAGATATGTAGTGTGACGACTGTTTCATGCAGCGCGCGTATATGGCAAGCCCTTTGTGTAAAAACCAGAAAAACTCTGTTTTTCTCAGAAAAACTGTGTTTATCAATGATAAACTCAGTTTATCAACAGATAAACAGATTTTATCAGATAAACAGAGTTTATCAGTTGATAAACTGAGTTTATCAGAAAAACTCAGTTTATCAGTTGATTAACTGAGTTTATCAACTGATAAACTCTGTTTTTCTCAGATAAACTCAGTTTATCAACAGATAAACACAGTTTATCAGAAAAACTCATGACGACATGAACTTTTTGTGAAGTTGACTTGGCAAGATAATTTATGTCGCCATGTCGACTAATAAAAGTTGATAAGTCGACATGGTAGGTTAAATATCTTTACATGTCGACATGATATGGATATTAAGTCGACTTGACAAGATGAAATATCTCGTCATGTCGTCAAGTAGAATGGCACTTTAACGCCTCCGTACTTTTTCTCTAGTTAAAAATGTTTTGTATATTTTATCTCTGTCCCCTGGTAACACGACTAAATTGCAATTCTTATCTATGTATTCATATCTGTTTTGATGATGTTTTGAGAGAGTCCAAACATAGCCCTGAACTATATATCAAAGTGTTGTGTGAAAGTCCACAAAAAGTTCATGTCGTCATGAGTTTTTCTGATAAACTGTGTGTATCTGTTGATAAACTCTGTTTATCTGATAAACTCTGTTTATCTGTTGATAAACTGAGTTTATCATTTTTCAACACAGTTTTTCTGAGAAAAACAGAGTTTTTCTGGTTTTTACACAAAGGGCTTGCCATATACGCGCGCTGCATGAAACAGTCGTCACACTACATATCTCGCCATGACGACATATACTTTTTGGGAAGTCGACTTGGTGAGATAATTTATGTCGCTAATACGATATGAACTTTTTTGTGAAGTCGACTTGGCAAGATAATACATGTCGCCATGACGACATGAACTTTTTGTGAAGTCGACTTGGCAAGATAATTTATTTCGCCATGTCGACATTACTTTTTGTGAAGTCGACTTGGCAAGATAATTTATGTCGCCATGTCGACTAATAAAAGTTGATAAGTCGACATGGTAGGTTAAATATTTTTACATGTCGACATGATATGGATATTAAGTCGACTTGACAAGATGAAATATCTCGTCATGTCGTCAAGTAGAATGGCACTTTAACGCTTCCGTACGTAGCACGTCCGGTTTGCATTATTTTTTTTATGCGGCACAGATTGGGGCGTGTTGAGCCTATAGGGAAAGTTTAGGGTTAGGGTTAGGGTTAAATCAAGACCTCCCTTTTTTGTTTAAAGCCCTAATCTTCATCACCATCATTGTAATCGTCATCGCGTCATCAATTCACCGGCAATACTCTACTCCTCCACATCATCGTCACTGCATCCCCATAAATCTGTCGCTACAGTCACATTTAGCCCCCCCCCCCCCACTTCTCTTATGCATTACTTTCAACTTCACACCATCTCATGCTCTATTGTTTTCTGTCGTCACCATAGAGATATATACTTAATAAGACTATGTATGGTCGTCACTCAACTCTCTTTCTCTCCCTCTGCTCTCCAATTGTTTACAATTGAAATCCTTTTCTCTAGATCTTCACTTTCTTTCTTTCTCGTTATTTCCAAAACAAAATCAGTCCTTCTCTCTCTCTCTCTCTCTCTCTCTCTCATCTCCTTATAATACTCTCTTTTTATTTCCTCTCATCTCTTTCTGTCTATCTGTGTCCCACAGCCTGGAGGCCGTTTGGATGACAATGAGATGGACCTCGAGACACCGGCTCTCCAAAACTTTCTGTCTTCAGCTGTTCTAGTTAATAGCTCACTTCGGCAACACACCCATGGTATCAAAATCGCCCCCCCCCCCCCCAAGTTGATTTCAAGAAAGTCCTTGCAATTGTGTTAGATTTACATGCTCAATTTGCTGCCTTTGCTCGTCTAGTCATAAAATAAAGAGAAATAAACAGATGGAATAGTTGAATAAATCACATTTTTTTAATGACAGATATACATCAGTTTCAATACCTACATATTATATTTCCATTTAAAGTAGTACTATCATAGATTTATATTTCTCTTTCCCAAATCAAGTTAGACTACAATACACTTTATTTTGTATACATTAGCTATTTCTGTAATACCCGATTCCACTCGTATACCTGCGTACATGAACATTTGTGATACCTTTGCAAGTAGATTCCAAAAGAAGAAAAAATAATAAGCAATTTAATTAAACTACGGTACAACTGACAGAAATATTGATTTTTTTTTTAAAAGCAACAATCTCATGTTTTGAAAATGGCCATTCATAACAATTCACGAAAGTTTTTTGCTGCGAAGTGTTTTGGCAGTATAATTCATCACACATGAATGGAAGAAAAATTGATTACATTATGCCATCTTCGTGAAAGTTGTTGAATATACAGCTAGATAGAGAATCAAAAGCTGGAAAATCTCAACAAAAAAATAAGAGCAGTTTACTTGTAACTAATCATGAAATCCCTTAAATTGGCAACACGTTGTAAAATACTGGTTCATTTGATAAACATTTTTTTTTCTTCAATCTGCATGTATGAAGGAGTGGAAAATCAGATTAATTATAGTTTGAGGAGGGAAACTGACTAATTTAGAAAATGAGAGAACTCTGAACTGCTTTCGGTGAATGTCATTGAATATCTAAAATTTTGCTAATATCACAGTAATCCATAGTGACATATTGTGACATACCATATGACCACGAGACACACAGTAGGCCTGTTTTCATCAGCTTGAGTTTGCCCAATAACCTGCTATTTTAACAAGCCTGATCTCAAATTAGCCGGCTAATTTGCGTCCTCATCAGCCCGCAGTTGCAATTAGCTGGCTATTTAGTTGAGATAATATCCCAAGAAATCTTGGTCTTGTTTCCAAAATAGCGTGCTGATGTGCGCTATTTTTTGATGGGCGTATCGGTCTGGTGAGGACGCAATTTCAAGCTTCAGGAAAATATCCAGATTCTGAAAATAGCGGGTTATTTTGCAACTTCGGTCTGATGAGGACAGGCCTAGTGAGAGCGTATATGATTAAAGTTGAGAGTCAACCGCAGTACCAGTAATACATGCACATGCACTATTTGATACGATAAGCACATACATGTACAGGGTGCAATGTCACTGTATTGCATCACTCTTTTCTCTGAGACCTTTGCAATGCTGTATCAGGAATTAAGGATCAAAACAAACAGAATTGTTTGACTGAATTGATATTGCAAACAGAAAGATAACCACATATGAATTCAATCTAAATGACCTTCAGCCTTGTTCATACACGAGGCAATAAAACACAAAATACTATTACACAAGCATAGTGCACTTCTGGGGGGTGTTTCACAAAACTTGTCATTAGTGAAAAAATGACAGTTGTTGTTATAAGCTAGTGAAATCCTTGCTTCTGATTGGTTATCAGCAGACTTGTCACTGATATTTGTCATTTGTCATTGAAAAAAGGCTTTGTGAAACGGGTCCCAGAAGTACCTACCAGTAAGTACATGTGGGAGGGCTTTTCACGGGTGGCTACTTTTTCCACACCACTTGCCATTGATTCAGTTACACATAAAAAGTTTTCTTTTGATCTGCCATTACAGTTTTTTTTATTCAACACTTTCAGGACAGGATCCATTTTTTGGGCTTGATCACATATTTTCTTCAAATTGGCAACTATTCTCATTTTCTACAATTTCTCCATCTCCATACATAAAAATGTAACGTCTCTGAAAACAATACACATGGATAAGAATGCCTTCGAAAAGTTGAGAAAAAAATGGCTACCTTAAATTTAAACAAAAAAAAAACCCGTTGTGTAAACAATGATTTAGTACATGTGCATGTACATGCAGATTTTGAATATATTTAGCTACCAGCACATACCAGTATTTTTTAATCAGGCACAGACACTACCTTGCATTTTAATGTGCAGGTTTAAATAATCATTTTTGTGCCCTTTTAAAAAATTATTAGAAAAAATGGCTCAGATTTCACCAGAGTGCATCTACAATAATGTAAAAACCATAGGGCCCTTAGGCTTAACCATGCCTTGGAGATGAGCCAGAAGGGATTCCATGCTCTACATATTAGTAGCATTTATTAGTTCATACTCCTCCCACGTTCCAATTTCACACATTTGAATATTTGTTTATGGACCACCATTTGTTGACTATAAAACCGTTGAAGTGCGTAGGAAATATCCAAATACATGTAGCATCCCAGAATTAATCCTTTTTAAGTACAAATCAATAACTGTCGCTTATACCAGTTAATAATTGATACTCGTATTGATTATTATCATTTTCACTACACATAACAATCTCAAATGTAAACGCAAAAGGGCCATATTAATCTAGAAATGGATGACAGCTGATTATACATGTACTGTATGTAAATAATAGGATATCATGGCCCAGATGCAAATGCATTATAAGGCACTTTATGGAATACTAAAGGCAGAAAAGACAGATAAAAGAAACACAAGGACCAAAAAATACATACAGAGTGGCAATGCAATACCACATGATTACCTTGAACAGCTATTCAAAATAATTAAAAATAAGACTATAATTTGGTAGATGTTGACTTCTCACTTTGAAATCCACAACATCCGAAATAAAATAAACCCTTTGATATGGGACCCGAGTGTCTTATGTACATCAAGCCGTAAGGAACAAGGAATTTTAGTAGTCGACAGGACATGACTGGCTGATAATCTAGTTCTACAAAAGTTTCAAGTACATGTTCAATCAGCCGACGCCCAACATTCCTAGAGTTTGGACCCATGTACCCATGGATTCCTAGAATCAAATTATCTTCTCCTCGGGTCCAATGAAATTACCTTGGTCTATTGACACCGTTTTACCAAAGTGCTTTCAAACAATAGATTAATCACCAGTCCCACCATCGAGGCCGACATTACCAACAAAAGACTATACAATCACTTGTAAGAGCCAAGAAATGGTCGTTTAGAGTTAGTCTGAAGTAGGTTTAGCGATGTTAGACTGTGTAATAACAGTAATCTAATCTTTACAGTTTTATAATAGTAAATATTGTCTGTTCAGGGCCAGAAGGATGTAACTGTGTGTTACAGAGAGAGATAGGGCCCTCCTGGCTCCAAACATACAATACTACAATAGTTATTGCTTTACTGCTGAATCTCTTGGAAAATAAAATACTCTTTGGGACCCCAGGGGGAGTTTCACAAAGATCCTAAGTCGAACTTAACTCTAAGTCGAACTTAACTCTAAGTTGGACTTAACAATTATGGACAGCCATCTGTCGCCTTAAAATTAAATATTCCCCAAAGTAAAAATTGAAGTATTTTAGACTTTTTATTAATTCCACATCAAGAACATGAAATCTCCTTGATAATAGAAAATATATGAATGATTTGAATCAACATTTTATGCCTTTTGAAATAACTTTTACAAAAAAAATTCAATGATGCTAATGGCTTTCCATAATTGTTAAGTCCAACTAAGAGATAAGTTCAACTTAGGATCTTTGTGAAACACCACCCTGGACTTACTCTTTTCTATTGACACCTTGTTATAAAGGGGCTGTAAAACAATAGAATACAAAGTCTTATCTAGAGATCTTTAAGCTTTCACAATATACTACATGTACATTCGTATTAAAGTACATGTAGTTATTATACCAGGGACTCTTGTAATTACACACTCGTGGGACCACAGGAATCTTTTTATTCTATTGAATAGTATCATTTGACATCTTGTCTTTAAGGCTCTTAAGTAAACTATAAGAAACAAAGTTTAACAGTTGTCTTTATCAGGATAATCCACTGTATACATGTAGAGCCTTAATAAAAAATAAAAATGACATGAAATAAAAAAATGTATATCATGTGTAATGCAATGAAAGAACACATTTCTTGCATTGCACGAGAAAAACACTTATCAATTTACAAAATGTTCAAAGTGTCATCTGCACCCTCCTACAGCCTTTCGAGATGCGTAGACCTGTTCCCGATGTTCATTTGTGAGAACAGGGTCGAGTACGATAGAAAGTTGATCAATACGAGCCTTGAATCGCATTCTATCCCTTGCACAGGCTTGCCAGTCGTTCTCAGCTCCTATCGTGGCGTTGTTTTCACAGGATGTCAAATCCTTCTCAACGAGAACGATGAAAGACGAGTTGGGGCAGAAGCGGACCTAAAGACACAAAACCATGAAAAAGAGAGAATAAGGAATAAAATCCCCAAAATATATGACCATCATAATTTTTTGTCTTTGCAATAAAGAGGGTTTGTGTGAAATCATAACAAAAAAAGAATAGGAATATACCAATAAATATAATAATTTATGAATATGATATTTACATCCATTATGAAATTCACAATCAAATATATTCATTTATTGGGTGAAGTCAACAGAAGTTTTGACAACTAGGCAAGACACTTACAGTAATGCATTTGTGTCATGTACAAAGAGACAGCCATTATGTGAAGGAAAACAAATCTGAAAGTCTCCTTCTGCCTCCACTTTTCTTTCTTTCTTTGTTTTCTACTGGTCTACTCTAAAGACAGGAATATGCAATGTGGTAAACATACAGCTTTTAATGTGACAATAAACCATTTTCGTAATGTAATCAAATTTAGTTTAATGCATAAATCTTTGTAAAATGTCAAGCTACAAATTATTTCAGTCACATGTTATAATAATAATAATAAATAACAAATTTTATTAAACCGAAACGGAAATTCTTTTTGCCATTGTATTGTTTCCCCTCTAGAGGGATTCCCATTGTAATGTTTCCCTCTTTTTTGGGGGGGACCTCTATTACTCAATTGGAGTACCCCCTATAAGGATTCTATTGAACTCTTTGCATGAGTGCATTTCTTTTGTGTGATTGCTAGCATTGGTGCATGCTATAGCAGGCAGGCAGGCAGCCATTCTAAGCTATGTTATGAGGACTGCAAGCACATGTACATTTGGCCTGCTGTAGGAGGAAATTTGGTCAGACTTTGTTTAAAGTCTGCTGTAATTCTACGAGCTGTGGATATGATACTTGGTAGCAAGCATACGGTCGCTATTGTTTAGCGTTTTGGCTAGTATTGGCCGGTGAGTTGAATTAACTATGTTATGTTGCTTTATGATTATATATGTGAATGAATCATTACTATAATTTATTGTGCCATATAGTTCATGATATTGGACAGAAGAAGAAACAATCAGTGTAATTTATTTTGTATAATAATAAATGGGTTGATTGAGATTTAGTTGCATGATATTACAAAACAATGTCAATGATTAAATATTTGTTCTGTTGGTATTAATATAATTGTTCCTTTTATGTAAGTTCACCACAATTTAAATATTTTGTTCAACTTTGGTTATTGACTTGTTACAGAGGCTGTTTAATGATGAGAAATAATAAAGTACAGACTCTACTTCACTGACTCCGGATGCACTATTTTGTCGTCATGATCTCGAACCCTTTCACAATTATATATTCATAACAGGCGAATGCAATAATTTGTAACGAGGCACTTACAGTACCAAAGATATGTGCATTAAATTTGATTACTTCATGTAAATGGCCTATCGCTTTGGCATGAGAATGCATTGCGAAAGAGGAACAGGACAAGTTTGTATGAAGAGGCCTTGTGAGTTGTGACTAATCATGGTAGTCTGATGCAACTATACTCTTTGTTACATATAAACAAGGAGAAAATACACATGTACTGTACATGTAAGAAATTCTGCCATTTCACTAAACACATGAGTCACATGTAATGCTATGCTTACATGTACACAAATAATAATAAAAGAAAGAAGAAGAAAACAACAAAAACAAACAAACAGAATTAACCCACAACTACAATGTAAGCAACTTCAGTGAAAGTTGTCAGAACTCGGAAACCATTAATGGTTTGTAGCCAGAGATTCTCGTATTATGGTATGGTTAAACTGGCAATTCTGGGAATTTTGGGGTAAATCTTATACAAAACTACATGTAAATATGTTCATTTTTGAGCTCCCATAATTTATGAATGAATTTCATCCCTGGCATAAAAGGTGATTAAAAATTTTTTTTACAAGCATGTAATTTCAGTTTGAATTAAAAGTTGTACCGTACTATGTACCATGCATCATGGCCATACAGTGTACATGCCAGAAGAAAAGGGAAATTTTAGAGATTGAAAATGATGAAACTAAACCATTACATTGCAAGCATGTTAGAGACGTCAAAGTCACTATTCTTAAATTTAAAGGCAATTTAAAAAAAAAACTTTATCCCTTTCAGATACAGGAGTATTACAAAAAGTTGCAAGCTGACGGAAATATCAGTGTGCGCTGCCTGCTATACTGTGAATAAGAAAAAACAGATCACCCTAATACATGGCAGGAGTTTATTCTTTGAAATGGTAGAGAGCCGAAATGACAGCAATGCAAAAAATAATGGCAGCACTTCATGAAACAGTCATAAGTACAAGGTCGCCGACATCCTTTTGAAATGTGTGTATCAAAATTAAGACGTGTTTCAATGGGATGTCGGCAAACTTTTAGTTATGACGGTTCGATGAAACGCTGCCCTGGGTAATAAATAATTGTGGAGTGCCACAAGTGTCAAGTCTGACAGACATGAGCGCTTTACAAGACCCCACTTTCATTATTATGCTTTGATATTATGCATATTTTATATTTACCTTTTTGGTAGCCTTGTCTTTGGGGGTCAACTGAAATCTCCTCAGGCAGCTGGCACTGGAGACACGCTTCATAGCCACCTCACAGACCACAGGCTTTCGAAGACCAAGACCAAAGTCGTCTCTAGCTGAATGGACCCTGACAGTGGCAATAGCAAAGTTCTCCCCATCACTGTCCCTTGGGGATAGTTCCTCACACTGAGGTAGTGTCTCTTTCCGCTCTGTTGGCGTTAGTAACAAAGTTCTTAGTCCGTCAACGGAATCTTTTCTCATAGGCGTGGTTTGGCTGGGACTGGATGGAGCAACGGGGGAAGACAGATTTGAATCACGGAATTTCCAGGCCTCCATGGGGCTGTAGGGATCCCGGGCTCGGTTGAATGAGTCCCAGAGAGGGTCGTCTTGCAAGATAGAGGGATCGTCAAGTGTGTCCCAATCACCATCTTCGTCCTCGGATGAACTGGAAGTCGAGCCGAGGATGAAGGCCACGGATGGATGATGAGCGGAAGTCGATTCTGATTTCACTTTGGGAGTTGAGGAGAGGTTGTCTCTGAGTTCCTGGAGTTGAGGATCGGAGAGTTTGAAGGATCGATGAAGACTTGCGTCGACATCATCAACGGGACTTTCATCCCCGCTATCGTAGTCGTCATCGCTGTCAGTCTCTGACCAGTCGCCCTCGTCCGTTCCCGAGTCGACATGGCAGTCTCGGATGGATGTCTTCACACCAGGACGGACTTCCTGGATACCATCGCTACAGCGCCACCCACATAGAGGGTTGTAAGGGTCGTCACTCGCTGTGAAGCTCTCCCAAAGATCTGCGTTTGTTTCTACAGCACTGTCTGAATCCCCATCAGAGTCTCCGGAATCACTGCTGTATGAAAAAGCCGTCACTTTATCTGGAGCACTGGACTGCACCTCGTAGTCAGCAAGGATAAGATCAATTGTGGAGTGTCGCTCTATAGCCTCACTCTCTGTTTTATCCGTATCATGCACTCTGCTAACTTCAGGCTTTTGATGATCTATGTTTTCATTTTTAATTGCAATACATGTATCTTCTGAATCTTGTTCTTTCTTTGCTGTCAGACATGAACTTTGACGCTCTATGTTTTCATTTTGAATTGCAATATGTTCCTCGTCTTGTTCTGTCTTTCCTACGTTCTCTGTTGAATATATTGCACGGTCACTAACTTCACATTCTACATTTTTCTTTGCATGAACAGTAGTTTTCTCCTTTGATGATAGTCCATCACTTTTTACCACTGTTGCATCAACTTGTAGATTCACAGACTGGTCAACAGACGATTCAATGTCACTGGTAGCTTGAACAGGAGCTGGGGTAGAACTAGACTTGCTTTGATCAACATGGCATCGGGACTTAGACTTAGACTGAGGGGAAGTTCTTTGCCGATTACCATGTCGATTATTCCACTTCTGCCTCTTAGCGGGAGACTGAGCCCTTTGATGTTGAGGCATCGGTCCCTGACCCTGGTTTCCATATCCTTGCATCATCTGGGGACCTAACCACTGTTGGCACGGAAATGGAGGGCGGGATCTTTGTTGCCCCTGCCAATAAGGAGGGGGAGCAAATTGATTGAATCCCCAGGTGAAAGGAGGGTAGGGTGGACAATTTCCACCCATCATATGCTGCTGCCAAGGTTGCTGACTATAAAAGTTCCTTTGATAGTTTTGCGTCGATGAAAGCAAAGGCGGTTGATTCATTCCCTGGTAAGGATGAAAAATCGGGGCGTGGTTTCTATCATGTTGATCATTTGCAGTTCTACCCCATTGGCCTTGGGCGCCATAATGGGCGGGACTTCCATTGGCATGCTGCTGCCAGTTGGGCATTGGGTTACCCCAGTGCTGGGCCTGGGGATTCATCTTTGGCTTTGGCATGCTCATGTTGGTGAACTTTTCTGCCACCGAATCTAAACTCGCAAGTCGAGCGTCTGAGTTATCGGAGGAAGTGTGCTGAGCTAGGTGTCTCGTGCCGCTTCTCCTCGGAGGCAAATATTGATTCCTCGTCCCAAATGCTGACTTCACTTTGTCTAGTAGACCACCACCTTGTGGGGTCTCTGTGAAAGATCTGGGTTCCTGCTCCTGGAATCTTGGTCGGCAGTGGTTTGACGCTAAAATCTCCGGTGAAAAAGCTCCGTTCAGATCCTCGCAACTGCTTGCTGAGTTCTCTCCCGCGCTATCTAAACGCATGAAAGAAGGACGGGTATGTTCTCTCCAACTGCGTTGGTTCCGTCTTCCTGTATTTTGTGTACAGGCAGGGTTCTCTTGTCCGTTTTTGTGGAACCACTTCTGCTTGTCAAACTTTTGTCTTTGCGAAATACGGGCTCCTAAAACATCAGCCATTATGGTGGTTTCTTCTTCAAAAACTTGAGACAACTGTTTTAGAATATTTCAGTCATTGTAATAACAGCATTTAATATTATTTAGTCTATTTAGTTTAATGACAAATTTGAACTCGAAGTTGAGCTGCGGTCTTGTTGTCAGGTGGAAGAGCATGATCCATTTGATGTAGCGCAGACATATTTAGAGAAAAACTATGCCAAGCTTGCCAAGTAAATTTCATCTTGCTAGAGTCAGAGAGAGGAGGGCGAGGGATGATGTTCAAGTTCAAAGTGTTTGTGTTACTACACCCGTTAACGTGCAGACATTCATTCATACCACACTCACAAATCGGTCCACCGTCATAACCCACTTTGTGCACAACTTTATCGCCGGTCGATCCAATGGCAATACTCACACAAATTGGAGAGACATCCGAAACATATTGTTCATAATCATCATAATCAACGTCGTTGAAGTTTGCTAGATTATTTTCACAATTTCCAGTGTTAATCAAACAAGCTGAATAATCTTCCACATCCATTTCTTATCATAGAAAACTTGCTGAAAACATACGTCGAAGCTGAATTATTACGTGCAGAAAAACATGATTGCTTGATTTTACAGTTAGATGTTATTTCGTGTACGAGTCAAGTATATTATGTGCAATATGTTCGGATCGTGAATACGTAACGAATTTACGGCCGAGTGCATACGAGTTTACTGAATTGCGTCATTTTTAGCACTGACGTCATGTATAAATTTACCTTTCAGACCTGTGTGGTAGACTAATCCGATAATACTGCCAATAAATTTTTTTGAAAGAATTTATTGTACACATCTGTATCATTTAAGGTAAATAATTTGATTGAAATACTAGATGAGGAATATTAAAGCTTATGAGTATTAAATCCCTCTTAATAACTTGGAGAATACACTTCGGCACAGCATCGGGCTTGCATGAAAAGACTAGTCAAACGCGCTGGAGTGATACAGAGTTCCCGAACAGTGTCGATTCGTCTCGAAAATTTTCCGAATCCTCTTTCGGCACGTACTTTGCGCCCTTCAACAGCTCTCACAATCCACGAACACGCGGTGGCCCGAGGGGGAAACCAGGGGAAACTGCCCGGGAAATCCCTAAATGTAAAACATCCCCTAAAACGCTTATTGTAACTTTTGAAGTCGCATACGGTGTTAGAAGGAAAGAGTAACGATTTTATTACAATTATTTTGCAATACTGGAGGGATCGAGGCATAAATTACGAGGGTGGGGATTTTGGCGGGTATATAGTTCATTGTGGGGAGGGGTGTCCGACAGCATACTTAAAGGCCCACTGCACTACTTGTAGCTACTTGCGCCATCTATATAACAAACAGTGCCTAATCGGTGACCATTGGTCCCTCATGATCCTCTTTTTCTTATGTTAACTGAGAGCTGAGTTGATGAGATAACCACCTGTCCAGCTTGCAGGGCGCTCTAATCCCTCCTGTAATTAACTACGGCAGATAAGCCTTAAAAGGGATGGAGATAAGGGGGAGGAAGAGAGAGAGAGAGAGAGGGGGAGAGGGGAGAGAGAGAGAGGGATATCATGATAGAGAGAGAGTGCGTGTGTGTGTGTGTGGGGGGGGGGGTCATATGTAAGAGTAAGTGACCTCCGATCCTCCCAAATAATATAGCCTAAAAATAGAGAAACATTTTATTAAAGCCAAGTCAGTGTCACAAAAAATTACATATTCACAGAATCTTTCACATTAACATAACATTGATCATAATTAGCAACAGAGAAAAGGGACAAAGCAGACTGAACGATGTTTATAGTAACATTATCAATCAAACTTAAAATAATATTCTTATCCTAGAGATCTTTTGCAAGGTTTCTCTCTCTCTATATATATATCTTTCACTCCTAGCTCTCTCTCTCTCTCTCTCTCTCTCTCTCTCTTCTATTATATGGTCAGAATTTTTTTTGTTTTGATGGACAATTTAAACACCAATGAAGACCTAAAGTGACCAAAGCTTAAAATTATAGAAAGAACGTTTGCCCTGAACCTATAGTGAAATTGTGTTTCAAGAAATAAAAGTATACATTACTTTGACGAAAGAAGCAACACAGAAATTTTTCCTTCCATATAATAATATCTTTATTATTATTTTGAATGAATACATACAAAATTAGTTATCCACCAAAGTATTTGCCACAGTTATCTTAAATACAATAATATTGTTTCCATGAAAAATACAAATTAGATTTGCACTGTAGTACCATAAGCCCTTAATATCTTAGTTTGCAACAGGAATGGAGGAGTAATTTCTATTTCATTTTCTCACAGTATAAGTTTAATTCAAATGATCTTAGACTGATTTTCAAATCATATTCCGTAAAATAACTTTGCAGTAAAAAAAAAAGACAGAAAGGTAGTGTGGATAAATAAACAGACACACACTAGACCTAATATATAATATAATAACTGCAACCATTTGCTTATATGAATAAAATACCTCATATAGATTAAAAGTTCAAAAGTAAATTTTCTTCCGGCACAGCAATATGTACTCATCTCATACCCTGTGACCTTTCTGTATCAAATTTCCATATAAATGTAGTTGTATGAATATAATGTGCATAAAATGATCATAAATTGTTTGAAATAGTGATTTTCATTAAAGAAATGAAGCTTTGTGTTCTTTCTGAAATTCAAATGGAAAAAAAAAACATTGGAAATTTGTCAGGACATGGTATCCCGAAAACTATGATATTTTTTATATCAAAGATGTATGTACGCTGCCATATCAAATCTAAATGAATTAGAAACAAAGCAATGGTTGTAATGTATGAGTAAACTTTGATGTCTCATCAAGGCCATTACATCATCCGCGTATGCGAAAACACATAAAATGGATATTTTTTTCATCACCAGGCGTGTTTCTTAAAGGCCAAGTCCACTCCAAAAATAACTTACTTTCAATAGAAGCAGAAACAGAAAACAAATCAATCAAAAAAAGTTAGAGTAAAGTCGGATAACTAATAAGGAAGTTATGAATTTTCGAAAAAGTATGAAACACTATGGAACAATGGAAATCACTACACAAATTGCCAATTTGGTTGTCAGTTTGTGACGTCATTGCCTCATTATTTATCAGTTGCGTATGCATTAGTTTCCCATTTTATCCCCCAAAACTTGATTTCCCTATGCCTTTGCCTAGGTTATGATTTGTATCATATTGCGTGCATGACATTTAAAACAAAATTATTATGAACTTTAAAGAATTGATACTATTTTCTGAATATTGTATATTCATAATTATTGATTCTTATAAAAATATTTTATCAAAATTCACATTTTTCATGATTTAACTAAGCCAGTTTGTAGGCGAAGACAGAGAGCTGACCAAGTGAACGTACCGCTATACCTACTCACATCGCTCTCATAAATGTTTACCGGTAGATCAGTGTCATTTCATTTTTTAAAGTGATTAATTAACAAAGTGACCTTATATAATAAATAATATAATACTGACTTCATAGTAACTTAAAATATAACATCCTTCAGAATACAGCCCCCAAAAAACTGATACATACAAATAAAACTGGCAGAATTAAAGGTAATACAAAGTTTTGGGAAATTTTGAAAACTGGTCGGATAGTGATTCTTCACAAAGTTGATTTATTTGGATGCCCCTGTGGATGTATTATAAGTGTTCGAAAAATTAGCCCCTAAAACATTTCTGCTTTTAAGAAAAATTGAATATAATAAAAATTTACCAGTGCTCCCTGTAAATTTTGATAAATTTCAAATACCGGTAGCGCCTACGGCTGTACAATGGTAGCTGCGACCATGAAAATCTCAAAATATGTAGTTGTGATGTAATTTCCAAACCGGAATAGCTAATCGGTCGATTTTAGCCAAGAAACATTGTTTTATAGCTTAATTAATATCTTGACCTTGAGAGGGAGCTATATAACATAAAGAGTTTATTATTTACAATTTCATAACTTTAGACTCGATTTCAACCGCGACAACGATCACTGGATAGTGTAGGATCGCATATGCTTCCAATATGTTCATTTGAACCAAATTCATGACCCCATACCAAAACTTTGTATTACCTTTAACAGGCATGAGAACAAGTAACAAACATCAGCGAACATAAACAAATTCTTTCAAACATAATTAGTGACTGTTATTTTTTCCCCATCATATTAATGCTACATAGTACATGGTCTCAAACTCAACTTGTGACTCTTAGTATTACCCTGTGATCTATTATTCACTTAATCCCATCAAGATTAAAGTTACTAAAGAAAAATTTCAAATTAGTGTAAATTAATACCAGTTCATGATCTTCTGTATACACTCAACCCCCCACTCGTTTAAGAGCTGCAAAAAGGCCGTTTCAAATTCATGCAATATTAATGTTAGTTTGTGATCTTTTGTACTCAAACCCACTCGTTTTGGAGCTACATAAAGGTCCTTTCAAATACATTCAAATATTAATGCCTGATCATGATCTTACGTAATTATAATCAACCCCATACATTTTAGAGCTACAAAAATACCATTTCAAGTTCATGCAAATATGTGACCATCACAACAAAGTACTCAAAACATTGGTAACATTTCTTATCATAACATAACAAAGTATAATTATAATTGCACTTGAGAGTTGACTTAAATACAAACAAAATGTACCACAGGCAATAAAATGGCATTTATACACCAATTAAGACATAATGCCTTTCATTGCCCTAAATTCTAGACAGCAGCCTAAGTCAAGCCTTTCGTTGACATCTAAAATTGCTTTTCTTTTGCCGCTGCAATTTATTCATTAGTTGGTTCAAGGTTTCAGCTGTGAACACGGCTATATGCATGGTATACTTGAAGAGCGGCAAGGAAGAAATATTTTCCCTCAATCCGTAAAAATATAACCCCTTGGGAAAATATAACTCCCTTAGGCAGTCCAAAGAATGTTATATTACACACTCTACCAGTCAATATCTGTCAAATAAAACATGAATGGGTCATAGCATGGGGCATCAACAGTACACAGGGATAATATTAAGTTCTTTGTGCCAATCAGCACACTTGGCAAACAAGTGAATGAGCCAACTGGCTACTTTGGCACACAATAGGTTAATTCTGGGGGGCATTTCACAAAACTTGTCATCAGTGACAAATGACAGTTTTTGTTATAAAGCGACTGACATCCTTGCTTCTGATTGGTTATCAGCAGATTTGTCACTGATTTTTGTCATTTGTCATTGAAAAAAGGCTTTGTGATATGGGTCCCTGGCCCCTTAGTTTGTCTGCTTTCAAGAATACCAGCCCGTCTCATTGATTCATTTCAGCTCAATCTTGGTTGTGTTTGGCAAGGTGAAGGCCGTTAAACCACCGACGGCCAGCATGAATGCAATGAGGATCATAGGCACGGCGCAATGAAGATCTATCAGTATACCGAACATCAGGCTGCCTATGATGGCGCCAGTCCGGTTGAAAATGCCTTGTACTCCTAGAGCTGTACTCCTGCAAAGACAAAGCGACACAAGCCAACGATAAAGCTACTATTTAAAAGATAAATCACTTTTATTGATCAATAATACAGCTCAGTATCGATTGCACTCCTAATACTGTATTTCTGCCAAGACAGGTTGACACAGGTGACGATAATGCTTTAATCATTACACATATTTAATAAATCACCTTTTATTAATAAATAATCTGATTCATTATCGATCGTACTCCTGCAAAAACAGAGTGCAACAGGTGACGATAATGCTTTCATTAATATCTAATCAATCATCTTTTATCAATCAATAGTCCAATTCAGTGTTGATAGCTCTCATAATGCTGTATTCTTGCAAAGACAAAGAGACAAAGGTAACACCCATATTTTAAAGGGCACCAGTCACCAAACAAAATGGTATTTATTTTAAGGGTACATTGTCAATATACTGTATTCAAAATATAAGCTTCAAATTTTACTTGTATAAAGAAATATTGCAATTTTAGATAAATCAATCAATAATCATAAACATCAACAAATTTCTGTTCTTCCCTAGGGAATAATTTCATAGAAGCTACGGCTCTTGAAGTGTTGCCACCTTTGGTGGGTGGGGCATCAAAATTACAAACTGGGGGGTGTTTCACGAAACTTGTCATCAATGATAAATGCCGGTTTATGTTACAAGCTACTGAAATCCTTGCTTCTGATCGGTCATCAGCAGATTTGTCACTGACATTTGTCATTTGTCATTGGAAAAAGGCTTTGGGAAACGGGTCCCAGATCACCTGCCCCAATACTGGCTGCATCTTCATCTTTGACGAAATGTAACCTGGAGCACGTATCGCCAGGAAACACGAGGGACCCGGGAGTGTTTCACAAAGACTAAGATCGACTTTAAGTTGGACTTAACTATGACAGGCCATTCATGCCACTGTTTGCTCTTACCATTATGAACTTTAAATAATATTGTTTCCTTCAATAATGAATTATCAAAAAATGTAAATTCTGTAGATTTGTGACCATAATTTGTACGTCCCTTGAGAGACTAATGCCAGTAAATGGTGAGAGTGAACAATGGCATGAACAGCCTGCTATGATTAAGTCAGACTTAAATTTGATCTTAGTCTTTGTAAAACACCCCCCTGAACAATTATCACCAGCGGACACGAGCCCCTCCCCCCTACCCCCATTCATACCCCTAGATGTGCATGTCTGTGACAACTGCTTTACATGTTCACACACCATCACACACACACCCACACACACATTGGGATTCTAGACCATACCTGTAGGCAGTGGGGTAAAGTTCCACGCTGAGCACGCTGAGGCTGTTCCATGACACAACAGAGATGGCGCCAAATATAATAGACACGACAAGAACTTGCATCCTGGTCTCCAAGAACCATATGAAGAACACGCTGATGCCCGAGATGATGAGGCTCGAAGCTGGAAAGAAATTTTGCAGGTCAAAGGTCATCAGAACATTTCTTACTATAAAGGTGAGGGATGTTATACCTGTTTTCGAAACATTTTTTTTCTTCTCCATTCCATGACCTTAGAGCGATAGTTCATTTGTGACCAGTTTGATGTTATACAAATTGTCGGCTGCCCGCAAGCAGGCCATTACTGTTGTTAAATAGCTCTTACGACCCTGTGGGCACCCAATGAAACATCAATACCTACTCTTTCATTCATGAAGAACTGAAACAATACTATATTCAGATGCTGCTTATAAGTATCGGCTTGCATGGTGATGTAGATATACAGTAGACCTACGGTTGCACCATGTGAGAGAGGGGGAGAATCCTCCGTAAGCCTACTGTATAATACTATATTTATCTCTATTCGATAACAACTGCTATGCCTTCCAACAATGAATGAATTAAAAATTCTCTGTAGGTTACTAGACTTGGTTCAATGCATCACACATGAACTGATTTAGGGGATTTGTTTGATGAAAGAATATCAGCAAATGTTCCACAGGTTACCACATGGTGTTATTGACTTTGTCATGGAACATAGGAACTACTACAATCGTGTGTAGGCACATACATGAGTGGCAAGTCTGCAGAGCAAAGGGGTGGTTTTCTGTTTCATTCTTATGCCTCGTAATCTTTCCATTGAATCATTCAAAACCCTTCTCAAAACCCACCATTTTAATCAGTTATATTATACTGGAGGGGCACACAAGTAGTTAATTCCATTCAACTGAATTGTATTGTATGTATTAGTAATCTTTTTATTTTATTTTGTTGCTTTTAAGCTATTGAACATGTTGAATAATTATACTAAGTTAGACAGTGCCACTTGTGCGCTTATATATGCCTGTATAAAGCGCCCTATAAATGTAATTATTATCATTATTATTATATCGATACAGTATATATATTTCCCTGTTAAGTATTCGTCAGTTAACTCTTTCAATCATCCTTACTTAAGAGGAACTTTCTGCCCAGCCGATCCATTAGAAAGATAGACACTAGATTCCCAGGAAGGTTGGAGAGGGCCGTAAAGAAGCCATCTTTGTAAATGTTGTCTTCTGTGTCTGTAGAGGGCGCCGCAACGGAATCTTTGAGCTCACTGCAGGCCGAGCCACCCATCTCCACCCTCTTAAACAACTCTGGGAACCACATCCATAGGCCGTAGTACCTGAAAAGTATAAAACAAATAAACTATACATCTTTTGGCAAGACATCAATCCACATTTGCCACTCTCCACCCAGGGCCAGGCGATAAATGGGTGCATGGCAAGAGTTTGATTCAGTCGAGGAGGCGTCTTTCGGATGGTGACGTTTAAAGGTCGGTCCTCAGATGTAAATAATCATATCTGATTGATACACGTCTGTAAAAACCCAATACACACATTTCTTGAAATGCAATGTGTGTTAATTGGTTACAGCTGACAGAGTTAAAGCCAGCATCACAATATCCAAACTTCTTTGGAAGAGCACTTGGTTTTTGCTCAAATTTTCACTGACCGGTTTCTCTCATTTTTCTCATTCTATTATTCATCAACTAAATATCATAGTGGACTTGCCCTTTAATGAGGGCCTTACCCAAATGAGAGGCTGAAGATAATGGTGAGCATTGACATTAGCGTTCTTGCTAGTGGACCCTGGAACAGATCAGAGGTAGCTTGGAAGAGCGAAGACGTCTGATTGCAATAGCCCTCTCGCTTGACATCATTTCTCATCATCTGCTTCTCTTCCTTGCTTGATGCTATTAAATATCGAATCTGATTGATTTGGAAAAAAGAGAGCAAATTGTGACGAAGATGATAAGTTGCGATTTGATCTGATTTTAAACAAAGGAAAACAACCTGATCACTATAAAAGGTTATATGAAGGAATTTGATCAGATTCTAGGGTTTTTTACAAACAAAAATTTTCACTGACCCGTTTCTCTTATTTTTCTGATTCTATCATTAACCAACTTAATATCAAGCAACTGTACAAAGTTTTGCAATTCAGCCATCTGGCTGCAAATGAATTTTTAATAAAACCATTACCATACCATTACCATGGCAACTGATCAAAATGAAATTCTGTAAAATTTGATCCAAGTAGTCAAGTTAAATATACAGAAGAATCAGTTTTAAAAAAAAGATACTTAAAGGTATAGACCAGTAGTGGTAAAATTGCGGTTCAAGGGTTTTGGGTGCAAAATATCCATTCAATATTGTTTAAACATTGCCTTCAAAGGTTTAGATGGCAATACTTCAACCTAAATTTGCAAAAAAGCAGAAATATATGCCCAAATATTTAATGTTGAAGTGATTCGCGATATCTATCCAGTATCCAGCCTGGATCGATATGATAATTTACCAAATATATCAATTAGTAGGCAGTTTCCCGGCAAAATTTGTATCATCACATATTAGCAAAACATATTCTTTCACAGGATTGGTAATAAGAGCTTCTATTTCATTTTGTGAGGGGGGGGGGGGCGTTCCAAAACTGGTCTACACCTTTAATGGTGTAACAAATGGGAGAGTAGTCCAAGAAAATGTCTTAATTGATTTTTTCACCACATTGAGATTCTCATACCTACATGAACATGCATAGTGATTACAACATTTAACAAATTCATAATTTTCTAATTTTCTGATGAATTTTATTCCAACTTTCACCTGACTACTTCTCTGATTTTCTATTTCAATTCTATTTCCAGATTTCCCTTCATTATTCTGGGGGGTGTTTCACAAAGATCCTAAGTTGAACTTATCTCTAAGTTAGACTTAACAATTATGGAAAGCTGTTTACATTCTTGAAAATATTTTGTAAAGTTATTTTTTAAAAGGCATATATTTCATATTTTCTATTATCATGGGAGATTTCATGTTCTTGATGTGGAATTTATGAAAAGTCTAAAATACTTGAATTTTCACCTTTGAACATATTTTATTATACGGCTACAAATGGCTCTCCATAATATTCAAGTCCAACTTAGAGTTAAGTTAGACTTAGAATCTTGTGAAACACCCCCCTGTTGTCTACTAAACCTCTTACTCCCTTATGGATATAGGAACCAATTGTTTCCCTGTAGGTAATGAGTCAAAACTATGATTAAGTTTCATACTTACTGGATAACTATCTGCTTTTGACAGTCCTTTATTCTGCATGTACATCTTCTTCATAACATTTAAGGCTTTTGTCTCTTCTCCTCTCTGAAAAAAAAAGAATAATGAACAAAGGTAATATTCTTAATTCAGGGACATACATGTATATTTAGAACTAGCTGCATATTATCTAACTTTCAACGCATTGAGCATATCAGATATCATTTATATTCTGCTCTGCTAACATTTTTATTCAATTTTGTTTGATTCTGTGATAATTTCACCTCAGAGGAAAGTCCTCTAAGGTAAATGTATATTTTGTGCCTCATAAATAAGAGATTTGTGAGGTTAGAGTTAGATCAATCAAAATTATTAGTTAGGTTACATTTTGGGCCTTAGCTTCAATTTGTTTTAGAGCTTGGTATAGGGTTAAAGTTACATTTTGTAATTAATTGACCACAGAGGTACTGGCCACTTGCGAGGTGTGGTTCTAGAAGAAAAATGGGGGGGGGGTGGAGGAGGGCTTGGAGGTTCTAGTATTAACTTTCTACATATGCCTCGCTTAAATTCATTTAAATTCAAGAAATATTTGGGGGGTGGAAGCTTGAGCCCTAAAACCTCGAGGCCTGTTGCCACTCGTGCATGTACAATCTTTGATTTCATCTATTGTTAACCCTTTCGATGCTGCTGTTAAATTTCATAGAAAAAGACCCAAAGCGATGTGGGCCATCAGAAAAACTTGCTGAATGGGGAAAATCAAAAGTAAATAATGAGTAAAGTGAAATATGAGGAACCTATTAAAGAGCAATGCTTGTATAATATAGAAGGAGAAGGAGAAGCAGAAGAAGAAGAAGAAGGAGGAGGAGAAGAAGTAGGGGGAGGAGGAGGAAGAGGAGGAGGAGGAGGAAGAGGAGAAGAAGGAGATGAAGAGAGATGAATTATATAGAAAAGGGTCTCTACCTCCAGTAAATATTTTGGACTCTCGGGCATCATCAGGAAGGCGACGACCGAAGACGCAGCAGGGATGCAGCACAGAGCGACGAAAACCCTCCACGTCTCCATGCTGGCCACAAAGGAATCCCTGGGTATGACGGCCCAAGCGAGGGCAGCAGTCACGATGTTACCGGCCATCCAGAACGTTGCCAAAGCGCTGATCATGGCACCACGGTGTCTGGACGGTTGGAACTCACTGAAGTAGCAGAAGATGACGGGTATGGAGCCACCGACACTGGATGTTGAAATGAAAAAGATTCTTCACTAGGTGTGCCTTCATCAGCTAGAGATTGCCAAATAGCGCGCTATTTTTGATTTGGGAAATAAGCCTGAAGTAATACTTATCCCGTCTTCATCAGCTCCAGATATTTTGCTCAGCGTTCGCGCATAGTGCGAGTCTTTGGGCTGGTGAAGATGCACCGGACAAATAGCGGGATATTTTGCCAAATAGAGGGATATTTTGCAAACTAGCCCAAGATATCTTTGGATAATTATCTCAACAAATATCCTGCTAATTGCAACTGCGAGCTGATGAAGACGCAAATTAGCTGGAAATTTGCGATCGGGATGGAAGCTGATAGCTGATGAAGACAGGCACTACAACATTAAACAAAATAATTATCACGTCAAGAAAAGAAGATTCTGTAAAGAATTCTTCCGTAAGTGATTTTTATGGGCTGACTTAGTTAACTCATCTTCATAAAATTGGCAACACTGTTAGACTTTTCTTTACTTCTACATTTTTTTTTCTAACAGAAAGGGCTTCTTCTTCTACTTTTAACATAAGAAGAATATGCAAAGATTTCTTAGTCTGGTCTGGAATTTTTAAAGGCTAAGTAAACATTATGATTTTTTTTTCTTTTTTATTGGCAACCCTGGGAAGTTCTTTTGTTATATTAGAGGTCCCATTGAGATTAAAGATCATACAAGAATTCTTTATCAGGTCAGGGATTTTTTAGGGCACACAACAAGCCGATCTTCAAATTGGCAACACTAATCAAAGGGTCAAAATGAAACCTATCCCATGAACCTTACCCTACTCCACTGAGGAACCTCATTAGAAGAAACAGCCAGAAGTTATACGAGACACTAGATAAGAGACCAAAGAGAGCGTTGCAGGCTAAGGAGTAGATGAGTATCTGACGTCTTCCCTGGATGTCTGCCAGAGACCCCCAGAAGTACCCTCCTACAAGCATACCTGAAAAAAGGAAAAAATAGGAAAAGAATGAACAACTTTGTTCATTGTCTTCTACAGACTTTAGAAATACCCTTAATATAATTACTTTTTGTTAATTTTGAGAGACTTGGATGTTCAAAACATTTTTTAAGTCCCTGTATAAACCGCAGCATTATGTTTGCAGTGGTTTACAGCGGCATATCTGAATGAGTCTTGATCAGATATGTGCCTGGCTGGAATGCTCCCCAGGGAGTGGAGAATGTGCATACATTGTGTGCGGGTAAGCCTAAATCCGATGACCAAGGTAATAATATGATTGCAGGGCCCTCAGGGAGAACAGTATGAATACTGATGAGGCTACCCTGGGTAAACAAGACATATTATTATTATTATTATTCTTAGTCTTTAGTGTTCATGTGTTAGGTTAAAGAATTTTTTGCACTCACCGACAAAGATGATGGAAGTAAGAAGTCCTTTCTGAGGGCTGCTGACATGCATATCTCTGGAGGCGTTGGGGAGGAGATAGGACACGCTGAGAATCTCGACGGCATCGCTCATGTTTGCCCAACCACACACCACAAGCAAAATGACATGGAACCTCCCAAATCCTGGAAAAAGAGAAGAACCCTTAGAATACATACAATATCAACATTACAATGACATTACTAATGTTTGCTAAACATCTATCCGGAGTAAATGGAACCTGAAAGAACAGAACTGTTTTTTCAACGATGTCTTCAAAACTGTGAGGATCTCTAAGGGATCGCTCATGTTTGCCCAACCACACACCACAAGTGAAATGACATGGAACCTTCCAAAACCTGGAAAAAGAGAAGAACCCTTAGAATACATACAATATCATCAATGCGATGACATGACTATTGACTAATGTTTGCCAACCATAATCTATCTGAATTAAATGGATCCTGAAAGAACGATGTCTTCAAAACTCTGAGGATCTCTAAGGCATCACTCATATGTTTGTCCATCCACACACCAGAAGTCTGTTTTTTATACAAACTTTCAGATTATCTAATTGTACATCTAGCATTGAAGTCACTACTTTAGCAGAAATTACCACCATTTACTCTCATCTGAACAATGTTACCAAGTCTCATTAAGATTAACATTAAGTTTCAACTGATATAGCTCACCTGCAGCCTCTATTGCACTGCTAAAGTTTCCCCTGTTTGGGTTTCCTGAAGAGAACAAGCAAACCAAAAAAAGAAAGAGCAATTGAATGAGCAAAGAAAGCAAACTCATAATAGTAATCCTGTCCCACTGTCACAAGCAGTCTCTTGTGCCTTGTAGAGGATGATTTTGAACATATTATAATTTTGTATCAGTTTGTGGAGATTTGCTGTTTGTTTTACCTGACTCTAAGAAAGCAAGTGTATCAATTGAGAGACCGACTGCTTAAGTCAATGAGGGGGTGGGGGAGGGGGGGGGGGGTCTCATCTACTACTTCTACAGTCAAACCTGTCTATAGCGACCACCCAAGGGAAACATAAACAGTGGTCCTTGTAGACAGGTTGTCTTTGTAGACAGTTTCCTTTAGTGTATGTTTCAATGAGAAACCATTTTCAAGGGAAACAAAAAATGTGGCCTTTGTAGACAGGTGGTCACTAAAGCAGGTTTGACTGTACTACTACTACTACAACTACTACCACCACCACCACCACCACTACTACTCCTTCTCCTTCTCCTTCTCCTCCTGCTACTCTTTCTCCTACTCCTTCCTTCTCCTCCTTTTTTAAACAAAAAATATTTCAACAATAACCCTAAGAATCACCCCCCTAAACTGCCATTACCCTTCTCTGGAACACATACCATTATCTTTGATCTGTACGGCTCCATCATGATCTTCCTCGAGTCTTGTATAGGCAACATGTTGGTGACTGGAAGATTTAGACATTGCATCGAATCCGTACAACACCTCACCTCGTCCTCAATCCTGTGTAGATCACCTCTCTCAAGTAGTCGTTTAGAAACAGACTTCAGTAAAGGTTTACTGCCTCTGTGCGTCACAGCGCCAACTGCCTACATACTGCCAAGCCTGTAAATGTAATAAGAACAAAATATTTACATGATTCTCCCGAGATAATCAAAATTGCATAAAAAACATCAAAATATATTATGTAATATGTATGCAAATGCAAAATTTAACTCAGCTGCCACAATTGCAACTCAGTCTTGGTGCAGATAGTCGACACCCTACATAGTAATAACCATTTGGTATATTATTTCTAGTAAAATTAATAAATTGACAGTTGCATTTTCGGGAAGACTTCCTTTTGCGACAGCCACCCAAAATGGAGGGAAAAAAATATGGATACAGCTAATAATACCCTATTACTTAGAATGATAATAGTCTAAAACTCTATGATATACAAAACATGATGAAATAGGGCGAGGGTTAGCATTAGTGGCCGTCACAAAAGGAAATCTTTCCACATTTTCAACAACAAAAACAAAATCCAGAAAGACCATGAATTTTTGTTTACTGTAATACTGATCACAGGGAATAATAACTTTATTGTTAAATTAGGTCTAGCGAGTCTACCTTTCTTTTTATTTGAAACAAGGTTGGAAAAAATATCCAGGTGGATGATTTATCATTTTGCTTTAGCGTAGACTGCTTCAAAACTAATAATAACGAGACACTGGATGATTGATACACTGAATTTCTTGCATTTACATTCTCGACTCGGGCCTCGGGCTCCCAACAAGCGACACAAGAGAGAGATCCACTCACCCGGCAAGGCGGCGCAAGTCTGGGCTGGGTACAGGCTTAAGCTTGGTGCTATCCCCGAAGCTCGAAGACGGGCAGGAGACACGAGAGCCGAATT